CTTCAAGTGCATGAAAAAACCACCCGCCAAACTGTATGTAATTAGAGGGAGTTGACTGTATTAGTCCTCTTTCTCTTAATTTTGCAACCTTGTTATAATCCCAAGGTTGTCCTTTTGCTCCTATCCCTTCAGAGCTAGTCAGACCAATACATATATGTCTTATCTTTGGATATCAGCCAACCCTAAATAAGTCCCTTGATGAGCTGTACTGTATGGTGGCTGTAGAGTGCCAAATGAGTCAAAACATGAAAATTTGGAATTCTCATATGAAACTCCCCCTAAAAGCCTGTTCAAGCCTACTCAAGCCCAAGTCCATTGCAAGTCCATTGCCCCTGACCAAAAAATCCCTTCATCTCACTTGATCCAATTCTTTCATCCACGTTTATGTTCCTACATACTTGTTTGCCAATCATCTATGTATAATATACTGGTCCTGATTTTTAGATCTTAATTTACCCAGTGAGTGATGTCTTCATAGAAATGAACCTTGTAAAAAGAATGCATTCATTTGAAATGATGGATGATCTTTGAAATTATCTTCATGAGTAATGTTGGTAGATATCATCATGATCTTTCAAATATATACTTGTGATTTTCCCTATGGTGTTATCTTGTAATTGTGATATGTTTATCATTAGATATGTTGACTGTTTGTTGGGAAAGTGGTGCAACTTGCTTTTATACAGCAAACACCCATAAGAAAATTGATAGGAAGGCCATCACAATTGAAAGGAAATGATAGACAATATCTGAAAGGTACAGAAGAGGAAAACCAATCCAACTAGCAAAACAATAAACAGTATAAATATGACTAATGGCAATGCTAATATGGTTATAGAGACAATTTTACATATATTATCATTAGCATACACTTTGATTTGACAACAATAGCTATCACAATGTTGACATTCATAACAAAAATGCAACTTGTTTTGCAACAGAAATCATTCAGAAGAAGAATCTTTGCACATTTTGAGTCCAATGCTCCTTATAATGACTCAAGAGAAAAGCTTTGTAGCTGATACAAAGAAACACTCAGTGGAATCAACACTGAGCAGACAGGGAGTGACAACAGGCAAGGTGTTGTTGGTCACACTCAGGATAGGCTGAACAAGGCTTGGAGGGAAAGTTTTGGGTTGATTCTTTGCACTTTGGGGTTTTGACTCATTTGGCACTCCACAGCCGCTGTATTCACAGCCCCCAGCTATTAGGCACTGGCAGGCCAGAGACTACCATCAACTTTGAGAGGACTTCAAGAAAACTTCAATATATTTCCAATAAAATTTCAATATAACTTCAGCTGGAGATAAAATACGGCACAAGTGAAAGAGATGCATTACAAACAGGCAATATCTGACAAAAAGCAATTGATTATGGACCCAGCTTACCTTGTTTTTTCAGCTGAATTACATATACTTTAGTGTTGTTTATGTCCTGAAGGGCGGAATCAGATCTCTACAACTAAAAGCATAGATCTTATCTTTTCTAAGATATCACTGTTCCATTTCTTTTAAGAGAGACTCAATTTCAGGGCAGTGTTGCAAAGAAACGTACAGAACAATTTAATGAATTTGGATATATTTGACAGATTTTTTATGGTAAACTTACAACTGCTAAGGTCTTGTGATTAAAAATTCATTTGGAAAGATCTCCCAAAAAGGCTTGTGATTTTTCTCTGAAGCCTTAATTACTACCATAGACAGATGCACAATGACTGTCAGATCCCAGTTGTACTATGTACACCTCTATACCAAAACTGAGTGCTAAGATATGACTTTTTCAAATTTCTTTGAGAAACACTTTAATATTCAAATGCACTGTGAACATCATTCAACTTCCCCAAGTTGGAAGAGGAAAACAATTGATAGTACAGTTTGTCATATAAGGATCCAATACTGCACACCTGAGCCATGACACCCACACTACATATGTGCAGCAAGTTAAGTAAATAGTTGTCTATCATGTACATACAGGTCTGCTCAGTTGTTTGCCCATCAGAATAAATAAATCACATGTTATACCACATGTAACTTTTTTGACTTTGAAAAAATTGTCCCAAAAATTCACTACATATAGTTCTGTAGCTGCTCAGGCAATATTGTTGAAGCCATTTCTTAGTAACAGAAAAGGTGTTACATGCAATTGAGTTGATGAGATTACACAAAAATGTTGAGTAAGTGTATGTAGTCAAGCTTTTGAATGCTTTTGTCAATCTGAAAAATGTTACAGCACATATTACATATGAATAACTTATCCTGATAAGCAGATAACTTAGCAGAACTATTTGTATTTCATAGCCACCTATTCACTGAGCCTGCTACACATATGTAGTGTGGCTGTTATGGCCCAGGTGTGGAGTGATAGACATTTTATGACAAATCATACTCCCAATCATTTTTTCATGCCCACTTGGGGAAGTTGAATAATGTTTGCAGTGATGCAGTCCAAGAAATCTCCCAAATATCCTCTACTATCTTGGAGATTTTTCTTCGTGAACCATCTTCATCCATGCAGACAGATGCAAAATGTCTGACAGATCCCAATGGTGCTATCTACTGTTGAAAGACAATCAAGACAGATGTCATGAACGTTATAGGTTTGTGAAAGGAGGAGATGAAATACTTACGGTTTAGTTATACTCAATCTGATAGTGATGTTAACGTTTCTTTGAGAGTGTTTTATTCCCAATCAAGTTTGTTGTAGATCAATCCCAATATGTTTGTGAAAGATGTGTTTTAGATATATATGTTAAGCTTTGTTCTTGTCTTACTCTCTTTTCCTCATCTATTGGAAAGAGAGTAAGTTTTCCCAATAGTCTTGTTATTTCGTTTTATCACTAACATCGACATTGATACACAACAGAACCTTTAGATCAACTGAGCCATCTTATACGCTCGTAACTCTTATTTTCTCATTTCACTTTTACCTCCAAAAACTTAGGTACATACATATATTTACTTTTCTCTTTATCCTATTACATCATTAACACTTTACTATCTTTTCACTTTTTCTTATTTGATTGTTGTTCAGGTTTGTCCCGCGTCTGCATACGTGTGGAGTGTTAGGAGAAGTGTGCTCACGTTTAGCACAATATTAACAGGTTAGTTATAAATGAAAATCATCATATCTATTGGAAAGAGAAACCTTTAGATCAACTGAGCCATCTTATACGCTCGTAACTCTTATTTTCTCATTTCACTTTTACCTCCGAAAACTTAGGTTTGTCCCGCGTCTGCATACGTGTGGAGTGTTAGGAGAAGTGTGCTCACGTTTAGCACAATATTAACAGGTTTGTCCCGCGTCTGCATACGTGTGGAGTGTTAGGAGAAGTGTGCTCACGTTTAGCACAATATTAACAGGTTAGTTATAAATGAAAATCATCATATCTATTGGAAAGAGAAACCTTTAGATCAACTGAGCCATCTTATACTTTACTATCTTTTCACTTTTTCTTATTTGATTGTTGTTCAGGTTTGTCCCGCGTCTGCATACGTGTGGAGTGTTAGGAGAAGTGTGCTCACGTTTAGCACAATATTAACAGGTTTGTCCCGCGTCTGCATACGTGTGGAGTGTTAGGAGAAGTGTGCTCACGTTTAGCACAATATTAACAGGTACCCCGTGTCTCTAGCCATTTACATCTACACCCCTGTACAGAGCAGTATTGTGGTAATATCATGGTTTTGTGCTCTGGCCTTAAGCCTAGAGGTTTCATGCTCTCTGTACACCTTGTTCATCCATGTGGAAGGATGCACAGTGTCTGGCAGATCCCAATGGTACTATCTACACCCCTGCACGGAGCTGTGGTGCAGGGATACCTTTGTTTTGTGTTCTAGCCTCACACTTAGCTGTTTCATGGCCCCATGGTGGTGGGCCCCTGCAGCAGGGCTTTGTGGCTCTCCCAGCAGGCCTGTTGCAAGCCATAAAACCCTGCTGCAGAGGGCCATCAACACAGTACCATGACACTGCATCTGTAAAGTGCAGTGTACACTCTCAAGTACTGTGCTCACCATAAAGTGCAGCAGGGCTTTGTGGCTGCCAATGTTCAGGCCTGCTGGGAGCCAACAAGCTCTGCTGCAGATTCCCACAACCACGGGTCCATGTAACATCTAGGTGTGAGGCTAGAGCACAAAACAACCGCACCACAGCTCCCCACAGGGATGTAGATAGTACCATTGGGACAAGGGGAACAAATTTTGGCAAGAAGTACCATCCAATCTCACACCATTATTTTGACTTCACTTGTAAGTCTGGAAGTTTTGTTATCTTTTTGATTGCTCTGACTTGACTAAGAAAGAGCAGAGTTAGACTCTGTTAAGTTAGTTGATTGCTATTCAAAGAATTCATTTACATTTGTTGATTTTATTTTATCTCTTCATCCCTTCTTTCTTTTTGTGTTTTTGTTGCCAGTGTTTTTTCTTGTTTTCAACTATTGTGTCCGCCAGCCACCCAGTAGGCTAATGTTTTCTATTGAGAAATTTTATTACACCTTGGGAATCTTACCCACAACTTCAACATCACCATGATATGTAAAAAAAGACGAAGTGAAGAATAGAAACAAAGAAACAAATTCATTGAAATCGTAAACATGCCATCATGATAGAGTCACGTAGAGGGAGAAAGATACAAGGCTTCATCCAGTCATACATAGCTTCAGAACAAGAGGAGAAGAGCAAAAAAAAGTCGTGAAAGAATTTACAATATAACTATATTATCTGACAAGAAATGAAGTGAAGAAGATAGATAAATATATGTTCTATGAAAGCGTGAAATGGGACGTCATGAGAAGGTCATAAAGTGGTCAAAAGCTCTAAGATTGCATTTAGTCCCACACAGGACCCCAAAAAAGAAGTTGATGAGGGTATCGCGTAGCACTCCTGAATTTCCAGTTAAAAGCTCTGATGAGTTTTTTCAAAATTCATCAGCCAAAAGCGGAGACGTAAGCTATAGCACAATCTCGAATCTGCATCGAGGGGATAGCGTACCCTTGATGAACAATTGGCTTATTTCCAATGTTGATACCAATCTCCAGTGAAATCATCCCCTGCCATACCTGGTACCACGTTTATTGGGTCTTTGCCGGATGGGTCTTTGCCGGATGGGTCTTTGTCGAATAGGTCTTTGTTGGAGACTACTTGGCCAGATCTTTGGGAGAAGTTTAGATTAGATTGAAAGGATGGCATGGATTTTCCGTTGTAAGCTAAAGAGACGTACTTGTTTGACTTCAAATGGAAAGTATTTGATTTCGGTTGCTCAGATCTATGAGAAAAGTTTTGATGAAATTGAAGCCAGACAATCATTTCAGGTTAAAATTCTCGAGTGTGATGTTGCGTTTTCAATTGAGGGTACGTACGGGATTGTAGAATGAGGCCCACTTTTGTTATTGGCTCTACAAGAGAAATCAAGGTGAAATTGAAAAAAGACGGCGATCGCTGGTTAAAATTATTGTTTGTGAGCTGGCGTCTTTGATTGAAGAGACGTACGGAAGTATATCATTCTTTCCACTGGCGTTATGGGCTCTATGCGAAAAGTTTAGGTGCAATCAAGAACGGAATGGTAAGAGTGCAAATGAGAGTTGTGATTTTGATCCTTTGTCTGCAACTCGAGAGACGTACGAGTAGCTTGGCGAAGATTCAAATCTTTTCATCTTGGAGGGATACGTTGATACGATCGTGACTAAGAAGCAATACGTGGAGTCATATCAGTGGATGGCGATAGAGTAAGGGTGATCGAGGGAGCTGAAATATACCACACAGGAACATGAGGATCACCACACCCGTGCGTTCGCAGTTGAAAAAGGAAAGCATGATGAACGATTTGGGGAAGGTTGAAAGCACCGGTGGTTGAAAGAGTTCGTACTTTGATTCGATAAAGATGAGGTCGCTGCCGTGGAGATCTTCGCCTCAAAGCCTGAAATTCGAAAGCTCTTATATGGTCCCATCTAACGACTCCGTTGCATACATACTTTCGTCATCTGTATGCTGTTGGAGATTGACTGATCGGTGGCGAATTATGAGAAGCCATAAGAAGACCGAGAAACTGGTTGTGTTGGTTGTGTGAATCGGCAGCAAATTGCTCACATACTCAACGCCTTCTGCATGCCCTTACTCTACAAAAAAAGAAGTGCTTCAGGTGGGAGTTAATAGGATATTTGTGCCATGGCTAATATGACCATAAGCTACGCCCACATCATCCCACTCGCCCGTCCGAAACTAGCGGAGGAAGGGTTGTTTGGTGTATTCGGAAAACGGCATGTGTTCCAACCTTCCGAATCTACTTACCTATGAGTGCCATGTTATCATGAGGCTCAGCTCATCCTGTTACCTGGCTGATGGAACGTAATAGAAACACTTCTGTACTTACCATACAAATCGTCTTTATGAGAGTCTACTAAACAAGAAAATAGAAACCGAAGGGATCATGAGAGCCACATTGCAATTGATAATCAAATCAGCCCCTTCGGCAAAGAAAAGCAAAGAAACCCCGCGTTTGGGTAGAAAAAGGTGACGCGTAGCGGGGTATGTACGTAGCCTTTCTGGTTCCCCGTTTTTCAGAGCTGAGCCGCCTTAAGCTCTCAAGGTGAGTTTGCGTTCACCTCAGTTGGTGATGGAGCCAAATCTTTAATGGGATTATACCTTCAACTCGAGATCTGGACGGGGTTTTATCAATACTCAAGCCTGCTACTGCCAGGCTTTTTTTCGTGTAGAATTCTTTGGCCTCTCTACCCAGGTTGGGCTCAGCCTCAATGAAAACACAATAACCGAGGTTCTGTCAGTCGCCTTTGATTCATGATATCAAAAGGTTTCGTCACTGTCTTACGCCGTATCTATCTGCAGTCAGCTCCTGATCTGGGAATGTCTTTCTCAATTTCTTTTTGAGTACATTGGTCACGGTCATCAGGCTTAACTACTGATCACGATAGAGTCAAATGGCCGGTCGAGATGAAGTACTACTCATCATTCTTCTGAGCACAAGTTGGAATCCCGTCTCATTTGATAAGCACATGAGTTCTGATCAAGTCTTGCCAGAAAGAGCGTCGTAATGACCTTATCCTGGTATGATACTGTGTCTTCGGCGTCACTACAGTGTTGTAAGAGCTATCTGTGCATAATATCGACTAGCACGCCGAAGTGAAGAAGGTATACGGACACTCGACAAGTTGGATATTGATTTGGTGGGAGGCACTTCACATTGATCGTATGTTCAAAAAATAACACTATCCTACTGAACAGGTATTATGTGACGCCATTAAACCGCGGGGAAAAAATCACAATGTCTGTAACATGATGTGTAATAAATGAAGTGAATAAGACTGATAAATATAATCATTTGAAGCGTAAAGTCAAACATCATGTGAAATTCACTCAAAGGTAAAATATTATCTAAAGTGTCCAATCATTTTCACACGAAATGATCAAAAACATAAAGTACTAAAGTATCACGTTGTAGTATTGCATTGAATGTTCCGATCAAAAGTCTCGAATGATGCTTTGAGATTTTCTCAGCAAAAAGCGGCGCTAGATGCTTTGATTTCGGATTCGTATTGAGGGTATAAGTTAGTTTTGAAAGATCGTCGGCTTAAAGTCTCCAAGGCTCGTCCCAATGGTTTCCAGCATAATCATCTCCCCCAAAGGCTGCTTGTCCCTTATCGTCGTGTAGTTGTCCAGAAGATCTACCAAGGAATGATTGGTAAGCTTTGTGTGAATGACAATGATTTTCCGTTTTCATATATTAAAGAGACGCACGAGTCTGTCTTGGGATGGGTACCACTTTTGTTGGTTTTCCTATGAAAGAAAATGTAGTGAGATGAAGATGTATTGGCAATTATAGTATATACTTTTGCTGATCCGTCTTCAATCAAAGAGACGTACGAGCCTGAGGTCGCAGGAGTAAACTGAGTGGACGAAGGAGACGAAGTGCCAGATTGACCGGTAGGATACGTTGATGCAATTGTGACTAAGAAAAGTATGCACAGAGCCCTATCAGTGAATGTTGATAGTTGAAGAGGTCTTGAGTAAATTGAGATGTAGTGCACCAAAAAACAAGAAGATAATGATCACTGTACCGGTGCGGTCGCAGGCGAAAAAAGAAAGCATGAAGAAAGATAAGGTTCGGTTGAAAGAATGCGGGTTCTGATTCGATCAAGTAGGAGCTGGTCTTCGCATTACTGGCTCAACTTGACGTCTCAAACACTCAAGACTAGTTAGAAGCACTTCAAGTCTCATATACTTGATTTCATTCGAATCACTCAGCCTTACTCCAGCTTCGCCTTCTAGGAAATTGTATGAGCGCATTGGCATTTCAAGAATGTACAAGAATAAAGAAAGGAAAGGTTTACCATCAGTCAACTAACCATTGGAATGGCTAACCGCCATATGTAAGCCATGCTTAAGTTCAATGGAATCATGAATTGAATCAAAACTTTCTGTCTTGGTTCTCTTGGTCGGTTTGCTCCTGTTTGCTCTCGCCAAGGCCTACATAGCAAGGCTGAAGTGAATTCTGGATTCCATCCATAGTCTTCTATGATCAATGTTGTAGTCGGAACTTGGCACCCTTATGAAAAGTCTGTGGCTTGCTTGGCGTCTATAAACAATTGACCAAATTGCTTGTGTACTCGACCGCAATTGAACTTCATGATACCACTCCATCATTGTACTGTCTCTTGCAGAAAGGATGAAAAAATCCAAAAAACTATTTGGCCTTGAGCACCGTGCGCATGGCGGACCAGGGCGGATACTGGCCAATACTGAAAGCCACGATCTCCCCAAAGTTCTCATGAGATCTCATGAGATCTCTTGCCCACGGGACAACTGATCTCGACCAGCCACCTCCTTCCTCTCCTCCCTCCCCAACCAACCCATCGGTTCTCTCGCTTCGCTTTTCATTGACCGACCAGATGGGATTTCAAAGCTACTCTGAGGACATCAAGCTCCTAGCCACCCAAATGTCCTTGGAGAACGTCGACCTCGCCATCATCAACGCGACACTCCGAACCTCCATATCGGCCACTTCGCTCTGGCGTTGGAAACAACTCTACGAGCGTACCAACAAAGTGATCAGAGACCCTCAAACTTACGAAACCCGTGGCCGGCCTCATGTCTTATCCGACGTACACCTCGGCGTCCTCAGCGAGCTAGTCACCGGAAAGCCCTCGATCTACCTTGACGAGCTCCAACAACAGCTAGTCCAAATCACAGGTGTCCCAGTTTCTCAAGCTACAATCAGTCGCGAGCTGCACATACGTTTAGGCCTATCTCATCTGGTCACGAGGGGAGTTCATTCTGCGCAGTGCGCCGAGGCCCGAACCAATTACATGTTGAGGGTGGGTAGGATTCCACCGGAATACTTGGTTTTCATTGGTAAGTGATCCTTTTAATTGAGTAAGATTTTAATGAAGAGCCATTAAGATCTTTCGCTTATCATGTTTTATGTTTTATCTCGTAGATGAGTCCGGCGTCGTGGGTCGAGATTGTCTTCGAAGGAAGAGCTGGGCTTTGAAAGGAACTCAAACACTTCGCCGCAAGACCCACCCTGATAAGGACCATTGGACCGTCTTGCCAGCTGTATGTGAGCGTGGCATGATTGCTGGAACGGTCATCAAAGGCCCGGTGGAAAGAGTTCATGTGGAACTATTCCTTGCTCGGGACCTGGTGAGTCTCTCATCGTAATCGGCTCGCATATCTCTTTGTTTAACGATGCTCCTTTTCCATTTTGTCACTAGCTCCCGGTGATGAATCCTTACCCAGGAGTCAACTCGGTGCTAGTCTTGGATAACGCTCGTGTGCACCACGGAGGCCTCATCGACCAGTTGTGCCACGACGCCGGTGTCCTCTTAGTTTATCTACCTGCCTATTCCCCAGACATGAACCCGATAGAGATTGCTTTCCACAGCATGAAGTGTCAATTACGACGCGAAGAAGCGTGGGACGAGGTGGAAGACAAGGCCGAATACTTACTATTACTTGCTGCGAAGGTTATGACACGCAGGCTGTTACAACCCCTTATCGCTTACTGTGGCTACGCCACCAACCTCTATTGGCAACGATTCAATCGTGAGGCTCAGATTTAGGGTTCAATCGTGATGCTCAGCAACTTGTGTGCGATACTCAAATGTCCTCCAGTGTGTGTGGTGCGATATCGTTCCTCAGCGTGAAATCTTTATATTAAAATGCTTTTGAGCAAATTTGTTTGAGATATCCTGAAGTGCCCAGTGTGATTGAGAATGATTATGCACGTCAGTGTAATTATGTTTGCCATTTCGATTCAAAGGCCAAGAGCCGAAAAGGCAAAAAATGACTAAGCGAGACGTCCTGGTTGTGTCTTGATGGGGCTTGGCTGCGAGTGACTCACTCCAGAAATCCATGAGCAAGGCACTCTTAGCCAAGTCCAATCATGAATGACTTAGCTTGTACTCCTAGCTTCATAATCTGAGTCGCAAATGTCTGTTTAGCTGTTTAGCAAACAGACAAATCGCTAATTTTGCAATTTTGTAAGTTTGTAATCTCACTTTCTCACGTTCTCGCCATCTCACGGATAAACGCTCGATACTGTCACAGTGACATTAACTTCGTTTGAACAAACAGAGTGGGGATTCATTTCTTTTAGCAGAGCGGTGACAACCTTCTACGAGAGTTTACGAGAGGAGATTTAAGCAGAGCAATGACATTTTTAAATAGGGTAGAGAGGAGTTTCTTTAAGCAGAGCAGCGATTTGGTTTTTTAATAGTGTAGTGTGATAAATGGATAAGATAAGGGAAGCGTGTACAATCCATAGGGAACAAGGGTGTCAAAACGATAGGGGACGATTTGAAAGAAACACGGTTCCTTTAAATTAAAACAAGATCATCCTTGAGCTTTGCCTTTCCCTTTGTTGAGAGGTGGGACTCGGAGTTCGCTTTGGCGAAGAAATTCCATATCGTCATCGTAGATTCTTCGTCTTTCGATACGTTCTTCTTCAATGGCGACTAAGTATGTGTAGTATTCCCGGCTTCGGGTCATCAGTTCAATGGCAGTGTCCCATTTGATCCCCCAAGATGCGATTGTCTTCGCATCTAAGACTTCAGGGAATAAAAATCGGCGAAATGATATGATTCCATGGGTGGCTAAAATGTTCACATCCTTCTCAATACCGGCTTCGTCAAGGTCGCAATACTTGAAGTACTTTTCAATGGGCAAGTCGTAGGAAAGCCGTCGGACCAATTTATAATCTATGTTGATCGAATGTCCTTGCATCTCCTCATAGCTACCAATCCGGAACTTGAGTTCCTCATGAACCTTGGCTCGTTTGATGGCTGACATAGGAGCTGTATTGCCAACCGGAGTGGTGTTGGAGACAGGAGAGATGTCGCCGCTAGGGGTTTGACCTAAGGATCGCTTGCCACCGACGTCCTTGAGGATGATGTCAATCCATATGAAGTCGTCTGGATAGATCTTGACCGGTGGGTCGTCAATAGTGATACCCTGGGTCCCCTTGGCCTGTGGTAACAAAGAGTGTCAGGCTTCGATCAATAGGACATATGACGACTTTGACCAAGAAGAATTAGACTTACCAATTCTTCGGACCAAAGTATCAAGGCCTTGAAGGTGAGTTCCATCTTCTGAGTGAGATCCTGCCGATTAAAGATACGCCACCCCTCGCCCTGTGAGGGATGGGTGCTCTTTGTGGGAGTACTCAGTGCTCACTAAAGGTTATATGGTAGGTTTCTCAATTTTAATTTCTTTATTTCAATTATGTAGTAAGTACAAATTGAAGTAAAGAAAGAAAAGAAAGAGGAAAAGGAAGGTACTGACAGACTGTTTGGGTAAACCCTGACAGACTTCAGTTAATTGACTCCTGAATAGGAGATTTAGTAATTATAATAAGATGTTATTATAATAATGAAGGTTGGATCCTGGACCTTCCTTTAATCTCTATTGTAACAGATCAAAGAGTGAATTAGTTCACCAATCTGGTTGTTCTTAAAGTCACCAACTTGGGGTTGTTCTTAAGGTCACCAGCCTGGAGTTCTTCTTAAGGTCACTAGCCTGGAGTTGTTGGAGGTCACTAACCTTGATTGGGTTTCTACTTAGGGGAAGTAGAGGATCCAGAAAGGAATGAAGAATTGTATTACCTACTTTTAATCAGGAAGCTGATTAAAGTTGATGAAGCTTATCACTAGTCTTACTTGTATAAGACTCTTGATATTTTACTTCAATTGAACTTTAATTGTTCTTTAAAAGTAGTGGGTAATAATTGCTTGGGGGATTTCTCTGAAGGCTGAGAGAGGAGGAGTTTATATACTCTTCTCTCCAAACCTAACTGTAGTGATATTTGTTTGTATCACTACAGTGGTTTAGGGTTTAATTATTACTATTAATTATGATTATTATTAATACTACATGATTACATATACCTGCTATGTAATTTATGTAGTATAAGCATTTTAACTCTTGACACTGAGTTATGAGGTGTAATTGGTGTTTTATTACATATTACATATGTTTTTAAATGTATATGTATATGTAATTGATGTTTGTATATGTTCTATTTACAAGTTACATGTGTTTTGTAAGCTATATACACATGTAATTAGGTTGGTAAGTGGGATTTTGTGTATTATAAGTTAGTTTTGGGTACATGTATATGTACTCAGGGCTGACACGCCCTTATTGGTGTGGAGCGAACTGTGACGAGATTGTAAAGCAGCAAGAAACTGCTTTTGAGGGTCCGCCGGAGCAGCATGGGCTATGTCGGAAGTGGTCGAACCACTCGCATGTTGGAGGGTGTGTTGAGCTCGTAAGCGACCCTGACTTTTCGTGAGTTCCTACACAAGTGGCGGGTGGGATTAGTACCAGGCTCTTGGGTAGTTTTGGGTGAGTGGAAACACATATACGTACCGCACTGGCCACCTGGGCTGTTTTGCTCGGGTTGTCCATAGTCACCGTGAATCCACAATTACCAACGGGGTCTTTAGGAAGCGCTGAATAGAACGCTTTGACCTGCTCGTCGCTAGCAATGGGTCGATTGTGATCCTTGGCGTAGTGATTGTGCCGGGCAATGTAACCACATATCTTCACCGTTTTGCCGGCATCCGCAAGGGTGAGTATGGCAGTGTTGCCTCCACCGGGGTCGTTGTCGACTTGGCTAGCCAAAGAGAATAACCGTGCTTTCAAAAAGCTCAAGGAGTGGTTGTTGACTTGGAACGTTTGCCTCGTGATCGGGATTTGAATCGTCTGATACACCGGTTTACTATTTTTCTTAGGAGGCCCCTTAGAGAGGTCGGTCCCCTTTGGCAGGTAAAAAGTGAATTGAACCACAAGGTCACGAGTTCCAGTGACAGTCAAACCTATAAAAGAGATGAATAAGTAAAATGTCTTATTCATGTGTAACGGATGATAACTGGGTCGTACCTGGTTTGACATCTCTCGAGATCGTTCGAGGCTTAGGCAAGTTGCCACTGACGAATTCAATATCCGAGCTGGCCTGAGGTGGCGTATCAAATTTAGGATCTGGTTCCAAATCAGAGCTGAATCCACGCGGAGTCGACCCGTCTTCACGAGGAGAGCCAGTTGACTTTGGAGTTCCCTCTGAGTCCGGTACAACCAGATCCCACGCAGGATCCCACGCAGGGGTGGCAGGGTTTCTATCTTCAGGGAACGAGCGACGGGCGTCAAAGCTGTAACTAAAGGGAACGATCGGAGGTTTCAGCAAACCCTGAAGGAAACAAATAAAAAATGGATTCCAGAATGATATTTCGATTAAAGCTCACTGATTATGAGGACTAGCATGATGCCACCCAGGGGCGGCAAGCATCCTATCTGCAGGTAAGGGTAGCCGATAGTTATTGTGGTTCCTGTGGGAAATAATCGGAGGTGTCAGCAAGCCCTGAAACAAAAAAAACAACAATGCAACTGATCACAAAATAAAAATTGAAAGAAAGCTCACTGTGGAGCAGTAGGGTATGCCCGTTCTCCAATGGGGGTGTCATCTTCGGCAATTTGAGTTAAAGAGTTGAATTTGTTCATAGCTTTAGAATTGGTATAGTCAAATGGTTGGAAAGTGTTGGTCAAACAAAGATAGTGGGTGTCCAGGCGGTTGCTATCGGATTGGATGGAGGGTGGATCGAGGTATTCCAAGAACGGGACACCCATTTTTTGGGCAGTAAAACAGATAGGGCGTCAAGGTTCGCCCTCCTTCGACTCCATATCGTAGTGGACAGATGTTCAGCCATATAGGCGGTATGAGGCTTTCAGTATTGGCCAGTATCCGCCCTGGTCCGCCATGCGCACGGTGCTCAAGGCCAAATAGTTTTTTGGATTTTTTCATCCTTTCTGCAAGAGACAGTAAGACTAAATCCTACAAGCAAAATGGAGAAAGTTGGGCCTCCACTCCTCTATTACGCCCACCTCGCTGATGGAATTTAAAAGAAACATTAAGTTTAACTAAGCAGCTCTCTTCCGACGCGGCCACGTCTTCGAGAGAGGTCTTAGACGCGCCGGATGGACTTTGATAAGTTTAAGAGTAAATAAACAAAACATCGAGCATGAGATTTCTACAAAATCATTCCCTTTGAAAAGTGAAGTAAATAAAGCCCATAATGGTAAGTAGTATCGTGGTAAATTGTTCATCACAGTAAGAAAAAGTGGAAGTGTAAAGCCTTATCACACCCTTGCACGTTGCTGTGATATGAGACGTGTTGTAAATAATATCGAAATCAGTTCTCATTCACCTCGCATCCAGTTGATGATCAGACTTGAGCTTCATATCCAGTAAATCTTGGCATTGAAGTTTCTATTCTTGAGCTCAAAAACAAAATTTGGTTTGATAGGGGCGAGGAAAGTATATATATAGCCATTAAGCCTCCATATATTCTGGATTCTTGGATCTCATATTAATTCTGATCTCGATGTAGTGAGGCTCTGACACCACATCCTTGGCAACACGCATGCATGATTATATTGTAGCAGGTTCAATGACCCAATCTGGGTAAGATCAATGCAATGGGAATGACTTCTCATGATCCACTCATAACTCATCCACTGCTCTAACTCATTCAAACTTTACTATTCTTATGTTTAACTTTCAATCCATTTTCTACATTGTCAAGAAAAAAAACCCACATATTCTTTTGTATAAAAAACAATTAAATTTCATCATACTAAGCAGAAAAAAAAATCACTTCTCAAACCAAGCTTAACAACAAGAGATTGAGAAAAGAGTGTTTAAGGTAACATTGAAATTTCTAAAACAAAAACCCGAGCACCCAATCAAATCAAAACCAAAGTGACTTTTTTTAATGTTCTTGTTGTTGTCTTTTTTCTATTGACCTAATTTTTGAGCTTTAGCATATAAAGAATCCACCACTGAACCGATTTGTTTTAAACAATCTAAAGTATGATCATAAATCAATTCATTTGAAACCTCATCATAAACTTCTAAACAACCTAGCCCTTGATCGATGATCCCATTAAAGACTTTATCCAAAATCATTTGTGATAATTTAGCTTCTACATCTCTTAATGGTAATTTCACTTGATTCGAAATAAAATTTAATTCTAATCTCGAATATGGTTCGATGATCCTTAATAAGTTTTGTTCTAATAATGTATCATACAGTGATGATAAATGGTTCCTAACAATCGGATCATCCGAAAGTTCTGGCATAATCACAATACATCAACATTTATGTAATACCGCACGCGCGCGCACACAAAAGATAAATCATTTACCTGGTTTGTAAGTCTTGAGAGCTTCTTCGAATTTAGCTAGACTTCGTTCTTGGTGAGCTTTAGCAATGGCTTGCATAGCTTCAGTACCACGACCTGTATACTTTCTAGCAAGTTTCGAATTTTGAATCGTTAAAACATCTTCAGGCTATGATTATCAAAAAGAAAAATCAATACACGAATGCTACATTTGATGGGTTAAAAGGGGTTGAAAGTTGACTCACCAAGTTTAACATCACTTTACACATCAACATACATTTCAATGCTAAAGAAGCGCGAGAATCATCTTGACTAGAAAACCCTTCAAGAGCTTCAAAGAAGTAAGAATAACTGGTTTGGAAAAACGATCAAGTCAATTCGTCTTGATGAATCGAGATGGTCAATCAGAACGTGAAGCTTACGCAGTTTTATAATCTTTTGATTCGGCATGAAGTACACCTGATTGAAGATCAAGTTGTGCTTGTAAGAGAGGAGGACAATAAATCGAATTTGCAGCCGTTCTTGCCGAGATCAAAGCAGCCTAAATCGACCAATCCCGTCAGTTTTGAAGGTCAGAAGAATCAGATCAGAATGATGACTTACATTAGCTTTAGGAGGATCAGATAAAGAATGACGAATTTTGCTTTCTAAGAGATGAACTTCCGTTAAAATCAATTTATCATCTAATTTCTTTAATTCGATCAATAAACTTGAAATCATCCCAAGAGCTTCTTTGGTTTGATGATCCTCAAATAAAAGATTAGATAATTTGATTTCCAAAGATTGTTTTAAAAAGATTTGTGATTCTTCTTTTGACCATTGAATGTTTTCTCTTGTGATTTGAATTTGAATGGAAGATGAACTTGGGTTTTGATTTAAAGGTGGGCTTGAGAAATAATCGATCAAGGTTTTGATCAGTTTAGATGTTTTGGCTTTGGCTATTGAACTCATGAATGATCTACATGATCTGATCGTGTCTGCTAATCCATTCGGATCACTGTTTGATTCCAACATGATAGGGTCAGTTAACAATCCAATACACTAAGAGATTGGTTGTAAATCTTCACTCACTTTTGATCACGGTAGATTTCTCCTAATTTGATCAAAGCTACTTCTTTCTCTCTTAATGCGTTTTCATCCTTGATATCTGAAAAAAGATTAGTATAAGATTAGTGAATTTCTGATGAGATGTGATAAGATGTGATTGACTTACCAACTTGATTTGATATGATTTTGATAAGTTGAGATTGAGCTTGTTTTGGATCTGATTTGATTAAGTTTTCGATTGATTGGATTGAGCTTGACATGGTTTGTTGAGAATGGATGATGGATGGTGAATGGATGGTGTGAATGGTGAAGTAAATGCTGAGTTTAGTTTTTGAAATTTGAATTTGATCGATCGATGACGCGGCTTCGATACAACTTCTCAACCAACTTACACTCTCACTCTACCATCAACCTCAACCACCCACTTGGAACACCTCACTCACAGTCCAGACTATCATCAGCAAACCATGTCAACTTCAAATAACACCAATGCTTCATCCGATCAATCAATCCCATTACCTTATCCTAACTTACTACAACAAGATCGTCGGTTTATCTTAAATCAATCGAATTCTAAACACTTACACGAAAAAGCTTTCGATGAGTTGATCGAGAATATTAAAAAAGATGGTAAGTCCCAAAATCGTCATCATCATTCTACAAATCATTAGCATTCTTATTCTAACTTGTTCATTGATCCTTTTTATTTTAGAAATGGGTCCATTCTTAAAAACAATCTTAGAAGAAGACCAACATCAAATCCCATCCAATCTATTATCTAAAATACCTAAAACCTTACTTCAAGAATTAGAACAAATCAATCAAGAAAAACTTTTATCATTAGAACAAAAGATTAAAGATTCGATTGAAAACTTAGGAGAAACTGAAATTTCGGATTCATTAAGGTCTAAAGCATCTTATCTTTCTCAAATCGGTGCCAAAAAAGAAGAGTGTATTAAAGCATTTGAAGATGCATTAGAAAAACAAGCTGGTTTAGGTTCTAAAATCGATTTAAGATTGGCTTTGATTAGGGTTGGATTCTTTTATTTAGATCATTCACTTATTACTCAAGAATTTGTTAAAACCAAACAGTTTAGTATCTTTTCATATCCTCTTTAATCTCATTTTTTTGATATTAATTCATCTTGGACCTGATCTTGGTGTTTTTTTCTTTGTCTTGATCAGATTAGTAGATTCGGGTGGTGATTGGGATCGAAGAAATCGTTTGAAAGTTTATCAAGCAATGTATTATATGGCCATTCGAGATTTCAAAGCTGCTACTCCTCTTTTGTTAGATACGATCAGTACTTTTACGGCTACTGAATTATTATCTTATGAAGATTTTATTACTCTGACTATCATTTCTTCTGGATTATCATTAGAAAGAAAAGATATGAAGAAAAAGGTCAGAATCTTCATCATTTGATCATTTCTTATTGAATGCCATTCTAATCTGAGTTTGATTTTTAAATTGATATTTCCTTAGATCATCGAATCACCAGAAGTAGTTTCAATCATTTCAGAAAGACCTCATTTAGATTCATTAGTTTCATCAATCTATAATACAGAATATGATAAATTCTTTATTGAATTATCAGAAGTCGAACAAATTTATTTGATTCCATCTCGATTACTTTCGATTCATACTAGGTTTTATGTTAGAGAGATGAGGATCAAAGCTTATAATCAATTACTTGAATCATATAAAAGTGTTTCGATGAAAAGTATGGCTAAAGCATTTGGTGTGACGGAAGAATTTATTGATAGGTTTGTGGTTTTTTTCTTTTTCTTTCGATTTGATTTGACTTGAGTTGAGTCATTTGGGATCCTAATATGTGTGTGTTTTCTCGTGCGGGCGGTTCAAATAGTGAACTTTCTAGATTTATTTCGGCTGGTAGATTGAACTGTTCGATTGATAAAGTTAATGGGATTGTGGAAACTAAACGACCTGATTCTAAAAACTCAATGTATATCTCTGTAGTTAAAAATGGTGATAGTTTATTAAATTCAATACAAAAATTGAGTAGAGTGATTGGTTGAAGGAAATGAAATGAACAATCTCAAAATCAACTCTGTGTTTTTTTCTTTCTTTCTCTGATTTGATTTTTGGTTTAAGAATCGATTCTATTTTTAGTTGTTATCAATGATTGATACTTTTTTTCTTTTGGGTAAAGAAATCATTTTTATTTACATTTTTTTGTAAATTTATTCTCTAACTTTCGAACGAAGACATTGAGTGCTTTTCATGACGTCATGGGACCGATTCCAATGTCATTGAGAGTGTAGAGCAGATCTACAATTCACTACAATGTAACTTATCCGTACGAATTCTAAAAAAACCTTGCCACCAACAAGGGGTTCTATCTATCGTAAGCCATGGTACGAAGTCATATACCCCGATGTAAAGTGAGGAGGTACAGTCGGCTCTGGTTAAACCGACCTCCACACAATTGGGTTCCGAAGCTGTCGGTTTTCACCGAGTACATATCTGTTTGGTCAAAGCATATTTCGTTGAGAATGAAAACTTATTTGGCCACAAAAGTATTGGTTTTCGTCCGAATCGGAAATGAATTGTAACTGCAGTCGCGTCTTAGAACACCGATATCCAAACGATTGGTTCCAAAATCATCAATTTTTACCGAGTCCATATCTCTTTCTTCTCAATCAATTTTCGCTAAAAATCAAGATTTCTTTCACCCAAAAAATCATCCTTAAACATGAATAAATATTTCAAAATTGAAGAATCAAAACCAAATTCAAATGAACCCAATTTAATAATTTGTTTAAATTCAGATGCATTTCAACATCATCCACCGAAAGGTAAAAGAGGAACTCCTTCTAGAAGATTATATGATGATGATGAATGTGTGAAGAGATGGAAAGATGAATTGGGGGACAGATTGGCTAATCTTTTGGAATTACCACCAGGTAAGTGTAGATTTTAAATTTCTTTATATAAAATCAGAATTGATGAAACTTGTTAGGAGATTAACTGATTTGATTTGGTATATGTATTATGATTTCAATCCTAGGCAAGAGATATAGTTTGAAAAATTTTCCTAAAAATTATTATTTATACAAGTATGCAAACTATGGTCCAAGTACCATGGACAAAACAGTCTTGTATGGTAAGACAACACTTTGAAATTGAATAAATATTTTTTGAAAAAGTTTTAATTTTGTTGATTGATGATCTATTTGGATTTTTTGTTTTGAAAAATAGGAGATTGTCCTCCCAAAAGGTTTTGGTCTTATCGTCACTTTGCTAGCTCACATGAATTCCTATTACATCTTTATTGGTTATGTACAAATTCACGTGAAGCAGTTGGGAAATGTCAGTGTCGAAAGTGTACTTCTCGAAAACAAAGGGAGGTTAAATTGTTTATAACTGAATTAGAACAATCAAAACAATCAGAAAGATTAAAAGCTGCAAGAAATCAAAATGATGATGATGATGAAAAACCTTTAAAGAAAGTCAAAATTCAAGAAGTAGATTTATTTCACTCAAGTCCATCTAGTATTGTTTTTGAAAAAAAGATTACTCAAGAATCAAAAGTGATTCAAATTTTATTTTCTGATAACATTAGTCAAATTTCACAAGGAAGTCAAATTAATTCTGAACAATTTGAGATTGATATCTTCCAAGCTTCAAATGAAATTAAAGTTCCTTTTCCTAGTTCTAGTGTTCTCCAGGCATCTGTGCAACCTATCTTTCTTTCTATTAGATCTAAACGTACTCAAACTTCACACAAGCTTCTCTCAAGTGATCCGACCAACACTCAAACATCAAAGGAAAGAGTTCAGTCTTCTAGATCTAGAATTACTCAAGCATCAAAAGGAATCAAAAGTACTCCTCATCTGTCCTCTCAAGCTTCACTGACTGCTGAACCATCATCTCAATATCAATTTTCAATCCAACCAATCAATCAAAAACTAAAAGATGATAAATCATACAAATCAAAAACTCACTTAATCAATCATGATGTTATACCATCAAGTTTACCTCAATACAGATATCTTGAATTAGTTTGGTTTAAATTAAAAAAACCAATTGAAATTCCTGCAAGTATAATCAAAGAAGAAAAATCGATTAAAATCAAACTTTGGCCATCAATTGTACTTTCAATTGGATCAAAATTTAATGAAACACCTAAACCGTTTCATATAAGATTACTTGGAATTCATAAAACTAACAAATCAGTCTTTGATCATGAACTTTTACCATGGAGAAGTTATAATTATGAAAAATTAAGAAACCAACTTAGATGTCAAATTGAAATTAATGAAGAGATTGAAGAAAGTTTGATTTATGAAGATTACCAAATTGCTATGACTAATCTTTCTTATGCAATTCAAATTAGTGTTCATTTACATTCGATGATCAGTTTGAGTGAAAATGATGAAAATGAATTGATTGAAAGTCAAGAATATGAAAATTATGATAATCAAATTTGGTTTGGAGCTGAGGTTTTATCAATTGGAGATTTTGTTATCTTAAATGAAACTATCAATCAAAAACAAAAACAAAAATTTAAAAGTAAATCTGAATTAAAAGAAGATGAAAAGACTTGTAAAGTGATGTTAATTGGAGAAATTCAAAAATCAAATCAATATGATCAACATTCAAACCAATTATATGAACTTACTGGACATCTGTTTACTACCTTAATTTCCAAAAAATCAAACTTAAATCAAATCAAATCAAATTCTAAAACTAAAAAAAATGATGATGAGAATGATGAAATTGCATTACAACCTTATTTTAAAGATCAAATCAATCCATCAAGACTTTTAAGAAGGAATTCTACATCAGGTTTTGAATTTGATTTGATCACTGAAACTGGTAAAGAAAGTGGTATGAAAGTTAAAAGGTTAAGTAATGTGGTAGTAGGTAGAATGTATTCACTTAATCATCTTGGTAAGTTTTTAGAACCTGAAAGGATTCAAAACAGTAGTATGTCAGAAGTTTGTGGTTTAAGAGTTGAAGAAGAAATCAAAAAGTATGTGATTTTTTTTATTTTTGTTTTTATTTTTTAATTGATCATTGAACTAATCAAGATCAAATTATCCTAGTCGGTTGATTATTCCTTCCAGGATTTCAGCTATCTCTTTTGCAATTCAAAAGGCAAGGGAAGACGTAAGTTGATCTTTGATTAACACTTGACATAAGACAATGTATTGATTTAATCTCTGTTAGTTTGAAATGGAGGGGTTCAGGTTCAAATAATATACACATAAATTAGAAGAAAATGGAAACACAAACTAAGATGAAGTATTGGTTTTTCTTCAAACAAGATTTATTTTGCAAGTTTTTTGATTGGATTTTTTCAGCTTTATATTTTTAACTTTCATGATCTTTTTGACAAAAAAAGATCATCTGTTGATCAAATTATTTCTAAATGTACAATCAAGAGTGTGTAAGCTTTCAAGTAAATCACTGTTATCTGTACTAGTAGTATGTATGTAAGGATATCTTTTCTCAGATTCTCAAAACCAAATCTGTTTTTTTTAACAAGTCAATCAAATTTAAAACATGAAGTATTTGTATAATAAAACTTATAAAGATCAAAGTAAAGGATTAAAGTGAAATGCATTTAGTAATGGTTGTTTTGCTACTCCCAGTTGTACTCACAACATCAAGTTTTGACAAGAGACAAACTCTTTATGAGATTCTGAGATGCACAGGAATACATAGCTCAGATAAAAATGCATGATTGATTTTATCTTGTGGTTGGTAACTTGTTCTTAATGGAAGGGACCGGGGATAATTGGACTTGTATATGTGACGTACTGACATTCATTGGATACCTACAGTTACATTTGTTTGACTTCAATGAGCTTATAGCTGTTTACCCATTCAGTTATGTATCCCATAGTGTTCTCTTCTGTCAATTTCATTTCTTCCTTGGATTCTCATTCAGAGTATCATTTCTGCGGGAAGATCACATTTCAGCCATTCAAATAATAACATTTAAGTCCTTGTTTTATTACAAAACTTCCATTTCTTTAAAAAAATTCAAATGAGCCAAGACAATTTCAACTTTAGCATGGATAGGGAGGTTAACAAGAATTTAGAAGCCCTTTCCCTTGCATACACAAATGCTAAGGGCCCGTTTGGCTGGTTTTCCAAAGATTCATTACACAAAAACAAATTTTCAATCTGCCCCTTTTTCAAGGGGCGGGTTGAAATACCTGATTTTTGGTATTACACTTTACACTTCACCAAAAACTCAACCAAAGAGCTTATTGAAAAATTGAAATGGAGGGGCAATTGAGTGTGAAAACTCTTGTTGGTCTCAAAAACAGCCTCAGGGCTGTTTTTCAAAATTGAAGACTTTTTGATAAAAAACAGTTTTTGGTTTTGATCAAATACTGTTGCCAGACGCTGGTATTTTTCACCAAAACCAAAAACCGTATTTGACCAAATACAGTTTTTGGCTTTGGAGAAGTATTTGGTTTCCAGCCAAACAGGCCCTAACGGTTCTGTTGATAAAACAATGTGTTGGGTTTGTTCAGAATTTTCAAAGATGTTTCCTTAAACGGCAGAAAATTGGTACCAGAGATGGTCAAAATTTGCATCCAATCTTATCAAATTTGCTGAGACTGCTTCACTTTCTACACACCAAAATGAAGGCCCTATCCCCGCAGGGCCTGTTTCATCTGACAAAGACCCATTTTTGTTTTTGATCTCACATCAAACCCAGTCTTTCCACCTGACACACCAAGTCAACATGGTTCTTAGGGCAGTTGTAGTCAAAAATCACATAGATCTAACAGAACTTCACTACCTGCTAGCAGTAGTGATTTTCCTATACATGCTCCAAAACAAATTGATGTCACCCAGAAGGTTCAAAATGTTCCCAAAAATCAACAAGAATTTTCTTCACATAGAGGAAAAGAGAAGAAATCTAGGAAGGGCAGTGATGCAGAATCATATGTTTCAGATGCAGATGATAAGCTTGTGGAACATCAAAAATGATTTGAATATTTTCCTAGGATGTCTCTGGGTCCAAACTCAACAGAGAACTACACCCCAAGTTCTACACAATTTGCCGCGGCAAAGAAAGGCTATGCTGCCAATCTGTCACTGGCAGTCAAAGGTTTCAACAACTCAGTCAAACCACCTGATTTTCCTGATGCTTTATCAAAGGGACTATTACAGGTAAATACATTGAACTTTGATCAATTAAAGGTGAATATTTACATTTAAAGAAAGGCATGTCTCCAGCGCTTACCGTGGCTAGAGAAGACAAAGTTCTCAAACTTCAACCAAAAATGCAATCTTTTCAACTCAATGATGTTTGAGAATGGTTCTACTATTTTGACATTCTTCAAAAAACTTACAAAGAATCATTTCTGAGCTGTCAACAATACTTTGCTGCATATGCAAAAATTTACATATGTCAGACAACACTCAAGCAAATTGGTATTGTGTGGTGAATTTTGATGCAACACTTGGAGGAAACTTTGCTTCCAATAACAATTTATCTTTTTCTGATTGGGCTCATCCAAAATTCTCAACCCTCAAGACAAGACACAAGGATGGCGCCCATTGGATTAACAATCCAATGGTCTCTACAAGCATTTTTCATCCTATGGCTTCAACGAGTGGTTCCCAACATAATTACAACCACCAATCTAACCCTCAAGTTCAAGATAGAATACATGCAGCAACTGTTACTCAAGCTTCCATTTGTAAGACACCAAGTTCTCATAATTATTTTGACCCAGATTTTAAGAATCAAGGGAAATTTTCAATTGAAGATACTGGGGATGCAAAGGATCCTGAAAAGTTTTGTTACAAGTGGAACTTACATGATTTCTGCAAATGGGGTGCTAAATGTTGAAGTCTCCACTGCTGTGTTTGTATTTCTTTCAAATATCTATTCTTAATTTTGGAAATAATCTCAAACCAACTCTTGAGTTAATTATCAGGACAACTTCTCCAGCATCAATCCCTGTAAACAGTGATATTAGATCAGAAGTGGATCCCAATCAGAAATTTTTAAGAGGATACATTTGGGACAGGGTAAATCCTGTTGGTTATTCTCCGGCAATCAAATTGAGACTGTATGCAAGACCTTTTCTGGACACGCCATCCCTGGAGATAGACAAAGACACCGCTTACATTCTTAAGCAATACCATTATATTTTTAAAATCAAAACTCCTATGAACATAGACAAAATGGAATCTCTTGTAGTTGTGACCAATTGTTTAATGTGAAGTCGGTACTTAAGGGTTTATGAAGTGGATTTTGGCCCAGCTCAGATCTTCCAAATCCAGAAGCTATTGAAGGTCCAAATCACATAAAAAATGATGAAGAGCAACGTCTGTTGGAAAGCTGGTGCCAGGAGGAGATTGACAAAGGAAACTTTTCTGACACATTCTCCCTACTCCTTGGAATTAAAGTACTCCCTCTTCTTATGGTATCAAAGAAAGATTCCTTAAAAATGAGAGTGTGTTCAATACCCAAACCGCTCCTCTCCAAATAGTGGTTTTGGAGCGGCTTGGTGGTCCGCTGTGACCTCTACAACTGATAGTGGAGCCTCTGCACCAAAGCCAAAACGCAAGGATCTCCATAGCGGAGCAACCACAACAAAATGGGTCGGGGCTTTGGGCGCAAAATATAGCGATTGCGATTTCTCTGCTCCAAAACTTTGCAAGACTTTTTTTTTCATAAATAGCAATTGCAGAGCGGAGCGATCCATAGCGCCAACTCCAAAACGCTATGAAATTGGACCAAATTTCATAGTGTTTCGGAGCGGTTTGAGTGTTGGTGTGTTCAAACATGAGCCATGGTCATCCTTTCCCAAACAACCTTATCAACAAAGACAATATAGCAGTCACCAACAATTCATTAAAATCATTCATTCCATTCCTGATTAACATGAAATGGGAGTTTGGTGAAGTCATTTAATTCAAGTCCAATATCAAGGGAGAATTTCACATTCTTCCTCTTCACAAACAGTATCAAATCCGTCAAATCTATCACATTAAAAAGAAAGTTAGAGCAGATCATATGCTGAGTTTTTGGTTCTTCAGCATCTCCTGACATTTGGTGTGGGGTGTTTTCTTTAGTTTTATGGATTGCTGAGTGCATTTTTGAAATCAGGTATATGAACAATGTGATGGACAATGTTTGGGGAGTGTGTTCAGCAAAGCATTTTGTTGACTTCAAAGGCCACCAGATTCCAACTCCTCAGGCAAAACTACTCAACTTATTCACCATCTTGGGTTTTCTGTGGTTCTGGAAAAAACAAATCCATGGTCCAGTAATTGAAAGTATTGGACATGTCATGGATTCTGAGAGAATGATTTTTTATCTACATCCGGTGTAGTATTTGAAGCTCAACAAGAGCTTTACAACGCCTAAGAAGGGATAATCTACTACGTGAGAATAGTAGAAGTTGCCTACAGACTGCCTTCTTCAAAGAAACCAGCACAAGGGCACTTGCTGACCACTTTGTGATAACAGATAAATAGATAAAGGCACCAGAGAAATGTTCTCAACTTTTATAAGTATTATTCCAGATTTTAAGCACAAAAAGTCCACAAACAATTTCAATTACTAGCACAACCGTTGAAAGCATTATTCCCAAAGAGACTTATAGTCTTGAACACACATAAATAAAATTCTCCTTGCTTTGAAGGGGCAGATTTAAGTGATCTTAGTACAAATATGGTAAATAAATGATGATTGATAACACTACAACAAAGGTATAAGATGCAGAAAAGGGAACAACAATCCCAAAATCATCAGTGAGTATTTTTATCCACATGTAACAACTCCTACAATGGTCAACAGCCTCAAAAACCAGTCAATTCCGCCTAAAGAACCCTAAAAACCATATGATGACGCAATGTAATGATCAAGTCACTAATGTATGATGTAATTTACACAGCCAAAAGTGATCAATTACGCAATAATTTGATGTAAAGCACTTCTTATGATGAATACAGGTGATTTTTTCCTTGTAAACTAGCTGCAAACCAATTTTTGAGATTACAAATTTTTTCAGATGGAGTCCAATTCTGGATTACTAAAGTGCATCTTGGGAAGCTTGTGATACTGATCAATAAATGGCGCCATATTGGGTATTTCGGATGATTGATGAATGAGTTATTGAGTTGTGAAGTTAAGGTTTTTGGTGTTACATGTATGCTTGTGACTGTAAATTCAAAGTTCACACCAATTTCTTATTTCCCTTATAACTCTTTTCATACACCTCTGCTACTAGTGATTTAAAGTTTGTAAATTATGTAATCCACTCTTTTGCTTGAATGAGCTATCTGCCATCACAATCTCATGTCATTTAACATATGTAATAAGCTGAAAACCTTCATTTTTGAGAAAATTCACCCATTTTTACTACTTTTCACAGCTGTTACTCCTTTTTCCTTGCTCATGTGATATGAAATCATCTTCTATAGCCTTAAAAATCCCGGAAAATTTCCTTGGCAACCTTAAATCCTGCTACTACCACCTTTACATATGTAATTTCCACGTATAGCCCTTGTTCACCATCCTCAAGAAAGCACCTTTCTCCTAATAACTTCTGTTTCTCCTTATCAACCTTCAATATTAAAATTGTTACATCATAATATAATTTTGTTCTTTTATATTCTAACCTCACAAAACCCATAAACCTAACATTACTACCCTAAAAACCATCTTCCAGCCTGTGTACCTATATTTTCAATTTTTTCTTATCTTTTTCTTATCTTTTTCTTTCTGTCTCTTTGTAATAACTTTGTAAGTAAACTATAATGATATTAAGAATATTTTTGAAATATGATGACATAATCTTGACCCAATAACCACACATAAGCCTATAAGAGCTTCAATTGATCTGAAAAAACCCATTTCAAATTTTCTGCTACACTGAAGTTTTCAGATAACTTGGTAAACTAATAATGATTAATTTTTTTGAGTGATCCCATAAATAGATCACCACACCGGACAAGAAACTGACATTGGTTGATTTGGTTGAAAAATCTGTTTTGAAACCAAGTCATTCTTTGAAAGATTGGCACGAGTTACTAGGTACTGCATCATGGGCTTGCACTTCAATGCACTGGGGTAGGTTTGATTTATAGACTTCCAACAAATTTGAATAGCGAAATTCAAAGAGATTTACAGTGGTTATAAATTTTTCCAAAATTTCTGATGGTATCAAAGTCCTGCAAACGTTGAGATGGGGGTTAACCAGAAGCATTCAGTTTTCTTTTCAGACGCTTGCATGTTGGGCATAGGCATCTGGGAGCCCATTCCAGCTTTAGGATTCTATTTCATTTTACCCCCTCCAGATTGTGATATCTTTTGGGCTGAACTTTTAGGTGTGGTTTTGGCAATAGACATTGGCATTAACAATTGTTCTAAACAGATCTTTGTCCATTCAGACAACAAATTAGTTGTTGATCTTTTCAGTTACCATTGTCACAACTAGACAGTTTGTCCTCTATTTTGTTATTGTATTATGCGCTTGTTAGAAGCCAGAGTGAAAGTTTGTGTCATGCATGTCTCAGCTGAAAATAATTCATGGGCTGACAAATTATCTTGCCAAAAGGTTTTGTTGACAGAGGACACTTACACTACTCTTTGTCAAATCACTGGTGCTTCTTCAATTTACTTTTTGAAAATTGATTCTTTCCTTGCTTTGGGTGGATTAGAAGCAAATTTATCAGTTTCAAATTCTCACGTCCAACCATGTGTAGATCTTCCATAAAAAAATCATCAATTAAGCATATCAGTTTATCAGATTTAAGAAAGTTATTGAACCAAGATTGTTTTTGTACAGTCTGCAAATTTAAGCTATTTAAATACAAATCCGGTTTTAAAAGATTTGCAAATTTTTGTGTTCTCTTTAAACAACCTTTTATTCCTAATGTCAGAAACTTATTTGATTTGATATCTTTTGCTAGTTGCTCAATCTCTCCACGATCAGTCCAAGCTTACTTAGTAGGCATCCACCATTTTTAAGTTGAACTTTGCTTCCGCTATTTGTCAAACTCATCATCAAGACGTAAAAGATACCATCAAGACTTGCATTAAGAATAATTCAAAACCAGTCATACAAGAAAATCCATTGTCTTTAAGAGCACCCACAATGGTTGTGGTAACAAGGTGATTTATCGTAACTTTACCGCTAAATTGCACACAGGTCCACTATGGGCCTGTTTTACACTTGCGGTCCCTACGACTGAATCAAATTTTGCATCACGCTTGTTCAAATCTACGAAAGCTTAAAACTTGATTTATCATAGGATTTGACGCATCCAATCAGTCAACTGCCATCCAATGATCCATCTGCATCCATCCAGCTTTGCACACCTTCAATCCTCCCTGTCCCCTCAAGATCCCGGCTTGTTAAGATTAGCTGTTTACTCTGAACTTGCTGAAAAAGTATTTTTTTTTTGAAAAAAAAAGTGATCTTGCGGGATCAATTTCACCAAGATCAAACAAGAGGGGAGAAAGCTTGTTGGCTAGTTTCTTGTCAACAACTGAAGACTTCACTTTGGTTCTTTCTAGTCACCAAGGTGGTCATCAGCATAGAAGTGAGCTGGGTGAGGTGTGGTAAGATAGTATAAGTCAGTTCATGATTTTGCCATAGAGTGTAGAGTGTCTTAAGAATGTGTTATCATTGGTAAATCACTTGTTACATCAATCCGTAGTGGATTTCATGCGTTTATCAACTTAAGTAAAACACACATGATTAAATTTTGCGCTCAGGAACGCAAAATTTACAATAAATCACCCTCATGATAGTGGGTGCTCCAAAGCAAATTGAGTCGGTTGTATCTCAATCTTCAAGTTCTCATGATGATGAATTGTTTTTAGCAATGCTAGGTATGGGTTTTGGAGGTCTTCATTGTCTTGAAGACTCATCAATTCCGGATTCAAAATTTCTTTTCAATGCCAAGAAGATCATTTTACAATTTTCTCTTCAATTCTCCACATGCAAAACAATTATTCAGTATCATCTCCAATATTCAAAATGTGATTCAACTTTTGTAGGCACTCCCATTATTATCCAGACATTTACAAATACAACAGCTTGTTCAGTCTTGCTTCTCAAATCATACCTACAATTGAGGGACAATCTATTCATTGGGACCCGCAACCTTTTCATCACTTCTTCTGGTTCTCCACCTTCTCGTACTTGGTTCCTTAATTACAAGGTTTCACAAATACATAGGCAAATCATACTCTGGTCACTCTTTACATTCTGGAGGCGCAACTGCATCAGCTCAGGCCGGCACTACAATAGATTATCTCAAAAGTGCGGGGAGATGGTCTTCAGAAGCATTTTTAATCTATGTCCATGGTCACATTGCCTTACAATTACCTGAGAATCAAAACCACGTAATTGGGTGTTTGTCTCATGTGGGTGAAAACATCAAATGCATTTCAAAGTGAGTTCTGGTTTATGATTATGGTGAATACTTTCTTTATTTGTATTGGTATTCTTTTGCTATTAGCATCAAGATGCTGGTAATCATTGCCTAAACAAGATTTCATACCGGGTTTTCTGGTGGCTTATTATAAGCCCGCAATTTGTGTTTGGGTTTTTGATTCATTTAGCTGACAAGTGATATTTTTTTCCCTCTCCTACTTCACCACTCTTTGATTACCCAGATTACAGGCGGGTTAAAGAGGGTGTTGTTATTATTATGAGGGAATTTATTAACCAAGGGCTATTAGCATTGGGAATTGGCCCAAACTCGTGTTTCTTATTTAGAAGCATTTCTCCTTACGTTTCTCGTAAGCTTCCTGATTCACGTTTCCACCTGTTCATAGGTGAAATATGTAGCTATACCACCTAATTTTTGATTTTTTCGATTCTCTATACTCTTTTAAATTCCGATCTTGTTAGACCTATGGCAGTGTTCGTAAGTTTGAGTGATCTACAATAGGATCTCATGACTCTCTAAATGAGATTTTATTCTGAAATGTGTTTAATCACATCCCTACTTACAAAAACTGATGTGGATCTGAAGGTGAAGTCAACCGAAATATATTTAATTTTGGCGTAAGGCGCTTGATGTATGGCTTTGAGAAGGATATTGTACTGTCACGTTATGGGTTTATGGGTAGAGTCGGGTTTGGGAGCGCGTCCAATTTTGATTCGCGTGACTCGAGTCAGCTTGAAGTTGTCAAGGACAGCCCATCATCGGTCCATCACCTCGTCTCAGATCCATCATAATTCACTCAACAATCATTCAAACAAGATGGAACAAACCGAATCAAATTCTTCGTCTAATCCTGTGGAGCAGCCGATTAAGGAAGATGTGATAGTCCCATCGATAGAGAACTCAGGCTCAGGCTCAGGCTCGCACGAAAAGATAGAAAAGAAAGAAGAAAGTCGATCAAAGGTAGATGAAGGACCGGAATTGGATCATTTATTCGATGATGACATCGATATGAAGAATGCTCCATTGGATCCCGAAACGTGATTGCAAATTCTGTCTTGTCTTCAACTACTCATTCGACGAAAACAAACTTGTTTATTCTAACATAAAAATTCGATTTGATTCATAAAAAAATATTATAACAGAGATCGTGGTCCTGTGGTTCCTGAAAAGATAGAAAAAAAAGAAGAAAGTCAACCAAAGGTAGATGAAGGTCCGGCATTGGATCATTTGTTCGATGACGACATCGATATGGAGAATGCTCCATTGGATCCGGAAACGTGATTGCAAACTTTGTCTTGCCTTCAAATTACTCATTAGACGAAAACCAACTTGTTTATTCTAACATAAACATTCGATTCGATTCATAAAAAACAATTTCACAGGCATCGTGTTCTTGCGGCTTACGATGATCCTTGGGCTAATCTGAATGAACCTCAAGTGATGTCAAATTACTATCGACGACTTTTTCCTTGGAAGCAACTCTTCTTATGGTTGAATCAAGATCATGGTAAGTCAAAGATTTATTCAATGAAAAACAAATGTGATCTTTGACTAAAAAAACATGAACTCATGAAAAGATGAGTCAATATCCGATAGTACCGAACTACGCCTTTACACATCGAGAGTTTGCTGTCACCCTTCGAAATGAAGCTTACCTAAGATACAACTCTTATGCGAGTCATATCGAATTGCAAAAGGATATTATCAGATTGAACCCTACGAGATTCGAAATCGGACCTGCTTATACGGCTCAGCCCAAAGATCGAAAACTGATCTCCAAAGCAGCTTTTAAACCGATCTTAAGAGAATTAGTCTTCGATATCGATCTAACGGATTATGATGATATTCGAAGCTGTTGTTCTGAAGCAAGAATCTGTTTAAAGTGTTGGAAATTCATTACCATCGCTGTACAAGTTTTAGATTTATCATTACGAGAAGATTTCGGATTTCAACATCTTTTATGGGTTTATTCTGGTAGAAGAGGTATTCATTGTTGGGTATCAGATGAAGAAGCTTTGAAATTAACCGATGAACAGAGGAAAGGGATCGTTAACTTTCTTGATATCTTAAGGGGTGGAGGATCAAGACATGGCTTGAAAGTGTCTTTGACCCATCCTCTTCACCCTGCAATCGAACGTAGTTACAATATCCTCAAGGTTTACTTTCGAGAGATTGCGTTTGTAGAACAGGATGCTCTCAAGGATCCTGAAAAATTGTCAACTGTACTGCAAGCTTTGAGTGAATCAGGTTGGTGAATTCTTGTGAACTTGATGCTTGACTAAACAGATGATAGTCTACATTTTCTGACTATGTCGTTCTTTCATCAAACAGAAAAATTGAAGCACATCTCTGAGAAGTTGACGTCGGCAAAAGAATTGACCTCGTTCGCTAAATGGGAAGAAATTCACAAGACGGTCGGACAAGAGATTAAAAATCTTGATAAAAAAGCTAACTCTAGCTTCGGTGATCAAAGAAGGAGCCAAAGATTAAAGGAAGCACTGATCAATATTCAATTACATTATACATATCCTAGAATCGATTTAGAAGTTTCTAAACATATGAATCATCTTTTGAAAAGTCCATTTTGTGTACATCCTGGTACAGGTAAGGTTTGTGTACCGATCGATCCTACTCAAATTCATGCATTCGATCCAGAAAAAGTTCCAGATGTTAGAGACCTTTTAAGACAATTAGACAAAGTTAAACTCAATCAAACTGGAGAAGGACCTCAACAAAGTAATCAACCTAGTTGGGAGCAAACATCTTTGAAACCATATATTGAAGTTTTTGAAAAACATATAAATAAGATTGTAAGAGAAAAATTAAAATCTAAAAAACGTGAGCTTTTCTTTCCCTTGATGCTGATATAATCTTGCTTGTTTTGGTGTAAACTAATGATTGATTACTTTTTTTTGAAAAAAACTACAGAAGCGCAAATGACAGATAAAGCTCACTCTATGGAATTTTGAAAGGCTTTCATTCTTTTTCTCCTGATTTAAACTTTTTTTATTAGAAGATTTCTTGTTATTATTGATGTATATTTGTGAATCTCGATTAAATTGTGTGCTTCTGCTTTGCATGTACCCAATCTATAAATAAATGTCTCAGGGTAGAGGTCATTTTTTCATCAAGTCAAAGGTTGAATTACTGATCAAGTTCACCATAACAAAGGATTAGATGGCTTTTATACAACTTGGTTCCCACTTCTGGCAATATTCTGTACTGGTCGACCAGATCATTCATATCTGTTGAGAAACTTCACCTTTGCCATAAGATTTACATACAAATTTAGTTTGTTCAACGTTTTGGGACTTGATCAACAAGCAATTTTTAACCCTTCAGTTCTCTTCTTCAAACATTGATAACCCAAAAAACAAGGGTACCTATGAGCTATGCAAGAGATATATCAAACAAATAAAAGAAAATGTGCTCGAAACGAAAAAAAGATGCTGCCCAGAATCCTACGGATGGAAACAGCACCCTGTGTCGAGGTAGGAGCCGCTGCGGTCATACCGGGGCCATAGCGATGACCTATTCATCTCGATACTTCGCAACCGGCCCCTCCGGTCCATAATGGCTGCATACCGATACGTCCACCATGCGTCAATACGCTGCCAACGTAATTCGTGTCATCGTCAATGCCCCTTCAGCCCTTAATCATGTACCTATTGTTTTACCAAAGAAACCTTTGTCCCTGATGCATTAATCTTTGCACGAGGTGTAAGCCTGCCACCGTGATAAAGATTCTGAAAAGGGTCTAATTACACAGCGGCATCTGCAATGTTTACCAACAAACGTGGCTCAAAACCGAGTCATGACAATCCATAATGACGAATAAGAACAAAAACTGGGCAAGCTGAATCGCCTTGGTGGTCAACTCGAAGTATGGCATGGAGACAGTATTGGCCCATGGGCCGAAACAGTCACTTGCAGCGTAGACACTATCGCCGTGTCAAGAGGGACAATTGACAACGGTCAACCTGCGTCACATACGTAAACGTAACGTTATGCTTGGCCGACTTATCTAAACACTGGGTCGGGAGGGCGGCGGGCCGCCCACGAGACTCTAGTCATGTAGAAGAAATAATTGTAGTATAGCTGTTATCCATAAAGCCAGATCACAGGTCACCCTCAAAGATGTGGAGCAACACAGGCCTCCACTGTTGGTTCATTTTAACAGTGCTTGTACCAAAGTTCCTTATGAGAATTTCTGAATCTATTATGTTTCACCTTCTGCTAAGGCATCCCGGATGCATAAAAGATCGACAATATCCATGAGACTCTGTGTCGGATTGGTCAATTATATTTTTTTGAAATCAAAGGCTTCTAGAAGGAAAGCTTTATCAGTCTTGCGCAGAATGTAGTAAAGACAAGGGTTCACTGGTGGAAAAATTCACACCCTGAGTTGAAGGCTTCCAAGAATCACCATTCAAATAGAAATTACCTGATAAGGAGCTCTTGAACCTCCAGCAGCTTTGCACATCGTGAATTATACACACCTTGATGTGGGACACTACCTTCACACAGAAAAGTCTTATCTGGATAGCAGATGTGAATAATCTAGACTATCAGTCAAATAAAATTATGAGACAGAACAATAAATTATAGACATACGCACAGTTTCAGCTTTGTTGAAGAGATAGTTGAAATGAATTTTATTTTAGTGTTCAATTTTCATTAAATTCACCAATATTTCAATTCAAATTGTGGTAGTGCATGGTCTATATCAACCAAAAGGGCTTCAAGAAGTGATTTAGGCACCTAGACAAAGGTTGCTTATCTTAAAGCAAAGGAGAAAAATTTGAGTGTTTTGACCACAAAATGAGGTACAGAGTATACCTCTTGTTAGTTAAGATCCTGTCAGTCTTCTCAACTGATGTTTCAATCTCAATGCTACTGCTCTGGAAGATAAGATGGTGTAGGGTCATAAATTTCAAATTCTACACATCACCGTCTCCTTACAAAGGCAGAAGCAAAACTTGAAAATTAACATATGTCCATGCTCTGTTGTAGCCTGCTGTTGTTCATTTATATTGTCCTCACACTTCAGAAATCCCAATCACCAAGGACAAGGTCAATTTTCCAATCTGAGGCGATGGGTCAAAATGCAATGGTCAATTCAGCCAATCATTGAGACCAGCGTCCACTTACATAAACAATTCAAATGTGTCTATGCAAAGCAAATGTTCAAACATTGTTTTGAAACATTGATTGTTCAGATGAGGAATATTATGGGCCTGCTTCCAATCCTTCAAACTAAATAGCTTTCAGATCAAAAACTTTTTCTTATAGAAGATATTGCATAAGATGATGAGATTGTGTTTTGCATTTAGGGTATGTGTCAATCCGTCTTCTATCTTATGACCCAGTCTTCCAACCCCAAAATCAGTTGTCCTAATTTTAGCAAAAAGATCATTCATTATGAGACTGGTTCCAAGCCTCCAACCTGGATAGCAGTTTGGATTGAAAGCTTGTTTATGATATTATTTTGAAGACCTTTCATAGGAACTTGAACCAATGTTTTGCCTTTAACTGATGTGAGCAGCCTTTGCTTGGCCTTATCTGAACAAGTCTTCCAAACCAGGTTTTGAGCCAAGCTTAAAATCTAGCATAACAGAGAAGCTTCCCCTTCCCAAAACCAAATCACAACCAGGATGTGAATACCCACAATATTGATCCATTGCTTACTTCTCCACAAGAAAATATTTTTCTGAGATTATGATAATAAGATTAAGTCTCTTGCATTCTTAATTAGATACATAGGCTGGGTGTGTACCACTCAGCTCAAATTGCAACATAGAGTCCTATTGATTGATCCACCCCATGTCTTCATATTTGTGCACAGAAACTAAGGGCCCGTTTGGCTGGTTTAGCCAAAAAGTGTTACACAAAAACACTTTTTCAATCCGCCCCATGAAAAAGGGGCGGATTGAAAAACTTGAATTTTGGGTTTTCAATTACCAAACACTTGGCCAAAGAGCTCATGAAAAAGTTGAAATAGAGGGGCAAATAAGGGCAAAAACTGTTTTTGGTCTCAAAAACAGTCTCAGGGCTGTTTTTCAAACTTGAAGATTTTTGATCAAAAACGGTTTTTGTTTTTGATCAAACAAAGTTACCAAACGCCGGTGTTTTTAATGAATCAAAAACTGTTTTGACCCAAAAGCGGTTTTTGGCTTTGGTGGTGCTTTTGACCAAAAACCATTTTTGGGTTCCAGCCAAACGGGCCCTAAGCTTTCCAATAACAAAAAAATCTTTCAACCCTTAAAAAATTTACAATCTATCAAGAGTTTTCTTGGAAAGATAATTCCTCAAATTGTGAGTCACTCTCTTTGATCTTTTTACATTTGTTTTGTTTGAAGAGCCATGATAGATGGACTTACACTTTTCCAATCTGATCTTCTGTCAGATAAACTTCAATACAACTAAGATGAGGGTTATCACTCTAGGTTTATATTCTGTAATCCTTTCTCAAGCCCATGGTATCATGCATAAGCAATGGTCAAGCTATGAAAATCCACCCTATGAGATTTCCTCTGTTGGTGACTGTGATGGAGAAGCTTCTGCAATTCAACAGAGTCTAAGCCAATTACAGACAAGTCATATAATAAAAGCAGGACAAGAGTCCCAGAGACTCCCATTGGATCATCAACAAGAAGCATGGATTGAAAGGAAAGGGCTTCAAGGTGATGACACCTTGCAAGATTTTGCCACTGTGGAAAACAAAGAATCAAAAACCACTTTGGTAGCACCATCACCACCTCAAATGGATCGTACACATATCAACTTGGAGGAAGTGGTGAATATAGGACAGGTGCATCAAGAGGAGCCATGTGTGTTACCATGTGGCAGTCAGTGTTCCATCATGCACATATAAGTCAGGACTTGTGAGAATGACACCAGTCTATGAAGGTGGAGTGGTAGCCAAAACTTAAAGAATACAGAGAAGAACACCTAACTGTAGAAATATCAGGTTTCTGTGAAGTGAACAAAGAAATTTCAATACAAGTTACCTTCTCTTAGTTTATCATTCAGCTTTGTTAGATCTACTATCAGTATCATATTGTTTGAAGCAAATAAGGTTTTTAAAACCCACCCTCTAAACCAAGATATGATACATCCTATCCTCTGACTATGCTGGTCATTTGCCCTTCTCTTGAACCAAGGATATACCAAAGGCCATGTATAACTAAATGTCTAGATGAGTTTTGAGGGGAGTCCAGAAAACCAACTTCTGTCTGTCCATTATGATCAATCATGATGATTACCTTTTTCCAAAGACTTTTTCCTTCCTTGCAGTGTAGCACAAGGCAAAAAACAAATTTTGATGTTGGCTATAGATCCTTCTCAAAGGTTCTGTTTCCTCATAAAGGTTATCCTTGGGATAAAACACTTTCAAGGAAAAATCCCTTTTGTGTAGAGGTTTGGAGAGTTCCTCCCATTAGACTTACATACAGTAAAATCTTCAGATTCATATATGTTCAATGAGCTCACTCACTAAATTTGATGAAAAATATATATGTCTAGATCATATGTATACCACCATAAAGTATTTTGGATTGCAAAGAGAAGTAGTGATATGATTAGATCTTTAAATCACAAATTGGTGAAAATATACCAAAATGACTTCTCAATCAAATTTCAAAATACAACAAAAGATAAATAGAAATAACTCCAATTTACAATTACTTTTCTTTTGAAAACTCAAATTGGTCAGATGAGAATTGATATTTGACCTCTTGGTTTAGTTTGTAAAACTTTATCAAAGTTAATTCAAATACTCTTTAAAATCTTTTTTGCTGAACTGTGGGTTTGCTTGACAGCTCTATCCAAATCTAAACTCCAATTTCACATTGGCCTGGTATTTGAACATTATCTCTGTTTTGAGATTTTGAGATTGATTGATTATAAAACTTGTTGAGTGATGCAGCTAAGAATGTGTTATTGAATTCTCACAGGTCTATGCGCATCTTGTACAAGCTCAACTATGGTAGAAGGGATGTTTCTAGACGAGAAGAATTACACCTCAGGGGTTGAATGAACCTGAGTCTAGCTTGTTGGGCCATTCTTGCTGTGGTATTCTTTCACCCATACAATTTGCTATCAGATAAAAAGACCAGCCCAAGACTAATGTGTTAAGCTAAAACCAACACATCAGCCATGTTGACAATCAATTCATGGGCTTTAAACATCCTGTCCATTTTCTCTTTATATTTCATTTTTTGAGGCTTTTGCACATTCTCATGCTCCCAATATGTACCCTCAAATCTAGAACCATCATCCATCACCAGACTCAGAAATCTAGTCTTATGAATTTTGCAGCTCGGTTTCCAACGTTCCAATCTCTATTTAATTTTAAACAGTACTGATGTTTAATCAAAAAAATCAACTCCAGGTTTTTTTAAAAAAACTTTCATTTTGAACTATCCAAAAAGTCTATGATCAATAATGACAATTCTATACTATTAATAAATAAAGAGATTTTAAGCAAAAAACACACACAAAAAGATACTATTAAAATGAATAAGATAAATAAAAGTCCAAAATGAAGGGAAAAAAAACAAGAAGTAAAAAAAAAAGATAAAAGAACCAATTGTAGAACAAACATAATTCTTGATTCAAAAATAAAGTAATCAATCAAAAGAAAAAAAAAGAAGGTTTAAGAGAATTTAGAAAAAGTTTTAACATCTTGTTTTGTACTAGGTAAGATAGAATGAATCGAATTTAATCCATTTAATTTCTTTTCACCTAAATCGATTTCAAATTTAAAAAGATTATAAAGATATAAACCAAAGAAAGTGAGAACCATTCCAAAAGATTGAAGTAAAGAGATCGATTGATCAAAATAAAAGATAGCCAAACAAATCACTGAGATCCGTTTGATGAGAGATGCAATGGAATAAGTCACAGGTGAGGTTCGAGATAAGATTGAAAAGGCTAAGATACATTGTAAGAAATGAATCGATCCATTCAACATAAAATAAAATAGTAATGATTGATGACTCATCGTTCGATCCGGATTATAATTCGTAAGTGACCAAATCTTAAATAAATCAAACCAAATCCAAATCGGAATCATCAAGATAAATGCAATACTAGAAGAATAAAATAATAAATTTAATTTATCGACTTTTCCTTTAGATGAGTTTGAGCTATTAATGATGAGGTTTGGTTTGATTGGATTGGTTGTATCTAATTCTTCATCTGATTCTTGTGGTAAAAGTTTTTTACCATAAATGTTTTGTGAAACGAAAATGATAGTTGAACCGAGTGCACATAAGAATCCGGTTAGGTTGGCGTTTAAATCGAATGAACATGTTAACATAACACCTAATGTTAATGGTAGTAATGAGAAATAAGTCATAAAACCGTATTTCACTCCAAACAATCCACCATAAGCCAAGACCGTAAAGAGTGGTGAAAGAGCCTGTAAAGGTGATGAAAGAGCGAGATTAGAAATCGATCATGAAGAGAATGGGATAGTTGGAAAGACAATCAAGAAATCAACTTACTTTAATAGTATGAACCGTACTGACCGGAACCCTTGAAATAGCCATTGAACTAAACACATGACCAGCAATCGAAAACAAACTCATAATCAAAGTACTCTGAATAGTATTCTGTTTTGGATAATTTAAATAACCTTTTGTAAGATAAATAAACCCACAAGACCAAATCCCAACAAAACCGAATTGAACAATCGTTAAGGTGATAGGGAATTGAAATTGATTTAAAATGATTTTACCAGTATTAGAAGAAATTGCAGATGAAGTATACCAAAGTGAACAGAGTAAAAGAAATCTTAATTTAGATGATGAGATTGATTTATATTGAGTTTTGAAAGTCATTGAATTTAATATTAATTTCACTTGATAATCAAATGGGAAATCTAATGTTTTAGTTTTGATTTTGTTGATTGATTTTGATAGTTTTGATGAAAGAGTTCCATCCCAATGAGAATGAGGTAAAGTAGATTGATTGTATCCATCTTGACTATAATGAGATGACGAGAATTGAGAGAATTGTTGAAGACCAGGAGTGGCTGGCATTGGATATTGATGACGTCTGATTGGAGATGGATCTTGTTTTGATTGAAATGAAGAAGGGATTGAGATTGAGATTGGTGGTTGTTTATGAAGTGAATGAATTGATTGAGATGGTGGTGATGAATGAATTGAAGCAGGTGGAGTAGGTGGTAAGGTAGGTGGTAGTATTGGATGATGATTACTTAATCTTGGTTTGAGTTCTGAAGTGGAATGAATCAGATTAGTTTGATAGTTCATCCTTGAAGTCTTCTTGTTTTGATTTGGTTTGGATTGGTTGATCTGGTTGAGTTGGTTTGGGTGTTCTTTCTGAATTTCCTGTCAATCTGGAAAGTTTTTTTGGTAAATCAACTTCAATTCGATTCAAATTAGACATCTTAAGTCCAATTTCTTAAATCCATTCCAAAATTTAATAGTTTTCATTTCTACAACTCATTTCCGACCTCTTCAGACTGGTCACTGCAGTGTGCCGAATCCGATAGTACACTAAAGACAACCTTAGCATGGATCCCAACTTTCAAGTCGCGAGAGTGATAAGCAATCCAGCTCCTTGATCATCATCGGCACAAGTCAGAGTAAGACTACTAACGTGTCACGTAGATGTATGCTAGTGAAAGAGAAGCACAAATCTACACGCCCACAATATCTACCACAAACATCAGCAGGACCATTGTGAACCTTATTTTATACAAGAGGATCAACTTCAACGTGTTCTCTCAGTGGCTTGAGTCCTATTTCAACTCATTGGTGGCTAATGTGATCATCATTGTCACAAAAAACATCATACACTTGATGCTCTTTTTATCTTGGTTTGCGTGTTTACGAGTAGCACTTGATTAAATTGATTGTTACTGGGCAAATGCGCTCACTTCATTCAATCATCATTTTTTGCTCAGCACTTAGCATTGGTGTTTTGACAAGACTTGTGTCTGAAAGTTTTTGAGGATCCTTCACACTCTTGCTTGCTTTCTAGAACCAAAAACATGACAGATGAACCAATCAACATTCAGACTAGAATCACATCAACCAATCACTCAATATAATTTAGGTAAACAAGAAGAAGACTGCTCAGAAAACATACTGAAACTGGCATAAGAGGATTGAAAAAAAAACATCTATGAAGTGGAAAGATAAGGAGCTGCTACTTCACTATTAGTGTAACTAAGAGAACTTTTGCTCTTGAATCCATACTAGTAAGTACATTTGGCCAACGGACAAATTCCAATAGCCGATAGACAAGCTTCTCCAGAATTCATGGGGTTTTGATGTTTCATTCGAGAATCCCCACAATATCAACAAAATGTTTGATAAACAAGGCTAAGCTAGTCAGGATGTTTTTCATCAAATTCATTTGTCCACAGCACCCAGAGTCGTCTTCTTGTTTGTGGGCAAAATCTACATCTTTGACTATTATGTTTGGGGCCCTCCTTCATTGGTTCATCTGCTATATCCTCTGTACGTGACATACTTTGCTGTGAAGGTGCCATCGTAGACGTTTCTTCGAAATCCTCTGAAGTTTCCATTAGCTGTTGTATCTCATGATCATCGAGTATTTTTCTAATTCTACCCTCGAATTCTTGACGATCGGGACTGAGAGATCGTTTTTCTTCATTATATATCAACCGAAGTGTCTGTCCTTCTCCCATATCCTTGTACATCTTTTTTATACCTTGAGCCCATTTAATCTTAGAAACCGCTCCAGCATTCCAATCAGCGGCGCTTATCTCAGAGGGCCCACGCGCCGAGCTTGTCGCCCCTGAAAGTGGAGTCATTCTAGAATGGACACCACAAGCGAGACTGACAAATAATCCGGAAATAAAAGGGTTCATCCTAATGGAGTCTTGCTACATAACCCATGTATGACCATCAATACGTGTTCTCGAAAAAAGTGAAAAAGCATCAATAAAGTAACATACATCAAACCTGTGTTTTACAAGAATTGAATCCTGATTGTAATCAGCTCAACCTCAAGAAAACGGGAGTATGTTGAAATGTCCCGTTTGATGGCAGTGTGGTGGCAGCGCTACTAAAGAGCTGATCGACTGTGGGTATTTTAAAATAGATATTAACAATTATTGACATAGTCTGGTGTTGCAAGTTGAGTGGGAATGCACGTACCCGACCTAAGTACTATAGATTCGAACGGTCTGAATCACCAAGAAAAAAGGCTACCGATGCACTTGGGCTCCAAGGTATCACACTCTTACAGAATGCCTTAAGATGTAACAAGCGAGGAGACTCGGAGAACGATTCAAGAGTTGAGGTACCAAACGATTGGATGCGAGTAGGGTAGGAATGACTTTGCGGTCCTGCCAGTGCAGAAAGTTGGTTTAGAAGTGGCGGGAACTGCGCAAGGGAATGTGAAGACATGCCTCGGCTTCTAGATTTGGAACGATTCCATATAATGTTCTGCGCGATCTAGATTTTGGCTGCAATGACTTATCTTGTAGTCCCACAAATCGTTTCTCAATCTTGTCGCCAAATTGAACCACATACTAGGTGTACCGAATTGTGTTGCATCCTGTCGAGTCACGTTTGGGGGACCACTGAACGTAACGTTCAGCAGAATTTCCCCTTTCACAACCTGTCAGTTTATATCAAAGAAGATCCAAGCAGAACAATCGGAATCGGTCTCACAATAAGTTTTACAACGCTATCGCATCAGTATCTTTTTCTTGCGTCAACATCCGGGAGCTTGCACCACATTATTTTGCATCCTGATGGCCAGCGTTGAGAGATGATTGCGCGTCGGTACATTCGAGTCCTGAAACCGAACCATCATTAAGATCGAAGCGATAGTAGAGTAATGGAATGATTAAATTTATCTATCTTACCTTTAGCTGCACTTGTGGTTTTGGGAATGCCATTCATCTTCTTGAATTCGTTTCCAGATCTTGATCAGATTCTTGAGGTACGAGTTCTTTTGCCATATGTCAAACGACGATAACAGTTGAGTTAGGTGCGCATAGGAATCCGGTTGAAATGGTGTTTTGAGCGAATGAGTATGTTGATATTACACCTAATGTTAATGGTAAAGATAAAAAGCAAGTCATACCCTGAAGAGCGGTGAGACAGCCAGTCAAAACTTTATCGATGTGATAATAGGTTGCTTGTGGAAAGTTGAAGATTTGAAAAGACAGCAAAACTAAAAACTTACAACTTGGACCGTATAAACTGTGATAACCGAAACCCTTGAAATAGCTATTGAACTGAAAAAATGACCCGCAATTGGAAAAAACTCATGACAAAAATGATCTTGATAGTATTTTGTTTTGAATATTCTAGAAAACCTTTGGCAAGCTAAATAAAAGTATATGACCAGATTGCAACAAAATCCGAATTGACCCAACGTTTAAGTGACAGGATACCTAAATCGACTTAAGATGATTTTTCCAGTATCAGAAGGAATACAACAAGTATAGAGTGAAAAGATTAAGATAAATCCAAGTTTACAAATCGGCTCAACGACAGGTTTGCATGAAGCGCGAGATCTGAGTTAGCCTTGATGACATGTCCTTCTTGCATTTGATGATTTTTGATGATTCTATCAATTATGAATAGAGATTGTGAGCAGGGATATGAATCAGATTGGATCTATCAGCTCATCTGATGAAGCTGGGAAGATTAATGGTACAATTTCTCAATCTGATAGAACTGGAATGTGGACATAACTTCAAATGGGAAGAAACAAAAAGAAGGGGGAGCGATCGGTTTTATAGTAAAGTCAAACTGGTAATCAAAGAAAACAAATTTGGTAAACCAGATTCATACTCATGACATCATTGTGATTATTAAGATCGGCTTGTCGCATCATCAGTGATCATAACACAGCACTGAATAGAAGAGGTAATCAAATCATTGCTACTCAGTTTATGGGCGCAAGAGGGTGTTAGCAGCTGGAATCTCTCGGCGTGAAAAGATAAGCGAGTCTCGCCTCCTCTGACAAGTTTGCTCAGAGCGGCAATTTGAATTTATGAACCTTGTAGTGGTCAGTGTTCATTGGTCAAAGTGGATCTTGAGCTGATAGGTAAGATAATCGAGTTTTCTATCGGAGTTGTATTTGTGAACCCTTGATTGAGTGACTGTATCTGCATAGGTCATCTTTGCTGCTGTCCCAGAAAAGGCGGAAACATTCGGCGATCAGAAAATTCAGAGTGTTCGAGCTAGTGCCAGTGAGAAGTTCCGTTGTTTATTCAAGAGTGGTCAACTCCCTGGTAAGGTATTATTCGGATCTCGGCGTCTTCCGTTCTTGAAGCTCAGCTAATGAAAAGGACACTTGGTTTTTGAGCTTCAAACAGAAAGAAATGTTAAGGCGACATTTAATTCACATGAGATCTAGTAACTTTGGACCCTACTCATTCTTACTCAAAATTGTCAACTTGAAGAAAAGCTTTATTCTTTTCATGAGGAATCCCACAGGCATTTAACAGCAAAGGCAATCGGAAGACAGAGTTTTGCTTTGTAGTCAAAAAAGGTCAGGATGTCAATGAAAAAATCGTAAAACAATCATGACAGGTTTCATTTCAATAATCATCAAATCGATACCCAATAGAAATGGTCTGAGGATTGAAAAAGGTAAAATCAAAAACAAATAATGGATTTGAGAATGATTCAGAATGAAAACGAGAAGTCTATAAAATCATATAGAGATAAGAATACGAAGCAGTCAAAAAGATCGTACAAGGTAAGAAAATTCGCTGTCTAGAGAGGAACTTCGAGGATTGCTACATAACGGTAAAAGGATCTCATGAGTAAATTGAGGTTGTGAATGTGAAAGAGAGACTTAAAAGCTAACCTGGTCCAGCGATCGTAGTAGCATCTGTCACATTTTGAGATGATGACAGAATGACATATGTTTGACCAGCTGCATCTTGAGGAATGCTAGCCTTGCCGTCTTTCCATGATACAGCAGTCTTATTTAAACCGTAGTAAAAGACCGCACTGAAGATGATGTCGAGTGTCAGCCACTAGATGGACTGAGATGAAGTTAAGAAAAGAGAGGCTGAGTTTCACGCACAAGATGTCACCAGTTGCGTTAGAACTCTTTGCTGGGTTCAGCTTGATTTCTTGGCCCTTAGAAAGAGAGCCGGTAGTCTCTAAGACCAAGTTTGGGAAAGGCGTCAAAGGTAATTTGGTGGCAGCTAAAGTTTCACATCCGGGATTGATGAACCCAGCTGCCAAGGTAAAGATTTGGTTGGGGCTCAATGGCTAAATGAAAATTTCAAGCAGTGCTTGAGTTTTTTGTCCTGCATGAATCGAAAAAGTCTAGAGCTTACTGTATCTTCAGCAGAGGGAAACCCAGATTCTCCTTGAATTGCTCGGATGTAGGTAGAGTGACGAGCCTCAACGGTCAAGATAGATGCAGCAATGGTCTAAGGAAAAAACAATCATGAGTTATCGAGATAGATTAGCTCGAGAGAATTTGTGCTGACCAAGTATGCCTTATTGGAGATGGAGCTGGCGCCACCGAGGTAAGCCGAAACACCAACGCCTATGTTAAAAATCACGTCCATTGAGTATCTTGTTATGTTCAGTATAGATCAGTGTTGAGAGACTCACCCTCGAGAATGTTGGCAACAGCAGCGAAGGACTTTGGGTCAGTCACCGGGCTAAAAGGCGCATAAATTTTAGTATCTGAAAATTCTTCTACAATTGGTTGTTAGAGACGTACAAAGTATAGTTGCATGCTCCTACTGGTGTGGCACCAGCGGCGGTGAGACCAGCAGTGAGAAGATCGACGTGGTCCGCCTCATCTTGAAGATGCGAAAAAACAAATGTTCTTCAGCATATTGATTGAGAATGAATTGGAAGTACAATGATTAAGGGTAACCCACCTTTGGCAATCTCTTCAAATCGACTACGGACCCAAGTTGGGAAACCAGCTTTGGTGAAATCAGAAGCGCTGTAATTGGCTAAAGCAGTTGAGTAAAAGGTACTTTCCAAGTGCTCAAGGGTAAGAGCATACTACGGAATAAGATCAAATGGGTCAGTTACACCGATCGGCCTGTGCATGTCATAGTTCGATACTACCCACCTGAAGGATATCGGCATCGGTAAGCGCTGCTGGAGCATCGTCTCTGGGCGACAAGGATGAAGCTGAGACTGAAAGGGCGGCAAGAGCAAATGATGCTAGTCGGTTAAACATCTTGTACTTTAGAATAAGTCAATCTCAAAGGAAGGATTCAAATGTTTCTTTTATAATATAGGCACGTTTGAATGGTTTGATCTGAGAATAGATAGATCTGAGAAGTGGGATGTGATGATGAGAGCAGGAAAGTTAATTCCATGACTGTATATTTATACCAACTTTCTTTGCCGGTGTCAGATGCGACTTAGGCTATGGTAGATCCACTAGCCGTATTGCTTTGCTGAAGTTTCCAAAGAGATCCGGAGGTTCGGTATGAAACGCTTGGACTGTTGAAGAGACGTACGAGCGCGTCATGGATAATGAGAAAATTCCGAAGCGTCAATATTGATGACTTCGAAGGTCAAAGCATTTTCAACGATGAAAACCGGCGCTGCATACCTCTTGTCCATACATCCTTGACTCATGAAGAGAGATGGATTCTTGATTAAATCTTTGTAATGATATTTGATCGATGCTCTTCTTTGGGTAAAAGATCAGCAAAAGATTCAAAGCCATGCTCTAGAATTTCGAGAACGTCCCCTCGCCCGAGTTCGCTGACATCTCTATCGAAATTTTGATGGCGCCATCGATTGTTTCGTTCGTTTTCAGCACTATACTTCTCATGGGAGGTCCCGGACTTCACCTCTTGTCAGAACACATACTCAATATGGATGATTCCGACGTGGACCGAAACCAGCTTTGACCGTGGACTATGTGAATTGTTCATCGATTCGAGCCTCATGACGAGGGAGCCAGGCAGACCAGGCTGAGGTCCAGATCCAGTGATTATCACACCAAGGTCGAACCCATGTAAAGGCCGTTGGACATGTCGCCGTTGACCTGTTTAATCTTCAATTTTCTCTTTCACTGTTTGAGGGGAGGTCATGGACCATGTGATCACAAGATGGCTATAAGTGTCAGGGAAAAGACTAGTTGATAGCTAGATGAGATATATCTCAGTGACCGAAGTAGAGCAAGTAAACCTGCTCAGAAGGATGGAATGTTATGTCCAAACTTCAAAGGCACAAGTCCGACGGCACCTGTGAAGTTCCATAGAAATGTGGGATGGACAGTAGGGTAGGAAACCCGGTACCAGGCCCGTGGTGGTACCGAGATCAGGAGGAAGATTTTCCACCATAGTCTGATCAAATGTGAAAGAAAAGAAATTTAAATGTGCCTAACTCAAAGTGAATTTAACTTGATGAAATAGAATTGGTAATGAGGTAGAGAATGTACAAAGTAAACATTACCCTTTGTCTTTATATACCAATAACATCACTTAAACACAGACACAGAATATCATATGATTACTAACAAGTATGACATCATATGAAAGACCAGGCACAGAAATCCTGGATGTTGTTATTACTGGCACATTGTTAGGGTGCTTATTTTTCACGTTTTTTTTCACTCTCATGTCTCATACATGACTTATTTTTCACTTTGAGATGTTGTATCCAACACAATCAAAATCATGAGTGGTTGCTCATGGCTGAGCAACACATGAATTCAATGAGGCACAAGACCTTCTATACAGCTGGTCATATGAGTCAATGCAACTCTTTGCTGTGATCTGGGTTCTCTTCTTTTGCTACCAAAAATAGAAACCTGTTTTTGTGAATACATTTCTTTTCTCATTCTTTGAAATTGAGATCATCATGTCAGGATGCTCTCCAAATCCCTGCTTTTTTTCTTTTGAAAGTGCTTTGAGGTGTAAATCAGTGTAAACCTACACCTTTTGGATAACTTTGGAGAATGAGATGACTTCCAAACGTTATGGGTTTGTGATTTTGTGCATGGTCAGACTTTTGTGAAAGGTCTTGGAGTGGAATGGTGTGTAAGGTTTGAATTATGATGCTCTGTGTTGGCCCAGTTTGGATTTTTTCAAGTATTCTCCACTAATAAAACTATCGATATCAAGCTTTTGTGGTTAGTTTGTACTCTGCTCATTTGAATCATGTTTTTTTGGGATTATCGAGCTGATATACATTGTCTTTCAATCATTGTTGATCTTGTAGGTATACCACCAGGCAAGCATCAATGTTATGGTAGAGAAAGCTGGAAAGCTGGAAAGCTGGAAAGCTGGAGTCTGTTTGGATGGAGTAGGATGTTATCTTGCATGTTGTTAAGAGCAAGATAAATTTAAGAGAGATTGGTGTGAGTTGGAGGGAAACTAGTAGGTCTTAAGATGTTAAGGCAAAGCTCAGAACTTATGAGGGACTTTCATCCATTGTAACACAACTGTGCTGAACTATAAATGATATGTCTACAAGCACAGTGATTTGGTGTTATGATTAGAGACCAAAATGCTTTGCTATCATTTCCTGGTTGCTATTATCTCATAGAGTGATGCATGGTATTGGATTGCTCCGCCTTGCTATGGTCAAAGTTGGGATTTTGTAGCGCATAGAAGTGTGGTCAAGTTTTTTTAATGCCAGTTTGATTGATTGTATCATGGATGGCAGAGTGGGGATTACCAAGGGATGAAAGAAAGAACACACAGATTTTTGAAAAAGTAAAGAAAAGCATGCACAATTTTTTTGATCTTTTGAGAGCTATTTCTGATGACATAGCTGTAGATGTATCTACCACATGAGTAGAGGCAGAGAGGGGATATTAAGGGGTAGAGAATCAAACAAGAGAAATTAATGGAAAGGTTAAATTGAATAGAAATTATTAAGAGAAAAGAAAAGAAAAATATCTTGAAGAAAGGATAAACTTCTTCTTAGCCTTGGTGCTAGAAGATTTGAAAGCTAAGATAGCTGCAGCTTCAGAAAATTTGCCTGATGGCAATATCTTCAAATTCAACCTCTCACATGCTCCTACAAGCTTCTGGATCATCTGGCCTGTTAATGATGAAGAACTATGCACCACAATATCTGCCGCAGATGAAAAGGTGTGTTTGCATGGACAAGAAACACCTGATAATGCAAGATAGTCACAGGCAAGTGTTGCAATCACAGGGGAATATTTCAAATTCTCGTATAAGTAAAGAACACTGTCAGATGAAACATAATTGAAAAAGTGAAAGCAAATGAACAAACCGACCTTCCACCAATCAAATTCATCTTGACCAGCAAGTAATATGTGGGCGCCTTCTCTGTACTTAACCCATTTGTTCTTGTTTTTGTCTGCAGCCAATTGAGAATTTACTTGAGTGGTAAAGACGTCAAAGTTGGAAACATTGAGGAAATGTGAAACAGACACAGGTGGTGTTTGGTTTACATCTTATGATTATGAGCCAATAGGATCTTTGGGCCACTTGTCAAGGGTTTTGTTGGTCACAGATGTAAACAGCTCTTTGCCTTGGACCACCTCATTGGGGCAATTTAAGTCAAAGAATCAAATTTGGAATCAAGTATTGAAGATGGTACTCAAAACAATCACATCTGATGCAACGGCCTCATCTTCCTATCCTTCAAGTTTGATATGCATCAACTTGAGCATGTACTTGAGGTATGGGTCAGTGCAGTCATCCTCAAGCCAAGTAATCTCAAGGACAATACTTGAATATTCAGCAAGCAAGATAGATCCAGTTGAATAATTTCCTTCCATGTGTTTGGTCACATACAGAAAAGCCTGTGGAGAGATGGGAAGATGTAAATAAAGAGAACATAAATGAAATAGAAGGTGCATGAATGCAAAAATTTGTGAAATGGCTAAAGAATCTGACCTCAAGGATTTTTAACAGGGTCTAAATTATGTCCCATTCATTGCCAGGTATGTGTAAGCCTTAGTAATAACAATTTTTGAAATTGCTGAGGAGAATAACATCCACAACCTATTCATCAAGAGATAAAAAATCATAAAGGGGGGAAGAAAAATCAAGATTGGTAAGTAACCATAAAAAACAGAGAGGAAGGAAAGATACTCACATTGCAAACATCAGACAACCTATTGAGGTAGTCTGTGTCAATATTCCAACACACTCCCCAGCCAGAGATTGGTGAATGGCCCTTTTACTCCAACTCTTCAGCCTTGGCTATAAACTCTTGGTACCTTGCTGAGCTTCTGGGATTAAAACCATTGAATGTTTTGACCTACATCAGAAAATATTGTGTCAGATTGGGGTGGAGTGGAGAGGTTTAAAGAAGATGATTCAAATAAAACAATAGCTTACTTTGCATACAGCCATAGCAATCACTGCCAGCATAGATGCCTCGGGTTGAGAAATCCAAGGCATCATTGGAGGCAAATCCTTGGACAGACCTCGTCCAAGGTTTTCACCCAAGGTATTTTTTTGCCCTGAGAATTACCTCGGATCAAAACCTCAGGAAGCTTCTGTCCGAGGTTTTGCATCTGAGGATACCTCGGATTTTGTAATCCGAGGTAAATATGTTGGTGGTGAATCTTGGAGTTCTCACCAAAATTGTTGGAGTCATGGTCCAAGATGCTGTCAAACAGTAGATCACTCACTTCAAGATCAGTATAATCTTGCTCCTCATTTGAGGAATTGAACTGGAGGTCTTTGTCACCAAGATTGGGTGTCAAAGTGGGGGCTGGTAATGTAGCACCAGGTGAAGTGGGAGGTTTGATGTGCCCAGCATGCAAACCTAACGTCTTGAGGTCTGCTTTGACAACCAGGCCAATCTTGTGTGTATGATACTTGACCTGGTTGGCAGCCAAGTCCCAATGCACCAGGTGGTCAGCTTGGCTGAACATATTCAATAGCTTGTTTGCCATAGTTGCAATCAAATTGCCTGAATTGGTTGCCTGAGCCAGCACACAAAGAGAGAGATTGGATTGGTTAGCATATATAAATCGAATAAATACAAAAAGAAATAAAAGAATGAAAAGGGTCACCAATAGATTATAAAGTATTAAAAAGGATTAGGGAGCTCCTGATAGATGGCTTTTGTAGTTTGAGAGGCCCACATAGTTCCTCAGATATTGGCCAATCAATCACATAGCTTGAAAACAGCTCTAAGTACTGGATTGTTGCATTGGGAAAATCAGAGTGCGTGACATAGTACACAGAAAACTAAGAAAGTGTTGAGAAGTTCAACACTGAAAGACAATTGAGAAAGGAAGGTCTAGAGTGCATTTTGGGTCGACTTGATCTATTTCATCTTGCTGCTGTTTCCGTGTTTGAGGCAGATCACACCCTTCTTTCATGGCAAGATGTTGTCAAGGAAGGGATGGCTGATCCTCTGCATCATCTTGATGCAAGTACAAGTTGTATTAACTTCATCTTCCTCTAGCAAAGTATTCATGATGGTATTGGCACTTTTACCTACAAGGATCATTGCCGGTCTAACAGAGGTGTGATGTTAGTGCAATATCCTCATGAATGACACAAGAAATGAAACAAGAAATTCCAGAGACTCTCCTCTCCTCTCATATGAATAGTATTGCGAAATGATTCCAAGAGTTTGGAAACCTGGCCAAGATCTTGCTTGACACCAGGTGTCTCAACAACTTCAATGTCTGAATCTTGATAGACATCAAGGCCAGTGGGGGCATTTTAATCCTAAAGATGATCTTAATGAAGTAAAGGTCAACAAAAAAAGAGAAAATATAAGAAAAGAAAAGAGATATTATAAGAGCTGAGATAGACCAAATCACTTATATCAAGAACTGTAACTGTGCTCTTTTTCTTCTTCTTCACAGGTGCTAATCAAGGTTGTGATGAGTTGGAACATATTTACCAACAGTACTTTTTCTTTTACTGTGTCCAACATTGTGATTAGTTCCTTTGGGGACCTGTTTGTGCAATTGTGATTGAACAGAAGATGATGCTGGGATGGGAGCAATCAAAGTCAAATCTGATGCCTTGTCCTCAGGTCCAGATTCTTCAGCCTCATCAGCATGTGATTGCAGTGCACAATGTAAGTCTGGTTGCTGCATCTAGACAGAAGAAAACTGCTCATTTGGGCAAAATCTTTTCAGGACTTAAGAGGAAACCATTTTTCACAGGAGAAGGAGTGGGGACATTGAAAGCTCAACAACAACCAACAAGGGGATCAATAAGACACTTGGCAGATAAGTCATGCAAGTAATGTAAAAGCACTTGGCAAATGAGTCACACAACAGAATTGAACACCAAAGAACCAATCTGATTTCACATCATACTCTAACGCCGGAAAACCTGAGCAACATATAAAGATGAATGAGAAGAAAAGAGAACGGTAATAGAACGACGGAAATTCGGGTGGACAGGACAGGGTACCATGACTTAAAGTGGGATTATACTCCAACATAATGTGCGTACATATAAGCTACACATCAAGTGCTTGGTTCGGGATGAATTTGTGATATCGCACGCCTTTGTTCGCGTTCTTCACGTATAGTTTTCAATTTTTGAGATATACCTTCAGATACACTTCCCAATAGTTCGCCGCAACGTTCACAGTAGTAACATGATGCAGTAGGCGTGATCATTGAAGCCATAACCACGCAACATTCTCCAACAGTCCACTCATGCCCGCTTCGGGGATGACGGCAATGGCAACAACTAGTTTCATAGATGAGTTGTTCAGGATTTTCTGAATCAAAGACCTTAATCCGTCCGCAGAACCCAGAGACATCCCAAAGTGATTTATCTTTCATGGATAAAATTTTGCTGTCCTTATTGTACTTGTAGTGTAAGCCATCTGTCTTTTTATTTACTTCTTTTGCTATATGGTGAAGTTCCTCTTCAGTGTATTCCGTACGCGACATACCAGGCTGGGAAGGTGCTTTCAAAGTCGTTGTTTCGAAACCCTTTGAACTTTGCGACACTTGTTGCATCTTGCGATCATGGAGCATTCTTCTCCCCTCCATTGCTTGAGGATCGGCACTAAAAACTTTGTCTCGTCGATTATATCTCAACCGGAGTGTCTGTCCTTCTCGCCATCCTTCGAACATTTTTTCTACAGCTGGATTCCATTTGACCCCGGAAGCCGTTCCAGAATTCCATCCATCGGAGCCCATAGCAGGGGGCACATACGACGAGCTTGCCGCCTGTGAAAATTCTACTATACCGGAATGGACACAGTAAGCGAGATACGCATACAATCCGAGAACAAGAGGTTTCATTTTTGATAAACTATAACACCTGATGGAATCTTTCTGAAAACGCATGTAAGACTATCAAGAAACCTTCCTGAAAAAATGTTAAAGAAGTATACAAAATGTAACGTACATTGAAACTGTGTACTAGGAGAACTGAATCCGATTTGCAATCAACGCAGCTCTAGAAAAACGTGGGTCTGTTGGTTTATTTTTTTTGATGACAGTGTGGTCTTACTAAAGGGTTGATCAACTGTGAATGTTCTGGGATAGGTATTGTGGACGAGACATATGAATTTCTTTGGATGTTCTTCGGTGTCAAGTTGAGCAAAGTTATACGCACTCAACCTAAGTACTGGAGATTTTGATGGTCCCAATCACCAATCAAAGAGTTCAGATGCCACAAATACGCTTCGAATCGAAGGGATCACACTCTTAAAAGATGCGCCCAATTATGAAATGCAAGGACAGCTTGATGATCAAGTTGAAGTATCAAAATATAGAAAGTGGGTTCAGTAGAGCTTGCCAGTCGTGCTAGTGCAAAAAGCTGCTCTAAATAAACTGACGGCAAAACTGCGCATGGGTATGAGAAGATATGCGTCGTATTCTAAATGTAGAACGATTTCACAGACCATTCGGCGCGATGTCTGAATCCCATTTCGCTTCCTACTAGTACGAGCATTGGTTTGAAAGATCGGTAGCGGACCCGCAATACAAAGGTTTGAAAGTTGTTGCGTAATTCGCCAAATTTAACTCTCTGCCATATACTAATCATACCGGGCTGTTTTGCATCCCGATCAATCACATTTGAGACATCACGTAGTGTCGGAAGTAGGCTTATTACAAATCTTCAACTCTATCGCGCTGTTGTCTTTCCGCAATCGTTTCAAGGTCTTTTTTCGATGATCGCGAGTCTGTTTGCCTCTCAGATCCGCAAAATGTGACATGACTGACAGTGAACTCCGACTAGGATGATACAGCGTCCTCCTTAAGGAGTTGAGATACCTTGTCTTGGTTCACCTGGGATCATATTAGTCACTCATTCAGGCAGGTAACTTTTCAGGTTAGGCAAGGAGTAAGAATGACTGATGACGAGCCTACGATAAGCTTAAGAGCTCCATCATATACGCTTCCAGATTTCGCTGTTACTGTGATAATTGATGAACTCTCCCGGACTGCCAAGAGCCTTTGAAACGTCGCACTGATAGAATTGGCTTTGGCGCCCAAAATGACACGGCGTACATTCGTCTTGAAAAGCATATCCAGACCGATAGGCCTCATATGGAAACGATACACCCCATTTCAAGTTATGTGGAATATGTTTCTGAATATTTGTGTATTTTGCAAATATGTAATAGATACAATAGACAGGTGATCGTTCTTAGGCATAAATAAGGCATTAAACGTCCGATACGAAAAGGTTTGATAGGAGACCATAGTATGATGTCAAGGATTTTACTTAGATGATATTGGATATGGTAAAGAAAAAGGCAGAGATAAATGAAATCTGGGCGAGTCGTGACATAAATTAGGGCATGAGGCACAAGAAACCAATGAAACGGTTGGTCATTTAACCCATAACTTCCACAATTGCTAAGAAAAAATGAATGTCAGTTTCTACTTGAAAGAGATGAAAAGGACAATTGGCGGCTTACCTGGTCCAGCGATTGTGGTAGCATCTGTGACCTCTTTGGCGGTTGATAAGATGACGTAGGTTTGACCAGCGGCATCACGAGGCACAGTGGTGCTACCATTCTTCCATACAACGGGAGTCTTGGTTAAACCGTAGTAGAATACAGCGCTAGAAAAAAACAAGTGTCAATTTGGGAAAAAGATAGCAGTGCAGTAACAGATATTAGTGGGATCAGTTTTTGGACGTACTATACATCTCCGGTTGTGGAGGGGGCTTTTGCAGGAGTCAATTTGATTTCGGAACCCTTGTAAACAAGACCATTGGCTCCCAAGGTAAGAGCTGGGAATGGTTTAAGGGGTAACTTGGCGTCTTCCAAAGTTTTGCATCCGGGTTTGATGAATCCAGCGGCCAATGTGTAGATCTGGTTCGGGTTCATCGGCTATGTAAAGATGGAAAAATGGTCAGCAGGAATTTACTTGTGAAGTCAAAAATTTAACTGACTGTGTCTAGCGAAGATGGGAACGGGGATTGCGATTGGATGTTTCGGATGTATGAAGAGTGGCGTGCCTCGACGGTGGTGATAGATCCTGCGATGCCCTGGAAAATGAATAGCACAGTCAGGAAGTCTGATTGGGATGGAGAGCTATGGTAGCACCAGACTGACCAAGTATGCCTTGCTGGAGATGATGGGGACACCGCCGAGATAAGCTGATACACCAACACCTGATGAAGTGAGGACAATGCAGTTCGGTCAGACAGTGCCATCCAAGATATTAACAACGAGATGCAGAGAGATGCAGACCTTCAAGGATGTTGGCGACAGCGACGAACGAACTGGGATCCGTCATAGGGCTAAAGCGATATGTACATGCATGAGTTTGTTGATCGCTCTTTCTTCGATCAAGGCCAAGACTCACAAATCGTAGGTACATGCGCCTACCGGAGAACCACCGGCGGAAGCGAGACCGTCAGTGAGCATCTTGACGTGCTCGGCCTCATCTTGAGAACACCAAAGATTTACATCAGTAAATTAAATTCAGTTGATCATGAGCTGGGACTGCAATATGACTCTCACCTTTTGCGATCTCCTCAAATCGTGTGCGGACCCGTTCCTCAAATCCAGCCTTGGTGAAATCATCTGCGCTGTACTTGGCTAAAGCAGTCGAGTAGAATGTGCTTTCCAAATGCTCAAGAGTGAGAGCGTACTAGAAAAAAATATGAATGGTATCAATTGAAAGGATCAAACTTCTACTTGGCCTAGAGAAAAATCATTCGAACCTGGAGGATGTCAACATCTGTGTATGCTGGTGAAGCGTTTTCGCGGGCCTTTAAGGCGGCACCTGAGACAGAGACAGCAACAAGGACAATGGATGCTAAAGAGTTGAACAACATATCGTAATGATAAGTTTAGAGTCTGCGTATGGATTGATTTAGTTATGAGAAGATAGAATGAGGTGGGATGAAGAGACAGCGCCGATGTGGTACGAACCCTTACCTTTATAAGCACCCTGCAAAACGTGGGGGGAGAGGAAAAGAGGAATGAGCTTCTTAAAACAAAGGTGTATGTCAAAAAGAATTTTCCTTACCCGCCGAATCCGAAGAATTCTATGGAATTCTAGCACACTTTGTGTAGAAGACCAATGCGACTCCACGATGCTGTTATGTGGCGATGTCCAAACGGAAGTTGTACACCGCCAACACGGAGGCCCTCCACATGCTGAATCAAGCTGAATCAGGTCCCCCGACGCCTGCGATGTCAGTATAGTTGGACCTATAAATCTGTAATGAAGGATACACATCGATCCCGAATCATGATGCACAAAACATACATATAATGAAATGGGTATTATTTTCTTCCGTGTGGAAATCTTTCTACCAAGAGGTCTCCTCGCCGTTGGGCAATCAAGCATGATGTAAAGCCCGTTCGATGACAAGGTGGAAGTTGGAACAAGTCGAGGATATCGGAGGGTACCATACTGCGTCATAGAGTTCACGTCTGTTCAACTCTTCAGTCTAAAAGTCTGGCGGTAAAGCCTTTGTGTTTTTGATCACATGCGCAATGCCTTGCCTCCACCAGATGACTTGTTGAAGGTGTGCGAGGTGGGACCAATTGAGATCATACATAACTTCAACTCTGCTGAGTTTGTTGACTGCTCCTATGCACTTTTCTTTCAAAAAAATCAAAAGGGCCTCCGAATCGCCGTTGTCGGCTTATAGTGGAAGTATAACACACCTCCCAGCCCATATTCCTCGTGCATTGATTGTAGACACGATCTGAATACCGAAAGGCTTGAAGCTTCACTCATGTGGAACTGATAGCCCCAATTCATCCCAGCACATGCTCATCATGCTCGATTTAAAGTCATCGATATACGCTCGCAAAGTCAATGCAATAAAGAGGTAATAGTTTTAGGGATGATTAAGGCATTCAAATTCCAACACAAGAAGTTAAGACATCAGACAATAAGACAACAATTGATTTAGGTAGATGAGATCAACTAAAGTAAGCAAAAAAGAGAAAAGTGAAAGCTTGGTGGGGACGGGACATAAACCAAGATACGAGGCACAGTATCAGACGTCAAAGAAGAGATTTGATTGTTTAAGCCATAACTTCCACGATCGCTAAGAAAGAAAAACGTCAGTTTTCAGCCGGTGAGATTACGATCAAGAGTGAAGGCTTACCTGGTCCAGCGATCGTAGTTTCGTCTGTGGCCTTTTGCGAGGTTGAGAGGATGACATAGGTTTGACCAACAGCATCAAGAGGGACACGAACCATACCGTTCTGGATCGCAACAGCGGTCTTGGTCAAACCATAGTAGAACACAGCACTGAAAAATTTTAAATGTCAATTTATGCAAAGAACAGGATTATCAGAAATCATCAAGAAAAGATTTTACATACAATACATTTCCGCTTTTAGCGGGTGATGTGGCAGAGGTCAATTTGATTTGAGAACCCTTGTGAATAGGACCAGTGGTTGATAAGGTAAGAGCCGGAAAAGGTTTAAGGGGTAACTTGGTGGCTACCAAAGTCTTACATCCGGGTTTGATAAACCCAGCCGCTAAGGTGTAAATTTGATTTGGGTTCAATGGCTATAAAGAGATAGAAAAAGTGTAAGTAGAGAACTACTTGTGAATTCAAATATTTTAACTCACTGTGTCTAACGAAGATGGAAAGGGGGATTGTGATTGGATTCCTCGAACGTATGAAGAGTGGCGTGCTTCAACAGTGGTGATAGATCCTGCAATAGTCTTGAGAATGGATAACACATGGTCAGTGATTCTGACTGGAATGGAAAGCTCCGGGATACCAAACTGACCAAGTATGCCTTGCTGGAGATGATGGGGACACCACCGAGATAAGCTGATACACCAACACCTGATGAAGCAAAGACGACGAGATACACTTCGATCAGACCGTGCAAACAAAGACATCAAGATTGAGTTGCAGACCTTCAAGGATGTTAGCAACAGCGGCGAACGACTTTGGGTCGTTCATAGGGCTGAAATACGGAATAGGACCATGCATGAGTTTTTTCATCGCGATTTTTCAAATCAAGCTAGACTCACAAGTCGTAGGTGCAAGCGCCAACCGGAGTTGCACCGGCGGCAGTGAGACCGTCAGTGAGAAGCTTGACGTGCTCCCGCTCATCTTAAAGACAAAAAGCATTCACATCAGTAAGATAAACCCAGCCGAGTATGATTAGACTACAATATGTTGCTCACCTCTTGCAATCTCTTCGAAACGAGTGCGGACCCACGGCTCAAAGCCAGCCCTGGCGAAATCAGCAGCGCTGTACCTGGCTAAAGCAGTCGAGTAAAACGTATCTTCCAAATGCTCAAGGGTAAGAGCATACTAGAAAAGAAATCATATGGTATCAATAAAAAAGATAACACTTCTACTCGAACTGGTGAAAAACTCATTCGAACCTGGAGAATATCGGCATCTGTGAATACTGGTGAAGGCTGGGTGTATGTTAAAGCGGCGCCTGAAACGGAAGCAGCAGCAAGAGAAACAGATAATAAAGAGTTGAACAACATTTTATGATGATATTTAATTTAAAGTATTAAGGTATGTATGTATGGAAGAATGCTTGAATGATAAAGATGTGGGATAAAGATATCTGAGCAGTTGGGCGTATCCACCCTTGCGCTTTATAAGCAAAATGTAAGACTTGGGAGAGAAGAAGGAAAGAGGAACGGGTGCTTCTCAAAACACCGATATACTTAACAGAAAACCAACTTTCCATACCAGCTAATTGCTGCTGATTGTCTATGGAATTCCACCACATTTGGTATGGAAAACTAAATCTCAATTCATAGCCTTGTTGTGTGGTGAACAAGGGTGAACACTTGACTGAAGCATGATAAGTACATACATATTGATGCCCAAACGGAATTTGTCTACCCCCGAGACGGAAGTCCTCCAGAGCCTCCACATAGTCCACATACCGTACCAACTCTCCCGACGCCTACGACGTCGGTATATTGGACTATAACCATAACTTAAAGCTATATCTATAATGAAGGATATCAAAGCACCGGTGTATCGAAGATTCGATTCGGGATGTTTATGAATTCCTTTCGATCTCTTCCAACTAGAAACTGGATGTTTTTATCTAGTACGTATGTATCAAGCTGCATAGAGCGGCGCTGAGCTGCGTCAATCGCACCGATAGTCAATCGAGTAAACTTAGCTTGATAATGCATTTAGCCCGCTTCATGACAACGTTAAACAAGTCCAGGAGAATGAACGCATCGTGCTGTGTCACAAAAGCTTACTTCTATTCAATTCTTTATCCTAGAAGTCAAGAAAGAAGACTAGAGTTTTCGATCGCATGTGCGATAACAGCGATAACTCACCTCCATCAGACTCAGACTTCTTTTTCAAAAGGTGGGTCTAATTGAGATCATAAATTGACTGTCAAGCCAGTATATTAATGCATAAACTGCCATAGGACTGTGAGACTACTTCACACTCACACAGGCACAAAAACATAGTAAAAAGATAAAGAGTGGAAACATAACATAAATAAAGGGAAAAAAAAAGACTCTTGACTAATCGTTTGTGTATCTTGAACAAAGATCTGTTCAAGAACGATCAAAAGAAATCCAAAGATCAAGCTACACTGCCTAATTCGAAACTTCGACGACAGCTAAAGTGTCCATAGAAAAAGAAACGTCTCAGTTTTAAAGCACAAACCAGATGAAACTATGTCAAATGAATTTCTTACCTGGTCCTGCAATAGTGGTTGCATCCGTTGCGTTTTGAGCTGAGGACAAGATGACGTAAGTCTGACCTGCGGCATCGTTAGGGATCATAACACTTCCGTTCTTCCATGGCACAGCTGTCTTGCTCAAGCCATAGTAAAAGACGGCACTACGAGGAGAAAGATGGTGATCCAGATCAACATGAGTCATGGATGACCGACAAGAACCAAAGACACTTACAACATATCACCAGTCATGGTTGCGTTCGTCATTGGGGTCAACATAATTTGTTGACCTCGAGTGAGGGTTCCAGTGGTTCCCATCATAAGCCCAGGGAAAGCCTTGAATGGTAAGTTAGCGGCTGCCAAACTGGCACATCCAGGTTGGATGAACCCAGCTGCGAGAGAGAAGACTTGATTGGGATCAAGCGGCTAGAGAGAGAGAGAAATGTGGTAAGTTTCCATGCACCATTGGTATACATACTCTGCTTGATTGACTCACCGTATCCTCAGGTGACGGAAATGCCGATTCTCCTTCGACAGCGGCACGAATATAAGACGAATGTCTAGCTTCCACCGTCAGAATCGAAGCAGCAGCAGTCTAACAAAGAACATATAGTCAGTTACCTACGGTACTAAAACACTTTGAAGATTTCAAGACTGAAGCTTACCAAATACTGCTTGTTGGTAATCGAGCTAGCTCCACCTAGGTATGCCGAAACACCAACACCTTATATGTGAGCCAAAAGAAACACAAAATCAATTTTTTACAATTTCAAAGCCTCACAGAACCGGCTTCATAAAAGTGACTATCAAAACATTCAACATACCCTCAAGAATGCTTGCAACGGCCGCAAAAGACTTGGGGTCTGTAACAGGGCTGATGGTAGGATTTTGATGTTAGAGACACCAAGAGCTTGTAAGACATAGAAAACACTCGACTGACAAGGTGTAGTTACACGCTCCCACTGGGTTTGCGCCCGCTGCAGATAGAGCAGAAGTCAAGAAGCTCACATGTTGAGCCTCGTCTGAAACACACCCAACATCAGCCGTTGAACTCACTTCGATCATGAGATAAGTCAAAGAATCAATCAAACCTTGTGCAATCTCTTCAAATCGACTACGGACCCATGTTGGGAAACCCGCGTTGGTAAAATCTGAAGCGCTATAGTTTGCTAAAGCAGTCGTATAGAAAGCGCTTTCGAGGTGCTCCAAAGTGAGAGCATACTAAAGAACATATAAAAAGACGTGTCAATCTTTGAAAATATACAAAAACTTGACTTGAATGAAAGGTATGTATAGAGGAAAGATTATTGACCTGTAGGATATCAGTATCGGTAAGAGCTCCTTGATTGTTCTGACGAGCATCAAGATTAGAACCTGAAACGACAGCAAGAGTAGCAAATAGGATCGAGACTAAAGGAGTGATCATCTTAAAATTAATCTTTTTTTTTGGAAATCTTTCTCAAAGAGTAGAATGAAGGTCAAGAATGAAAAATTGTAAAGCAAGAACGGGTTGTGAAGTTTGTAAAGTTGAAAAGTGGACGTAATGAAAATATCTTGTTCGAATTAGCAAGACTAGGTTTTATATCTTTCATTATCTTTTTGATTTGGTTATCCAAACATTTTCAAAACACGCGTTTCATCTTTCTGTCTGTCTGTGAACTGAGACTCAGCTCTCAAGGCAAAGACAAAATCACCATGCCGATTCATATGGTAAGGACCTCAAAGGACAATCTTAACACAGGCACAACTCATATAGTCTTACTACAAGCAGTCCATAAGGGCGGATGGTCCCAACAAAGCGTTTGATCCTATCCGAATCTTGGTCCAACAAATGTCTCATAAAAAAGGCCCATGAGCTCTGCTCTTGACCGTTCTTCAGCTAAGTCAGAAAACCTTGACACAGCTTAAAGATATCGGACAATGCACACTGAATTTGATTCTGGATGATTCATCAGTTTCAACTGTACTGACTGTGCTGAGTCTGACCTATTGATCAGATTCACGACCGGGTTGAACTTCCATAGATAGCAGTTGAAGTGCTTCACATGCGAGGGCGCGGACGCGACCGCGCAGACTCCAGAGAGGGCTTTGTTGAGCTATAACTAAACTCTTAAACTCTCAGTGATTTGTCATTCGGTTCTCCAGCTTCAAAACTTTTTATCAAATCTCTTCACATCACTAGCTCTCCATCAACATATCTCCTGGAGCTAACTTAACTAAGATCCCTCTACCTCGTGAGCGAGCCTTAGCGAGTAGAGGGACTTACCTGTAATGTCGAGTTTCTTGGTGAGGAGCAGATTGAGGTTTTGGTGGTGGGAATCTGTACTAATACAACTTTTCCGTATCGGAATACGAAATTTTCTCTTCTTGACTTATGTTTTGATTTTACTTCTTGTTCATCTTTCTATCTACTCAACTTTTGATTCTCAAATTGAGATGAAAAGTTTTCATTGAGCTCAAAAAGAGCTCATCTGAAATTTCGAATGCTGCGAGTTACCGAAAACAAGAAGGTATGTAATGTGAGACCTTGTGAACCTTTCGACTCAAATCTGCACTGTTGATCATCAGAAGTTGACCGAGAAGAACCGGTCAACAAGGATCAATTTGTTACATGAGAAGGATAAAAACTCGAGAAATTGGTGTTTCTGCCATTGGTTTTTGCCAGTTGCTGTTTTCCGCGGAAACAGCAACTGGAAGTTTTTGAGATACCTACCACTTGTTGACCACTACACCAAAACCTGATCCTAAAAATGAGTTCGCACATTGACCCAGCTGTGGGAGGACTGGATTCAAATACCGAAGCCAATAATCGAGTGCCGGCGGTCAGCACAGCTGGAGCTGAAGAGCCTGCTCAAAATATCACAATCAAGATATGTGATTATATCAAGAAGACATCTTCAATGACTCCAAAGGAATTCATTCAGAGTTTACTTGATTCTGAGGTCCCTGGAGTTGCTTCGAGACGCCAATATTGGGCTACACAGACTGGTTGGTCTTCGACCGAGAAACTTATCTTGAGTATCAAGAAACGAGTGATTGAAAGCGAAAAAAAGGATGGTACTGACCGATGGAGTACCTTCATCCTGAATGAGGCAAGTCTCTTCCAACAACATCAGAGAGTTGAATCCTTTCTGATGAAGTTGCAATTTCAAAAGGCTCACGAGATTCTCAATCGTGAAGAGCCGCCTCCAGGCTATGCTCCAAAGGGAAGCTTTTATAGTTCTGAGCGTGTGGACTACGAGTTTTTCGAAAGCAAGTCTGAGGCCATTCGTGAAAATATCATAAAAAATAGTATGCCTTTCCTCCATTCTTTAATATATGAGAAGATCGAGTTAGCTATCATGGAACGAAATAAATTGCGTGAGGAGAATTAAAAAAAAAAGGCTATTGAAGAAATAGATTCACCTACAAATGATGATAGTGTATTAGAGGCCATTCCTGCGGAGTCAATGGAAGGTATATTCCATTCGAAGAAACCTTCCTCCAGCAGTACTGATGATCATCGATTGAAGCATGTACGTATTTGTGTTGTAATTCAAGTTGATTGGATGCAAAGGAAAACATTAACACTTATGTATCTCTTCATTCAGCTTCCTTGTACTATACTCGCAATGATAGCCTTTGCCTGCAACAGGCGCTTCAATGGGACACAATTACAAAACTCAATTACCTTTATTGCTTGTGGTATCTCCGAGCGAGTCAACGATTATCTACACTTCCTGGGATTAACAACTAGCCGTCAAACTGGATTGAAAGCCATGGAAACTCTTGGAACAGCTTCTGAAGAGATCATCAAAAATCAAATGGCCCAAAAATATAACCTTCGGCCTTTCACCACACTTGATAATATCGACATTCAAGCACGTGTTCACAATCCTCGAATTGAGGCGTCTACAAAGATGTTCCACGGCTCTTATGGTCCGCAACGCTATGGAAATTGGCCCATTTTGGTTGCGGAGCGGAGCCTCCGCTATGGGAGGAACCACTATCATATCGCTATTTATGAGAAAAAAATTCGGACAAGGTTGCGGAGCAATAAAATCGCTATTTTTGCGCTATATAGCGCGCTATAAATGCATTGCTGTACAGCATACTAGAAGGTAAGAGAAAACATGCTTGACATGTTAAATCTATGTGTACCTGGTCTCTCCATACTTTCAAAAGCCTATCATTCCTACTGATAGTGGCAAAATCGACTCGTCGGTCCACAAACTTGGTACATTAAGCACATCACTTGCCTGACAAACACTTGCTTCCTGAAGATCTTGCTATGTACTTCAATCTCAAATGCTCTTGATGTTAATGCTGAAAAGCGTGGAACCAAATCGATCCACATAGAGACAAATAGCAGTGTTGGAATCGGAAAGTCAAGCGTATTGCGCTTCATAGATTGATGATCTTTGAGGGGTATCGATTGTAAGATTGTTTGAATAAAAAACATGCTGAAACAAATATGATATGTCCTAAACACATGACAACTTGAATTCAAACAGTCTTAAATAAACGAATTCAAAACGATACGGATTTGCCTTCATTTACTTGATCTTTATATTCAAAGTAAACACCTACAATTAATATATTGGCAACAGGCCCTCAAGTTCAAAAATGATTGAAAAATGATTTACCGATTAAACCTCCTCAAGGAAGTGGATCACATCGACCAAATCCTTCTACATTTGTCTTCGATTTGTTGAGGTTTGTTGGGGTTTAATTCGGTTGTGATTGAGGTTGATTACATTGATGTATCCCAGAAGGTGTTGGATTTCATCTTATCATGATGATCAAGGACTTGAAAAGGTGTTGAAAAATGCGATCAATGGAAAAAAGTGTTGAGCTAAAGTTCACACGCTGTATAGTTTGAATTTGGCCATCATGATCTAGTCGGAGCAAGCGAGTTTGTTGTCGTTCGATGTTGAGATAATTTCATCATATCGCTACTCTTTTGTTTCTTGATTAATCCTTTTTTTACTGTATTTGTTTCCTCCGCTATATAGCGGAGGACACCTGAACCAGGTGGGTTGCGGAGCGAAAGCTCCGCTATGAGTTTTCCGGGTCCTTGTGTGCGGAGCGCAGGCTGCGCTATATATATTGGTGTATATAGCGGAGTCCCTGGCCGCTCCGCTATCGCTCCGCAACCACTATATGGAGCGGAGCGATTCCGGTATTGCCTGCACATCTTGTTGATAAGATCGACCCCAAGGACTCCAGTCTCGAGTCTCTTCTGAAATACATCGAAAAAAGTCAATCGGAGCCGTTGGAGATTTTCTCAATGTTACGCAGTCAAGAAGATCAAGTACATTGGTCCCTTGTACTGAAGTCGCAGCTGGCTAAAGCTCTCCTGGACTACAAATTCAAGAAAGAGTCGCCAGCCTACAAAACTTGTAAGAAATTACTCGCAACCGTTCCTCCTTCAGTGGACCAAATCGAATGGCACAAACCCGATCTAGTGATGCTCAAGATGATGAGTGCATCAGAAAGCTCCTCTGTAGGTGTGTCTGATATGCTCAATCAATGTTTAAAGCAAACTGGCGAGGACCCGGATAAATGTGCTGAGGGAATTCAAGTATTTGAAGGAGACATGGGAACTTGCTTGAACTTCGAGTCATTGACTCGCCAGCGCTTTCCGGCTGAGGTAGCTGCAGAATCCTTGAGTAGTGTTCTCAACATGCCCGGACTAGCTCATACTATGTGGAATGTGGCTAGCAAGCTTATAAGCCACCATTGGGGTGATTCAAAGGACTCAAGTGACACTGGGCTTCACCGAACAGCTGGCGCGCTTTCAATGCCAACGGACAGACTTCCATCTCAACAGGATTTTAATTCATTGCTACAAATGATTCACAAAAGTCATACGGCTACTCTAGTATTCTTATTGAGATATGTATCATTTCATCTTCAGCTTCACCTACCTCTTGAGCTGATATTCTCTGTCTTTCAGCACACAGATAATTCAGAGTCGTGAACACCCTGTTGAACTTGATAAACCCAACATAGCCCAATCTATCATTGATGAATGCTACGAGAGATACTTCACTGTTTCATCCGTCAAAGAAGCTTCAAAGACTGGGGACTGGACTTTGTATAATCTACGCCTGCGACTTCGCAACTTTGCAACAATTGTCGAAGGTGATCACGCAATGCGAGTAGGAGACATAGGTCGTGTCCTGCTAATGTGGAAGAGATGGGCTGTTATGGCACATGGAGTCAAAGGCCTTTCGCACTATGCAATTCACCTCCCAAGATTTATATTGATCCTGAATCAATTCTTACCTCCAGAGATTTCTAAAGCAATCAAGCATTCACTTTTGATTGCAACTGGAGGGCGCGATGGACACTGGGTTGGCAAAGACTTTTATCTTGAGATTCAAAACTATTGGCTGAAATATTTTTACAACAACTCGGTGGGTCCTTCCCTCTTTCAATCTTTTGATGATCATGGACTGATTAGATCGGTCCATATAGGGTCAAGGTACAAAGATCAAAAGGCTTATGGAACGATTTTCAATCATCATTCCACTTGTGAGAAAACTTTTCTTTCTTTGATAAGATTTGGTGTGATTACAATGGTTGATTGAGTATGAATACTACAGTTGCGTGAGCAGATACATCAAATAAAAGCTCGATCTGGCCTGAAGGATGTATATCAGAACAATCCACATCCGATCTCAGATCAAACAATGAGAGACTTTCTACATATGGCTCAAGTTCACCTGAGTGATCCTGAATACTCTCAATATAAGCGATCTGCTGATGATAACGATGAAATTGATGATATAGAAACATTAGGAATTGAGAAGTTTCGGTCAATCCTCAACATTGAAGCACGAAAGAAGCTTCCTTCTCGCTTCATTTGGGGATCTATGAGCACCAAAACAGAAGATAGAGACAATTCAAATCAACCTGATGAAGGCACTTTAAATTAACCTGACGAAATCTCACTCTTTCCTTGAATCAAAGTGAACCTGATGTACTCGTAAAATGAGAAATTGATTTATTTTTATCGGCTTGTTTTTGTTCTTTCAATTTCAAAGCTTGTGAAGCCTTTTCGGCGCGTAGCTGCTTTTGATTTGCAATGCCTTCAGCTTTGAGATCTTTTGCAACAGCCCTCATTCGTAATTCCTCCTTGTGTTCCTGTTCAATAAGTTCTTTGTTAAGGAATTCTTGATCGATTTCAATCTGAATATCTTCAAGTTCGGATTGATGTAGTTTGTAGGAGTCACTATTAAGCCAAGAATTAATACTTGTCGTGATCATTTCAAAGAGTCCAGGTATGGTTTGTCCTCCAAGGATCTCTCGCAGAAAGTGTCCATTTGAAGCTGAGGTGTAATTCTTAGCAATCTGCCAAGCATGCTCACGGTTGAAAAGAGTTTCAGGTAGATAGGGTGGATCAGTTGGGTATGTTTTCTTGAAAAGAATTTCGTAATTTCCAAGAATGGAAACTGTAAGATCAATGATTGATACATCCAGTCGGATTGGGTCATTCCACTTGCATACAAGTGGAATGTTGCTGGAAAATTTTCGCTTCCTGCTGCTCCTTGGAATATTGAGTAGTGATTCGTCTTCTGGCTCAGATGGAAAAGACGAAAGCAGAGCATTCAAATCGGCCGATTTTGTTTGTGGAAGCAGTCGAATGATTTGAGCAGCTCCTTGAGGGTCACAATTCGAACATCGACAAGCAGGCATTTTTGCATCCTTTTCCCGCTGAATCTCCAAAAGATAACCAGGATCCGAAAGAGACATGGCAATGTAACCCTTTCTGTATCATGCATATTGATCAGCTTTCTGATGATGGACAATTTTTAGTCTTTGTATAGCATCCAAAAAGCTTACAGGGTGTCTAGGGAATATACCACTCTCAAGCAACACGGTGTGAGTCTTAGAGCATGCATACGCTCCTGATTGTCCATCTGATCGTTTACATCGACCTCGGAAGCCGAATTCTTACCGCTAGATAGGTTTGGCTGAACAAATAAGATTACTAAGCCTTCGCTCCCATCGCGTCCACGCCCAGCTCTTCCAGCCATCTGATTTGAATCAGATGGGTCCATCGCACCCATGATGACTACAATCTTGACGCGGGGCCAGTTCTGACCCAGTCCAAGAGCGGAAGTAGCAGAGAGGATTGGAAATTTCCCTTTGCCATAATCTTGGGCCCGTGTTACTTTGTCTTTATCGCCAGTTACAGAATGATATCTACAAATGCATTTTGATTTAGGATTCTTAAAATTGTCTGGTTGACCCCGTGATTTCGAAACTACTTCCATCACCGTCAATGTTCTATTACGAGTACCCGAGTAAATAATCATCGGAGGTAATTCATCGTTTGAAACAATTGATTTGTGAGGAATTATTGCAGAGAGATCTTCTGCTGAATCGACAGTCTCAGTCAAATAGAGTCGAATGAAGCGGAGTTCAGGACGAGTAAGCTCTCCCTGTACCATTGTCATATTTGATGATGTTAAGCTTAAGCTTTTCTTTATGGCTGAGATTGCTTGAGGCCGACAAGTCGCCGACATCAAAAGCATTGGTATGTCATTGGTTGCCATCAGCTGCCGGCCAAGGAACCCATAAGATGATCGAAACAGACCAATATCTTGTGGAGTCACATGAACGGAAAAGTTCTTTGAAGCTCCACTCTCCTGAAGCCCCCACAAATAAATACAGTTTGCTTCATCGACCACTTTCAAGACCAGATGAGACTGAAACTGTTTACTATGGTAAAGAGTTTGAAATGCTTCACTATTTAAGAAGATCTCGGGACTCTTTGGCAACCAATGATAAGTATTAGTTTCTTTGCAAATAAAGAATCGATGTGTTCTCTCTGGATAAAAGAACATACCAAATATATGAATGAGTATTCATTGTTTTTTAATTTCTTCAATACTTTCTTATCAAACGTATTCTTTGTTAGATTAACTGCAGTGATGCCGGAGAGTTTTTTCTCCAAAACCTAGAAAGAATAACGAGGTTCTTCAGGTTAATATGGCTGACATGAATCAGATGCCTAAACACACCTGATTATCACCAAGAGCATCTAGCAGGTTCAAGACCAATATAACGGCCTTCTTGACCTTTGGGAACATGAGGAAGAATAGTTCCGATACTCGACTCTTTCCAGAGCCGGTTGCAGAGAGTAAGAAGGTGTTTTGACCGTTTGCTAGACTGACAGCGGTTTGTAGCTGAACATCGCTTGGCTCGTCATTAAACCACCTAGCCATGAACTTGGCCTTGAACATTGTCCACTGCTCAGAAATCGTTGCGGTGAGGACTTTTAAGCTGAGGCTTATCCGTTCTAAATGCAAGCTACGGCTGGACTCGCTAAGATCGTTTAAATCCGGTCTTTGTTCATCATCATTTGGAGCGCTTCGAGTTCGCCTTTTAGTGGAAGACATTTCGTTTATTTATTGAAGTCTTCCTCATTGAATAGACACGTTCAAAACTCTTGAAGCGATGACTGATCAGTGTTTTTCCGATAAAGTCAAGACATCCTCGATTTTGGTTTTCAAGCTGCATGGATGTCACAGACGACCGTTGAGCCGACCTCCGCAGTCTTTTATGAAATTCCAAAAGCACTCTTTTTGAGCTCAAGGGAAACTTTTTGTTTTGATTGCAAAAGTAAAAGTTGAGTAGATAGAAAGATGAACAAGAAGTAAAATCAAAACATAAGTCAAGAAGAGAAAATTTCGTATTCCGATACGGAAAAGTTGTATTAGTACAGATTCCCACCACCAAAACCTCAATCTGCTCCTCACCAAGAAACTCGACATTACAGGTAAGTCCCTCTACTCGCTAAGGCTCGCTCACGAGGTAGAGGGATCTTAGTTAAGTTAGCTCCTGGAGCATGTATCACTTTCTGTTCCAATCAACCTCCCTACATATCTTTTTTCCTTGCTTCTTGGTACATATCATTCTTAGAAATTGAGCCAAATCCAAACATGGCACTTTTCAATATGAAACCTTTGTCAATATGATCAGATAATGTAAATGATATAACCCTTCCATGTGAAAGATTCCTTAAACCCAGCATGACCAGATCACCAGATCACCAGTTTTCCCAATGAGTCAAATAAATCCCACAAATCATCAAATCTTGACTCTTGTAAAAAATCAAACCAATCAAACCAACCACTTTACAACCTTTAATTAGAAACCAAGTATTTCAGGGTGATGACATAGGGGGGGGGTCAAAACCAGTCTTCACCCTTCCCAAAAGAAAATTATTCAACTTATTCCCCAAGTTTGATTGTGTGAATCTGGATCAGCCTTGTTGGTTATCCTTTAATAATTCCCTAAAATAAAAAAGTGAGAATACATAAAAATTCAATTATCAAAAAAAACTCAACATAAAAGTTTAAAGGAAAATAAACACTTCATGTAAAATAAACACTTCTTTTTTGTAGCTACAAAGCAAATCAAAAAAACACACACACGTACTAAAAATCTAAGAAGAAGAAAACTTCAAAAAAAACTTAGTTAAAGAAGGTAAATAGTCTAAAGATCAAAGAGAGAAAACTTGATGATGTTCAACAAAAAGAAAAAGAAGAAAACTAATAATAAAAGAGTGATAGAGAGAGAAATCGAATGAATAAATCAATGAAAAAAATAAATGAATGATAAAAAAAAACAATTGTCCAAACCAATAAATAAAAATAAAATAATTGAATAAAAAAAAAGAATAATAAACTCAATAAATCACAAAAAAGAAAAAAGTCCAACCCTGCTGAGATCCAACGCTTTTCAAAACTCCTCAATCCTTAACCATTGAAGGAATCCCACTCACAACCTTAACCAAAGGAGAATACAAAGCTCCTTGATTAGAATGATGAGTGATCAAACTATTAGAAGGTAATCCAATCTTCTCATCATCATTTCGTCTCATGATTCCATTCTGATTAACTAACTCGCTTGATTTTTTTCGATCTAATTCCACTTTAGCATAATAAGCTCCTCCGATTAATGTTAAGGTGATTCCAAACAGATTAGTAGGTGTGATCACTAAATTGAATATAAAGATTGCTAAGACGATCGTTAGAACTTGTTTCACATTAGCTAAATTGAAAAACAACCAAAAAAGAAAATCAAATTCAAAACTTCAATTTCAATTTCATTTAATAATGTTTGAGTAAGGAAAGAAAAGGACTGACCAGCAACAGTCATGGTAAGTGCACTAGTCTTTTTATTAGCCGTAAAACTAACCACATTCAACCCAAAGGCAATAAGTCCATTAATCACCAAAGCCAAAGCTTTCTTTCGATCCATCTGATTAGCCCCAAACTCTCTAACTCGATCCATCTCACCTGTCCAATAACTCCAAACCACACATTGAATAAACGCCAAGGGTGACATTCTCAATAACAAATCTAATGGATTCAACTTTAACTTTCCAACTTGAATCAAATTCGTAATCACCGTCTTAAAGGAAGCTAAGATGGTACCTAATAAAGTTAAAATCAAACCCCATGTGGTCCATCCGTAATCTCCATAGGTTGAGAATCCTACACCGGCTACGACTATGAAGAGTGATAGATAAGTTTGAAGAGGATATGATTTATGAAAATAAAAGATTGATAAGATGATCGTAAAGAGTGGTGTAGTAGCTCTAACAACTTGATGAAACTGATTTTCCCCCCCCCCACACACACAAAAGACCAAGAAAAAATAACACGAATCAGTCAAACTTTGAAAAACCAAAAAGGGGTAGAAATCGAACTCACAGGAACAGTCACCAAATGTAAACTCAAGTTAGAGACGGCAATATTAACGGTATAAAGCACACTAAAAGCCACCAGAATCCCACTTTCTCTTCTGTTCAATCTAGCAGACTTAAACAAACCACGGTTCAAAGCAAACTGAGATCCAACAGTCGATGCCAAAGCATGAATACCGGTCAAGGTCCAAGGAAACGGAAAGCCTAACAAGACTCGTTTGTTATAGATCGTAAGACCTAAATTGAAGGCGAAATAATAAATCAACCAAGCTGTGGATGAATCGAATTTAGATGAGACAGGTGGGCTGAGTTTAGTATAAGGAGATGGATGAGACGAGTTGGTGAGTCCTAATGGTAAGGAAGCTGAGTGTTTCGAAAGATCAATATCAGTATCAAAAAGAGAATAGATAAAGAAGGTTTAGAGTGAGATGGACTGACTACTTTTGGGTAAAGAAGCTAAAGAGGAAGGAGGTGGGTTTGAATAGAATGGACGAATAGGTTGATGGTTTAGAAGAAGTTTAGTAGATGTAGTAGGAATCGAATGTTTAAGATCGATTGAAAGACGATCTTTTGAAGCGGATCTAGTGATCGTATTAGGATGTTGATTGAAAGAAGTAGAAGAAGATCTAGGTTTGTTGGGAGTCAGATTATAATCCATGATGTTATGATTGAGTTGATCAGTAGGTGTAGATCTTTGTAGTTGGATTGACCAATCTTGATGAAGTTGTTGATTTGATTTTGAGATTGAAGAAGAAGGAGAAGAAGTAGTTGAAGTTGAATTAGAAGTAGGTGAATGAGATGAAGTAGATTGAGATGAATCAATGGAATCTGAGATTGAAGTTGAGATTAAAGAGAATGATAAGTTTTGATTTTGATTTGGAATTGAAGTCGTCATTTGAGTTGAGAATGATCAGTTGAGTCTTGATGGTCTTGATGATGATGATGATGATGATGATGATGAATGGTGAAATGGTGATAGTCTTCTTCTTGTTGTTGGTTTGGTAGTGAGGATGATGGAGTGAATGATTTTGATTTTACTAATTTTGGTCAACACACTTTGATTTCTATTTTTAACTTTCTTTCAATTTCTGACCTGATTTTCACTTTCACTTTCACTTTCATCAACACTTTTTACTTTTCTCATCAAAGCTCATCAAACTTGGAATAACAATCATCATTTTCGATCTCCAACCCTCACACCTTTTTAGGTTGCCCAGAGTTACACAGTTTGAAAAAGAAACCCCCAACATCTTGATGAGATCTTATCAAGAACAAATACATTTCAAAAACTTCAATTTTTTCATTGTTCGATCCAACTACAAATCAAAATTCAAAAGTATGTTGACACGTACAACCAAAGAAGCTTTAAAGAAGCCAGATAACATTGATAGATAAGAAATATACATACCTTGTGATTTGTACAGTGGGTCACAATGATCAAAAAGTTACAGTTTTTATCTTTTATTTTCCAGAAATTGGATTTCTGCAATTATGAAAACCTACCACAAACCCTGTTGAACATCACCTCCTGTATTCTTCCTATAGAACTACTGGCATAGGATCCCAAAAAGTCAATGAAAATTGTCATCTAGCAAAGATGGTACGGTCTATAATCTCATGGTTCAAGAGATATGGCACAGTTGAATGGTCCAAACCGATATTTCCACTCAAAAAAACTTGACTAATTATAATAATTGACATCTACTGCAAGACATTCAATGGTCACAAATTTTCAGCTATTGAACAGCTTACTACCAACTCAACTATACTATCATCAAGTATGCCATCCAACAGTTTTTGAAGAACTGTGGCTTCAAGTCTTTTTCTATGGACATCACACCATTCTACAATTATCAGAATTTCAAAAACCTACTAGAATTTGTAAAGCTCAATAGAACCTGGACTATGGGTCACTGGAGATTGATGGTCTGAAACAATGAATGAACTTCCAGCATTGGAATGGAAAATTTCTGGGGGCTAAGCATTCACAACAAACAGCTAGAGAAAGGTATCAGCAAGACTGTTTAGTTGCTTACCACTTGTCAAGTTGTTCAAGTGTGATGGAATTGGGTGGATTCTATGCCACAACCAAGCTTGGTATAGTGATATATGGAGCCCTGGAAGGATAATTTCTGAAGACTCATGCATCAAAAAATCATGAAAGCTATCATTTTGCACTTCTTCAAGAATTGGTCAGAAGCACTTGGTCTCATCTTGATGGAGGAGAGTTTACTAATACTATGCTTGATGACTCACATTTTTGGAATGATCAAGTTTACATTGTCAAGTTAATATGCTCACTTCTATCACTGGACCTTAATGCAATTGCAATCATCTGTGATCACCACACTGCCATCAATTTTTGCAGCAGATCAAATCAGACATTGATTCAATGTTTTAGTTGTTTCAATGGTGCCAATCCAATAACATGAAGTTGCCTGAGATCACCAGGTGAGGTTTGGCCCTCAGAGGCTATACAGTTGGTGTCAAAGAAGAACATCTGATCCTGATGTATCATCTCTCACATAATTTAGATGGTTTTTGTCCAGGATCCTCTCATCTACAAGAGGGGGGAGACTGAGAATGGTGGTCAAATATGTGTCATCATTATGGGTTGAGCATGTTATAAGATACAGGTAATCCTGGTGAATAGTAACTCAAGACACTGTATCAGCCTACCTGGAGTGAGTGAAATACTACAATGTTTGAAAATGTTGTACAAAACAAAGTTGCAGATGCACCCTTCCTACACCAGTATCAAAGAATCAATCTTGTTGATTACAAGATTATGAGCATCAATAAGAACAAGGGAGAGCATCAGATACCTTAGCTTCAACATGCCTTTAGTACTTTGAGCCTTTGAAAGCAGAGGCTCACTACTGATGTGCTAGTCAATTATGAATTGAAGATAATTGAACTTATTGATAATGTTTTGAATGACTATGAATGATAGTTGAATTTAATTCAACAACAATCTTGGTGGATTTGTAATGTAGGAGCTGGATTTATGGTGCCTACATCCTCCAATATGCCTATTTGAGAACCTGTGCACCTATCCCAGTGTCTGCATCAAGCATTACATTTGTAGACACCATGGTGGAGCACCTAGACCTCAATTGTGTTCATTTAAAACCTTGCGTGTCACATTTTCACCTAGCACATGCACTCCCAAGACCATTCACTCTGAAACATTAAGTCACAAGGATGATTTTTGACCAAAATGAATTTTCCAGTTATGAGAATGCTTTTTGAGTTACAAAAATGATATTTCAAGTTACAAGAATGCTTTTTGGGTTACAAAAATGATCTTTCAAGTCAAAAGAATTCTTTTTGGGTTACAAGAATGATGTTTTAGTCACTCAAGAAGACTCAAGATAACATTTGAGTAACTGGTAATATCATTTATGTAATTATGGTTCTCAAACCTGTGCAAGAACTGTGCAAGACCGACGTGCAAGATCCGTGCAAGATTTCTTGCACCAATCTTGCGCATTAAATTTTTTGACGACCCCAGCTATTTTGTTCCAACTGGTACGAAAACCGTGCGAGACCGACGTGCAAGTTCCGTGCAAGTTCCGTGCAAGTTCTATTCATGTCTTGCACAGAAGTTGCTCGAAACTTGCACAAATTTTTGCATAGGTTTGAGAACCATAAATTTGAAAAGCATTGTTGTATGTCAAAATACCATCCTTGTAGCTTGAAATATCAATTTTCCAACATGGAAAGCATTGTTGTAATCCAAAATACCATCCTTTCAACTTGATTTTTGTTTTCCTAAATCAAAATATCATTTTCACAACTCAAAATTCATTCTTGTAACTCAGAATATTATTGTTTTCACTTGAAAAGCATTCTTGTAGCTTAAGATATCATTTTTGGAACTTGAAAGGCTTTCTTGTAACTCAAAATGTCATTTTTGTAGCTCAAAAAGCACACTTATAACTCAATTTTGTAGAGAAAATGGTGTGAAAATGTGTTATGAAAGGTTTTAAATGACCAAAATCAAGATGTAGGCACTCCATTAAGGCGCCCACAAATGCAAAGCTTGACATAGGCACTGGGATAGTTGCCTGGTTGCTCAAACAGACTGGGAGAGAAAACAAAAATAGGTTTTGTAACTGCAACAGCTTTTTGAAAAAAAAATCTTTCTTGAAACAGCTGCCAATAAGCCTTTCAATTTGTGATTACTGAAACTTGTCAGTGAAATGGATATAAACTTGTACCCTTGTTATCTCATCATCAGACTATTCTACATACCATGAATATGCCAAACCTCATAAATTCTCATTTCCTAGCAAAATGGTAATTAAAATCACTTTCTGAAAAACTACTGGAGTTTCCCTCACACTCATCACAATCAAACTTCAGGCAGGAAAATAAGGTCAAGAAGATGTAATACTACAAAATGTTATTGGAGGTGACAAAAAACATCTGAAATACAACAACTTTATTTGTATACCCACTCAATTGTCTTCATGGCCTTCTTGCCCCATTTTTGATCTTGATTTTTTCTTCACAATCCAAACAACAGATGTACAATAGAAATCAGGGCTTGGTAAAAGTATAGACCAAATGGTATAGGTTTTGCATAAGTTTCAACCATATTCAGACATATTCAATTAAAAAATATGTAGCAATGTTGAATGAATGATCATTTATCCATAAACAGGAGAGTAAAAGAACTTTGTGAAAGAAGAGGAACTTGTACTGATAGTCATAAGAATAGAGACACAATGACCTGGTTGGTAAACAGTTCATTGCATCTTGTAGTCATTTACCTTGCAAATGTCTGCTCCAAACATTTTGTAATTCCTCATAGGCATTGAAATGGGACCCCTTGATTTGAGACTCTGTGGGGGAACAGGTTTTGACAGCCTGGTTGCTCAAGTTAACCACAACAATACAGACTCAAGAAACAGAGAGAATTTGTGATCATGTAGCGGCAAAGGCGTGTGATTTGTTGTGAATATGTTTCCTTAAATCTCTTTATAACCTTACAGAATGATCCCTTCACCAATGTTGTACCACAAATAGTGTCCAAAGTGAGTCTCTTGTATTGTAGAGCATAGAGCAAACAAACAATAGCTTTGCTTGTTATTTCAAAGAGTGAATTAGTTGAATGACATCGGTAGACTTCCTCTCATTGCCAGTGGCCAATGTTTCACATGTGGGCCTTTCCAATAGCAACACCATTTTCTGACTGTGTGCTGCACTGCACATTTCTACTTTTCGAGAGAACCTGGTGTGAAGTTGGAGTGTATGCAATTTTATCATGGGTTTTCAGTTAATGAGTGGTCGTACTATGGGTATAGTGAGGTATGATCGATATGTACGTGTCAAAGAAGGTCAAAGAGCACCTTCATCACTTCGATCCACTCAACTCACTATACCGACATCATCTTCTCAACAAGCTCATTGTAACCTCACTTGGTCTTTCAAACTCAACGACACCTGATTTACCTTAGAGTAAAGCAGCATGAACTTCAGCGTGGAGGTACGTTGGACTTCCTTACCGTTCTCCTAAGATACAGGCCGAAGAACTTGATCGAACTAAGCCTTATCCCCTCTTCGTCCAACCTATCATCCTCTTGAACTCTGTGGCGATGGTTCTAATGGCAGGATGTCGAAGATCGTGATGGAGCTAGACTCTCGTAAGATTTAAATCGACAAATTGCCCTCAAATCATTGATCATGTTCACACAAAGCTGAAGACTAACCATGGACTCCCTCTACCCTCTTCAGCTGGAACGTCTGGCCTGGATCAAGACTCGAAAGTACAAGGATTGTAGTCCCCATAGCTGCACTTTATACTCCCCTCAAACAGCGTGACGATCTACCTCCAGTTCTCTACGAGCCCGTCACCTGTAAACCTCCTTGTCGGGCTATTCTCAATCCGTATTGTCAGATCGATGTGAGGGGAAAGCTATGGATTTGTCCCTTCTGCCTTCAAAGAAATGCTTTTCCACCTCACTACAAAGACATCTCGACCACTAATCTGCCAGCTGAGCTCTTACCGAAATACACAACGATCGAATACACACTCAACCGACCAGCACAAATCCCCCCCATCTTCTTATATGTTGTTGATACTTGCTTAGATGAAGAGGATTTGAAGGCTCTGAGGGCAGAGTTGGTCATCAGTTTGAGTCTGTTACCACCTACTGCTTTAGTCGGCTTGATCACATTCGGAACGATGGTAAGAGTCTTTTGCACTTTGAAGTATTAGCTATCTGGTCTTGATAAATCTTTCTGATTTACTTCGATTTGGATCTACAGGCTCAAGTCCACGAGCTTGGGTATGGAGAATGCCCTAAATCTTTTGTATTCCGAGGCACAAAGGACTATTCTCCTAAACAAATTCAAGACATGTTAGGTCTTGGACTCTCAGCAGGGGCCATTCGACCACCCAATGCTCCCATGCCGCCACCAACTCAACATGGTGCGACTCGGTTTTTGCTCCCTGTTCAACAAGTTGAATTCTCTCTTACCGGAATCTTGGAGCAGCTTCAAAGAGATCCTTGGCCGGTTGATAGTGACAAACGTCCACAGAGGTGCACTGGTGTGGCTGTCAGCGTAGCAGTAGGATTGTTGGAAGTAAATCTATTTCTTTATGTTTCATGTCAATAGCTAGATCTATTTCTGACCTGTTTGCAATTTTCATCCTCACAGACTACTTTCCCCAATACTGGAGCTCGCATTATGCTCTTCGCCGGTGGCCCCCCTTCACAGGGTCCAGGCCAGGTCGTGAGCACGGAATTGAAGGAACCTATCCGATCCCATCACGATATTGATCGTGATAATGTCAAATACTTCAAACGAGCTTGCAAGTTCTACGAGGCCTTGTCAAAACGAGCCTCAGCTAACGGCCACGCGATCGATATCTTTGCTGGGTGTCTGGATCAGGTTGGGCTGTTAGAAATGAGATCGTTGGCAAACGCAACCAATGGGTTTATGATTCTATCAGATTCATTCACTACCTCGATTTTCCGACAATCTTTCCAAAAGCTTTTTGAGAAAGATGACGAAGGACAATTGAAGATGGGTTTCAACGCGACATTTGATGTTCAGACCACTAAAGAACTTAAAGTCTCAGGGTTGATTGGACATGCAGTCTCAGCCAATAAAAAGTCGGCTTGTGTGGGAGAAACTGAGATTGGAATCGGACAAACATCAGCTTGGAAGATTTGCTCATTAACTCCACGGACTTCGAATGCTGTTTATTTTGAGGTTGTTACTCCGGCCGGCCAACCTCTTGCGCCTAATTCAAGAGGTTGTGTTCAATTTGTCACTCACTATCAACACGCTTCTGGTCAATTTCGGTTACGAGTCACCACGTTGGCACGAGTATTCGCCGAAGCGGGCAATCCGATCATCTCTACATCTTTCGATCAAGAGGCAGCTGCCGTTTTAATGGCTAGGATTGCTGTCTTCAAGGCCGAGATAGACGATTCGCCTGATGTATTGAGATGGTTAGATCGAATGTTAATCCGACTTTGTCAGAAGTTTGCCGATTATAGAAAGGAGGAACCTAGCAGTTTCAGATTGTCAGATGGATTTAGTATCTATCCTCAATTCATGTTTCATTTGCGGAGGAGTCAATTCCTTCAAGTGTTTAACAATTCGCCTGATGAAACAGCTTTTTATAGGTTGGTGATCATTTTCTGTTCTTACATTCCTAAACTGGAGTGATCGTCGAAACTGATAGTGTTCATGACGTCCCAACAGACACATTCTTAATGCCGAAGATGTAAACAATTCACTGGTAGCAATTCAGCCGACATTGATGTCATACGGACTCGATACCGAACCCACGCCAGTACTCTTAGACTCAGTCTCGATCCAAGACAATACTATCCTTTTACTTGATACATTCTTCCACATTTTAATCTTCCATGGTGCTACGATTGCTCAATGGCGTAAAGCTGGTTATCAAGAGCAAGAAGATTACGCTAACCTAAAGGAATTGCTTCAAAGGCCAAAAGATGATGCAGCTGTTGGTTAACATTCTTTGAAGTCTGATTTTAAGTTTTTGTGTACTGATAATGGACTTTTTTTTCTCTAGGATCTTCTGTCTGATCGATTCCCTGTACCGCGATATATTGTGTGTGATCAGAATGGATCACAAGCTAGATTTTTGTTATCGAAATTGAACCCTTCCACTACGCATGCAAGTGGTGGTGGAATGTATGGTCAGCAGGGTGCAGGCGGTAGTATGATCTTTACGGATGATGTCTCTCTACAAATCTTTATGGAACATCTCAAGAAGTTTGTGGATTCCATTCTGTATATTGGTATCTATTCCCCGTCGAGGATTTTGAATTGACGAGATGTTTTTTTGGTACAGGTTGGCAGTCAGTGGTTCAAATTAGAGAATAGAGGAACAGTGAAAGCAGTTTTCTCAGCTTTGAGACATAGATTTGGACCAAAGGTCTTCCTGCTCTGGTTCTTCAATCATCGAGTGGTTCGAATACGAAAGTAATGCTAGAGATTGTTTGAGTTTTGTTTGTTTCTTTTTGCAACTTGTGTGGTAATAAGATCGGATGTGACTTTTTACTTATAAAAGGTAAGCATGCGAAAAAAGGTGACTCGAGGTAGTTTGGAGCAAAGATTTTGGAGGGTAGTTTGGTTGGAAGGGATGTTTTGTTTTTGAATTGCTGAATAAGCAACTGTTATAAGTTGATATGAAGAAACGAAGAACTGACGTAGACCTTTGAAGAGCGTAAAAATGAATAATCAATTGTGAGCAATCCAGATGAGAATCGTGCGGATTCTCTTTCCAGTATGCTTTGACTCTGATTATGAGACTGAGACATGAGGGGTTTGAAGAGTTCAACTTCTTGTGGTACAGCTGATCAAGGTATACAGTTACTTGATATAACTAAATCTTAAACCAAACCGTGAGACTCGGAAACAATGGCAAGACTGGGACTGATCAGCACTTGAAAGAGTGCCATCGACAACCCAGAATCAGAGTGAACTCTTTTGAGTGGACAATTGGATAATTTGCATTTCAGGTCAACAGATTGCGTGTTTGAAGAGAATGTAAAAGGAAGAGAGTTGAAAGGAAGGGGATACATTAAACAATTGACAAATGCAAAAATGTCCTTTTTAAAGGTATGATGTCAGCCAGGGCTGGATTTCTTTTATAAAACTGCTTTCAAAGCTCATCACTAGATATTCGATTAACACAAGTGGATATGGTTTGATTTGCCTTGCTCGATCTACAGAATGAAGGAGTCTTGAAGCAATGGTTGAATAAATTCAAAGGCTTCATCTCTAAGAGCGTGAAGACGGTCTTAGGAGGAAATAGTCCACTAGGCAGTCCTAACCACGAGCGCTTGGTTGGAACATTTACCAATGCTTCAAGTGCAGCTTTTAGACGGACTACATACTTCATTCCATCTGGACATCCGTCAACTTCAGATCCATCCAATCCTAATCCGAACTTGAAACTATTCTCAAGTCCGATCCTAGCACCTACCCCGATGGAAGCTTCCAGATTGACCACCTCCAACATGATCCCAAAATTGAATTGTGGCTTCAAATCTTGGACAACACTGAGCTCTACTGGCTCGATGTTAAAGCTAGGCTTGTGAAGAGTAATGAAGGGTTTTATAGGTGAGGAACTGCTAAGGGACGGATCTGCATGAGCGTCAATTGTGGTGTCCATACGTTCCCACTCTATATCAGCTCCAAAGGTTGTACTGGCTGTGCCTTGGAAAGCGATAGTTGAACTAGTGACCAGCCTTACTTCCGGTCCGATTGTGATGATCTAGAAATAAGAAGTGGATATCGTCAGGTCAAAGGACTCTCTTGTGAATGTGGGATGAAATGATCACAATTCCTCACATTTGGAATCGACAATCCTGTCAATCCAGCCGATATAACCGGGATATTTCCTAATTCAAACTCGACCCTTCCCTTCACATCCACTTTCAAATCCACGCGAGCTTTCATTCTTCCAGTGATCCTGGCATTCATCCTTCGACGACCGCGCCTACAAAATGCAAAGCGATGAGACCGTAAGGTATCAAGCGAAATCCAACTTCTTGGAGTCAAATTTCCATGAACCGGTTTGAAATTCTCCTCCGAACAAACATCGGCTTCAGAAATTGAAGCATTGGTTAAGGTTTTAATAGAACTTTCAATTTCATCTTCAGTGATCCGAACAGTCTCCTTCACAAGACCGAGAACTTGCAACTTCGTCTCTGGTGATAGCCCATCATTGATTGAAACATAAAGTTCTCCTTCTGCAACAGCTGTAAGTTTTTGAGCTTTATGTTTTGTTGCTAATGCAGCTTGTCTGATTGATTCCTTAACTTTGAGGCTTTCGGCCTCATCGGTTGGCGGATTTTGGGTGTATTCCGAAAGTTTTTGAATGAATTGCGAAAAGGCGTCAGATAGTTCACGACTCAAGATTGTGAACCATCTCAAAGTAGATTGTTTGGAGGATCTTGCTACCGTTCGTAAGCTCTCTTTCAACTTTCGTTCAGCTTTAGAAAGTGAAAGGACGATTTTGATGGATGAATTGATTCCAACGTTTATGATTCGACTTCCAGTTTCAAGGATTAGATGAACTCTAGCGTGAAAGTAAGAATCTCTTAACGTGATTTCGACTGAATGATTATCTTCTTCCCATACTGTTAAAGGTATTTCACTTTCTTTGGCTTCCTTGGTGGTAACATTATAATTGATTGATGGGTTAAAATCAAACTCCGGTGCATCACGAAGTCTACGACGTTGAAGTGAATTCGGTGAATTTGTGTGATGTTCTAGTTGAACTTGATAATCATGTCCAACCATATCCCAACGTGAACGATACCCTGAGAAGCTCATAATTTGATCTGAGTCTGAGTCTAATCTAAGTAGAGAATCAAGTGTGATCGGATGGTATTCCTCATGTCCTTCGAGGTCGTAAGCGCAATCTCCATTCGACCCTTCAGTGATCAGGATGAGAGGCAACTCCCACTCTTCAGCTCGGCGTCTGGCTTCTGTAGAATTGAATTCCAAAGAGATTCCATCTGCAGTACAATGCATTGATCGAATAATTGGATTGTCGAGTACCACAAGCGCTTTATGTCGGAGATGCCATTCCACTGTAGCTAAATATTGTGAATCTTGTGGCTCGCCACCTGATAGTCCATAATGTAACGTCAGATTGTAAGTAGGCTCTGATGCTGCAGTTTCACGTCGAACCGGGGAATCGGGTGATAAAGGATGTAAAGTTCGGTGATCAGGAATCTCTGAGTTGGTTTGAGCCTGGATCGCAATCAACAAGATACTCGAATAGAAAAGTGTGGTCCAAAGTTGACCCCGTGTCAACTGTTGTCGACCTATCGAGCTCCGTCTTTGGAGAAGCATGAATGGGTTTGGCCAAAAGTTAACAGCTGTTAAGAGCTTCGCGGGCTGTGTAGAAAAATGAACGACTGAATGAACGAAGAGGAATGACTGAAGTTGGAATTTATTATCAATTATCGATGAAGGAATGTAATAGATTCTAAGACAGGCCTTGCAAGTCGTATATGGAAGCTAACTGGCATAAGAAATGTTAACAAAAGCTTGCAGGGAAAAGAAAGCGGTGCAATTTGAATCCTGAATGCCAAATATATTTTCCAGCTCTTGGAATTTCTCTAGATTTACACGATCTCGATGAGCATGTCAAGGCTCACACCAATTCTGTGACCGCACAACAGAAATGCATATTTTTTGGGATCCCTATTTTTTTTTTACCTTGAGTTACCAGAGTTGACTCATTGGAACAAGAAAAATATGAAAATGTTTTATTGACGCGTCTCTGAAGGTTATCAATTGAAACCGCGAAACTTTGTCCCATCAAAGGTGGTACAAAACATCAGCTTTCGCCGAGAGGTTCTCTTCCTCAAACTCATATTGTGGAAATACGCCGTCATTTAAACGACATATGTACGGCTTTCGAAAAGATATCAACAGCTGCGAGCGTCTCACCTCGTGGGGCTGATTGAATACCATAATCACGCAAATGAATGCTAGGGACACAGTTCCATATTGAATGTAAATCCCTCGCTGGCGAGTTTGGTGGATGAACTCGGAAAGACTGAGCCAAGCAGAGTTTGCTGAAACCCGTTCGGTCGGGTCAACACGTACTTCAGAGCTGAACATCAGCGTCATACCAATAAATGTTATGGACCCAGCTACATCCTTTTCCGATTCCCTCGCTCGTGAGGATGGTGGCCATGGAACCCGAAAGGTGGAGCGCAAGCAGACACCGCAGGCAGATGATTTGAGATGAACCCCGTTTGACTGAATCTACACATATCTCAGATCCAAGCGATTCCGTGCGCCAAGAGGAGAAAGAGCGAGAAAGGGCCAGTGGAAAGGGCTTTATATGCCTACTCGGTTCTTACACGTGAGAAAGTTCCACCAAAATAAAGGTATTTTTTTCAAAGTGCATAATCGTGAATTGCATAAAACACTAACTGACACTAACTGAAAAAGTCACTGATAGGATCTAGCCTTAGGAGAAGACGGCCATTGATCAGAACAGGTGGAGTTCGTTGTCTGTAGATTCATAGTTGCTAACTTGGAATCAGATTTTTGTATTGTCATCTTCTTGTTGCATATAGAGGCATATAGCCTGATGAAGCCTGATCATTGATGCCGATGGGTTTCAAATCATAACCGACCCGGTGGTAAAGTCATTTTGGATTTTCAAAAAAAAGTAAATCCTCAAAAACCATCATCAACACTCTCAAAAGTACATAGCATCATCGATATCAAAAACCATCAAGCAAGAAGGAAAGCGAATGAGATTGGTTTTACAAAAAGTTAATCGTTTGGTCAGACCCAGTTCCAAGCTCAATCATCTTACTACACACAGCAATCCATTGACCAATTTGGTGAAATCGTTCAGTACAAAACCTAGGTGAGGAATCATTTCCTCAATGTCTGACGAATCATGAAGCAAAGTAAAGCAAAGTAATGAAACTACATAGCTCACATCTAGTTTGGAATGTTTGAATCGATGATGAGGATAAAAGTTTAAGAATGCGAGTGGTACCAGTACCAGTTCGAAGTGATAGTAGGCAATTTGTCTGAATTGTGACTTTTGAAATCGATCAAGACCTTGGACTGACCACCATCGATTCCTGATTTGTTCAATTTTGATATTTCTCAAATTGTAGATTATGCATACCTTTTGATAGATGAGTAAGTCATATTGTCCAACTCTGGTCTGAACAAAAGCCTTCGAGGAGTAAACAACTGTTTTCTATTACTCAGCAAAACCAATACCGCAGCAGTTGTAGATCCTTATGATCCTGAAAAAGTCATGAAGATGGCATCTCAAGAAAAGGTCGAATTGTCGGGAACGATTCTGACAACTCATCATCATGAAGGTAAAGTCACTTTGAACTCTTTTATCACTTCAATTCACTTGATCAATTAACCTTGCAATTTTTGAAATCTCACATATCGCAAACAGATCATTCAGGTGGAAATGCAGAGTTCCAAAAAAGGATGGGCGATCATTGTAAAGTATATGGTGGTAGTAATCAAATTCCAAAATTAACCAATAAAGTAGGAGATAAAGATCAATTCAAGATTGGTGAAGATATTCAAGTGACTTGTTTGGCTACACCTTGTCATACTCAAGATAGTATCTGTTTTTATATTGAAGATGTGAAGAAAAACCAACGTGGAGTCTTTACTGGGTGTGTTACTTTCAAATCGCTCTTGCTATTCAGTCAAAATATAAACTTACTAGTAGTGAATTCAAGTGACACTCTCTTTGTTTCAGGTTGTGGAAGGTTCTTTGAAGGTACTCCTGAAGAAATGGATCATGCTTTAAATAAACAACTTGGATCCTTACCATCGGATACAATCACATATGTAGGACATGAGTACGTTTTCAAACCTTTGACGATCACTTTCACCGTCATGATCACCTATACTTAGCTAAAGTGTTTTTGTCCATTTTTTAAAATATAATAACAGATATACCAAATCTAATGTTGCTTTCTCAGCATCGATTGAACCGAAGAATCAAGCTATTCTAAAGCTTAAAGAATTTTGTCAATCCAATTCAGTTACTACAGGCAAATTTACCATTGGGGATGAAAAGTGAATATTTTTTCTCGTAAGACTATCTCCTTGAATTAACGAATTGATTGATTTTCTTTCGATTGTTTCAGGAACTTCAATGTTTTCATGAGACTCAATGAACCTGAAGTGATTAAATCTACTGATATGAAATCAGAAATTGATGTGATGAAAAAACTAAGAGAGATGAAAAATTCTTTCAAAGGTTAAAATATAATTCCATAGACTTTTTTCTTCTTTATTCCAGATGTACGATCCTACATTATTTAACATCCTTCCTTGAATCATTCATCCACCTAAAAATAAGACTTGAAAGAATTTTGATCATCAACAGAGAAGAATTTGACTTACTAACTAAGATTTGTATCTGTGGGTTATGTAAACCGTACTCTCTTCTGTTTGTTTGCTTTTCACCATGTTCGTGTTGTACTCAGTGTTGTGCTAATCAAGTCAGATCCGAATGATACTGAGCTTCGGCTTTCTATGTGTTTGTCTTTCAGCCAACTAGCCTTTCAAGATTCCTGTCTCGACATTTGTGCAACGAGCCACAAATAAAACTGTGCATGCAGCGGGGAGTCTTGTTCATCATCATTTGCACCAAACCATAGCTAGCAGTCTGGCGAGAAAGTCGGATTCCAGAAACCTGGTAGGTAGACAAGAACGAGCTCCAAATAGAAATTGTGTCAAAACAGCACAAGCGAGGTTTTGCAGGAGTTGTAACTTCAGAATCTCACTTACAGGTTGCTTGATCTAAGAACGTCAATTCATCCTCCAACAATATCCTTTAATCTTGAGCTCAAGCTCTAGGAACGAGTCTGCCAGAAAACAGCCTTTCCGTCAATCGTAGAATTGGATTCGGTACATTGAAGCTACTCAGATAGATGTCATTCGCGATTGTATCAAACCCTCTCTATCAGAGACTCTATCAGAGAGGCTTTGGTTTATCAGTACTTGAGCGCCTCAACTTACACCTCTAGAAATCAGCTTTCATCAACATGGCAATGTCTTTCCAATTGATTTCCTTCCAGAATGCAACTGGGAGCTTGATCCCCAAGTTTGTCTCCTGACTTTGACGAATTTGGTGATAATGCCTCATGCCAAATTTCGCTATATTCGCTGCTTTGCGGATTGCAAAAAGCTTTGTCACCATGTGTTTCTCACCATGAAAGATACGATTCTTTTGACAAGATGTCAGAATCTGATGACGATTCAGATTAACCATGATTCATCTGACCTTTATGACTTCATTGCCGATAATGTGTTACCTGATCTCAAGGTGATGGATCTGTATATAGACCATGAAGAATTTCCCCTTGACCCAGATATAGCTCCTGTAGTGACTCCATTGAAGAATCTCTGCGGGTCTAAGAGATTGAATTTATCATCTTTCCACATCACCTAGAAGCAGCTTTTATGTATATAACATAATGCTCTTTACATGCTAAGATTCTATGTATATCAAAATAATTTTAAATTGTGATGCATGAACAGACAAACAGATAGATGGATTGATGCCTTGACAAAAAGTTTCACTGAAAGATCCTCAGTAATATAGGACCTAGGTGTGTAGATTTCTACCAATTGGGTTTGGTCATATCTTTTCATGCTTATTGAATAATCTCATTGAATCGTTTTTATTGATCTCATTGGCCCATTCAACTTATAGTCCAAGTCCTGTGCATCAGAAAATCAAACAAAGGTCATTGGTATTTTGAATCTCGACCGGACCCTTGATATGTAGATCAACATCATACGTACCAAGAATCCACCAAAATCCAATTCAGGCACAAAATGACACTCAATATCATGGAGCTTGAAAGCATCGGCCAAGGATTCTTCCTCTTGAGATCCCCCATACCGATGAGTAGTAAAGATGAAATGTTTTAAGTTGTTTGGTTTTTGAAGACACCCTTTACCAGTACATTTCAAAACTGTCTTCCAATACTCTCCTCCATGGGTGATGCTGGCGACCACAGTTCGAATGGCTTGAAAGATAGGCCATTGAAGCCAATAAGGATACGAAGATGGGTCTTTCCAAGAAAGAGCACGTATCACACGAAGTTGTGGAAATGACAATCCGATGATCGAAGTCGGAATGCAATATGGGATATGTGTTGTAAAAAGACCTTCAAGGGTGTTCTGAATAGATGTAATTGCCATTGCGAGCTGCAATTGGGGGGGACCTATGACGTAATCAAATTGCACTACTTTCAGGCTCTCTAATCCGAAGAGATAAGAAATTCCAATAACGTTGCGATTGGAACTCTTAAACCACAAGTGTTGTAGCTTTGATAAAGCCCGTGGCTTCAATTCCCATAATGTCAAATCATCATAGTAAAGTACCAAGGATTTCAGGTTTAGAGTGGCGTTAAGTAATTTCGATAATGATTCAGGGTCGTTATCAATATCAAGTGAATCGTAAGTTTGGTGTCCTATCTCCAGAGTCAATTTTTCTAGACAATTGATGTGTTCGACAGACTTCAGCATGCATGGTAGAAATCCCACTGAGCAGCAAAAACTCAAGTGTAACTCTAACAGGTTGTGACCGAAGAACTCAATCACTTTTGCGGCTTGATCCATGAAAATCGGAGAGAAGTGTGGGTCCCTAACTTCAGCTTTCCAGAGCTCCTCTTCAGAATCCTCTTCAAAATCATTTCCGTCATCGAACAATTCTAGTTCTTCACTCCAGTTGTTAGCATCATATAATTTTGAGTACCATAGGTGGTCGATTCGAAGTCTTTTGACTGGGCATGTATAGTTTGGATCATCAATTAAATTTCCACAATTCTGAAGTAAAGATTTCAAGCTACTTGGTTTCTTCAAGCTAATTGTATGGAAAGCAAAAGGTGTGATTGCTGTTGACCAATTCTTGCAAACTAGGCGCAGACTGAGAAGTTCCCTGGTTGAGATTGGGTGAAGGACAGGCTTGGATGTATGCGGGAAATCCCGCACGGCAATGATCCTGGAGCCCGCAACAAACGATTCGATGATTAGAGAGAATAATTCGTTCGGAAGCGACTCAATTCCGAGTCTGGTGGTTGATCGAGATGAGTTGTCTGACATTTGACTTTTGTTTTATGAGCTTGTGTTGGAATGGTTTGGAGACTCGATGGATTATAATTCGAACTGAAGCTTTGGAGGAATGAATCGTTGTTGACCTGATTTCTTCATGACTCTGTTTACCCCTCACTGGTTGTATGCATGACATCATCTTGTTCATCACTTTCATCTTATGGATCCTTCTATTCCTATCCTTCACTTCCTTTCCAACCCATCTATCATTCTTACTCGATGACTTTCTTTTGTGGCTTTTACATCCCTGCCCTTGCTTAAAAGAGAAGGATTCGAGCTCATCCTTGTCCGATAATTTCTTTTCTGTGAGTTCTTCGTTTCATCCTTACTTCCGTCAGTTTCCTCTTACTTTGCTAGTGAAGTTGCTAGAAATCAATATTTCTTGAACAAACGTCCTGGCAATCCTTCCTTACCTTCTCTTTGAATGGAATCCCCCGACCCACGAAATAATCCGCGGGAGCAAAGGTAATCTGTGACTCCGCTCCAGCAGAATAGGGCTCAGCAGAGTCACGAAATTTCTCGACTTATTGCACCTTCAGCGCTACACAATTAATCAAATCAATTTGATTGCACGTCTAATCTCATGTCTGATGAAGGAATTCTGCATTCATTGATTAAGTACCTGGTTGGGTGTAGTGTGTCTGAGACAAGAGGAAAGTCACCCGAGTGAAATCACATTTGGATGTGATGAGGTCGTTGGAGAACCTCGGAAGGTTTTACTTCTGCTGGCTCATGACCATCCATTCCTGTCCTTGCTTTTCCACTCCACTCATACTCGCCGTGTTTTTCCTGCTTCTCATCACTCTTCATCTGATTTTTTCCCCTTCTCTGTAACTTTTTCCAAAGACCTAGTTTACCAGCTCGAAAGAAACATCAAGAGCCGTAAAAACTAAAAACGTTTTACTGAACAATCCATGTAGTCGGTTCACAATTCACAATTTCATTTTGTCAATCAAACTATCAACTACAAAACCAGTCTCACGAAATTTTTGGTGAAGTCTCACAGCGAGTTACACAGACAGAGAACGATAAGTCACAGTCACGGTAGACGTTATAGCATGAGAATTGTTCAAAATGAAGGACCCAAGACTCGAGAACAATCGACTCCCTCAAACTAAAGAATCATCGGAAGATCATGAAGACCTACTCAGCCGCTTACCAGACGAGATCCTTCTCGAGATCATAGGACACCTTCTCGATCACTGGAGTGAACATGACTCCGAAAAGATTCGCCGTACGAAGCTTAAACAGTCAATTACTCTTTCATCAGGAAAGCAGACCATTTTATATATCTATCAACACCTCCCTGAATCTCCAATATTAACTAGCTGGCAGGCTTTCTCCGTTGTCAATCGGAGAATTTATTCCCTGTGCCGACCATTCATATGGAAGGTGAGTGAGATATTGCTCATCTCGCCAAAGTTGCGCAAGGCAGCGTATGCGCTTCTGAGATGAATTGCTGCTGATGAGTTCGCAATCTATCATTTTCTACCTCTGCCTTTCTCTGCTGCGAATCCAATGGTTCAGTATCTTGAGTTTCCTTCTCCGTTATCAGGTCCAATGTCCTTCTGGAGGGATGAAATCTTATCAAAACATGGATCTCTTGTCCAAGTATTAGATGTGAAGTTGAGAGATGAATGGTTTCGAATCCCTGACCCTCCGTCTATCGAACAATCTAACAGAGACAAGATCTGATGTCACTATTCGCCACAATCTTCTCATGTAAACCAAATCAAGTTCATCGAAGAGGATACGGACTTTTGGAATGTTGAGGAGTTCCATTCTGACAATCTTGCCGTTCGAGGCTATACGCAAGACGAAGGCCAGCCCTCAACGTTTGAGGTCTCTCTCGAAAGCCTTGTCAAACTGGTCTCTCATTGTAAAAAACTTACGACACTCCATCTCAATCTTGGGCACATGAGGGGAGATTGTCACTACCCAGCCATATTACATGACTGGGATTACAATTACGCCTCATTGTTTTGTCAACTGGGATATCTTCAACATCTCAAGATTATCTATCCAAGGTCACAAATATATGGAGTACACTTATCTGAAGCCCTCAAACATCTCTCGCTCCTGGAATCACTCGAGCTTACAAGACTTTCGATCAAAGATTCGACCTGCCTCTACAATCTTAAAAACCTCAAAACACTTGTTATGGATGGAGTTGATATATGGAGAAACTCTTGGGGTTGTGATGAACATCCCCCTTTGCTAAAGAATCTTACGATCTGTGATTTCTCTCTGCTTCCGTTAAAAAAGGTGCCTTGTTTTCTCAGTTTTTGGGCGCCTCACCTCACTCATCTGCACATTCGAGTTCTTGAAGAACCTGACCGTTTTCCACGAGAGGACCTTTCAGACTACGACCCCAAATGTGAACAATTGACACTTCCGGCTTTAACTCATTTAAAAATATGGCCTCATTCAAAATGTCACTATATCCACTACTTTTCAAATTGCAAGGAGCTTTATCAACTCACGTTTTACGACTTTATCAGACGTGAATGGGATGATGAACTTTCAGGTTTCTTCGATCTCATACCAGATGAATCATTTCAAGTAATAAATGGTTTATCAGACTTTATTATCAACAATGAATTTCCTAAGCTTAGATGGATAATCTTACCTGTGGAACACGGAAACTTTTCACTTGATCCAATTGCGGCTTCTGCACTGTTTCCATTGGAAGAATTTTGTAAGTCTAATGGTATAAAGTTGATTTATTTCTCTTCTGAAGCACCTCGACGAGACTTTCTGTGAAGAGGATTAAAAGATTGTTCCCTATTAGATCTGAGATTCCTTGGGGGTGACTATGAAAGTTATGATGTAGTATCTGTGAATGGCTTCTCAAAGCTTTTCAAGACTTGTAAAACATAATCCCTACACTTTTACTGGTCTCTGAAAGTTATGATTGAGTTATACTTGACAATCTTATCTTCACATTGTATTTCGGCCTAGTGGTCTGGTACAGTTGCTCTTCTGTCTGTAGGCTTATCTCATTTTGTATACTATCAAAATGAAGTTGTATCAGAATCTTTATGTTTGGTGATCGTGTTTTGATCGTACTTATAAATTAACAAATTGTGATGACAAAGAAATGAATTGGGTATATTAAAAACATTTTATTTCGAAAGATGTCTAAAGATAAAGGTTTTAATTACAATCTCATGGTACAAAAAAACGCGTTATTATTTGATTGCGGTTTTTGGTTTTTTCAATTTATTTCAAAAATGAAGAAAGATTTGAACTTTTGAATTTAGTTTGATTGAATTCTGAATTCATTTTCATTATATCTCTTTCATTATCTCTACCACCACCATCTCTACTACTATCACGATCACGTGAAAGTAAATAAAGGAATTTATCTATCAACTGTTGGAAATGATGAAGAACAAGAAGGATTGATGATGAAGATGATCAGTTTGATTCAAAGTAAGTATATGAAAACCAATTGAAAGAAATAAAAGAAAACTAACTTGATTTGATTGATTGATAGATTTTGTTTGAGTAGTAAGATAGTGAGTTAATAAAGCATCATTATTTTCCTTCCAAACCAAACCCCCAACCCCAAACAAAGACAAGCCAAGTTAACATTCATCATCCACAAAAAGGCAGCCATCAAAAGAGTAAGGTTTAAATCATGAAACTTACTTTTGAATATTCTTGAACGAATTCATGATGATCATTAGCTTTTGGTAAAGAAGAAAGAAGTGAAGAGATTTGTCTTAAGATTTCATGATGATTTAAATCTTGATCGTTTGGATTCGAAGTTTGATTAGTAGTTTCAATAATCAAATTTAAATAATCTAAAATACTTTCCAATCTTAAATGTAACATTTTGATCGCATTACGTTGAGTAGTTAAATTAGCTATCACTAATTTCATTCAATCCGCCAAAGAACAGTCGAATAATTAGATCAATCGGGGTAGTTGAACTCGAGGTTTTGGATTGTAAACTTACGAGCATTTTCTTTACTATTACCTAAATTAGGTTTAGCAATATAATCCACAGCGATTCTTTCAGCTTCACTAGTTTCAACCGTATAATTACACTTTAAATAATTCGATTGTTCTTCTGACGAAGAAGGTTGTTGATGATTAGAATCTAAATTCAGAAATTCAAAGATTTCAATCGGAATGTCTTTATTAGAATCTTCAATTTCTTTATGATTATTAGTAGTAGGAGTAGAAGAATTAGAATAAAGTACTAATAAAGGTGAATTTAATTCAAAGAAACTAGTTAATTGAATTTGAATATTTAAATGATTGATAGTAGGTTTTTGGCCAATCGTATACCATCCTAATAAATCTAATGTTGGAAAGACTTGTTTGAATTGTTCTTGACGTGTAGTCATAAAACTTTGATCTACTACTTCATCTTGAATTAAAATTTCAAAACTATTGACGATTTCTAATTTTCTACCGATTTGTGTACCTATTAAGGCTCCATAAACTAACCAAAGAAGAAAAAAAATCATGATAAGAATGGGTTTATTGGGTTTTTTGGGGGGATTCCTGAAATGATTTGATTTACTTTGATTTGGGTTTGATGGGTTTTGTAATTGATTTCTGATTTGATGATCTGAGATATTGAGGATTGGTAAAGGATGACTGTGTGTGTTTCAAAAGTTTCAAAATGAGTCTTTGATCAGTTATTTTTCGAGAAAAACGATTTATAGATATTTTCTTACAAACTGATTTCGAGATCTGAGATGGTTTCTGAATTTTTCATTTCGTTGGTTGATGGGTTATGTTTTGAATATTTCTTTGAAGTGAATGTTGGATTAATGGGTTGAGGTTGAATGTTGAATGAATGGAATGATCAGAGTTGGACCTTTCTACACTTATGTACTTAACTAAATCCAAGCTATGTACTGAACAATTTGACTGAACTTAAGACTTAACCCGATCAGTACTTAATTCAACCTATGACGTAATGTTCCATTTCACTCTCAACAACAACAACAACAACAACAACAACAACAACAACAAGCATCATCATTATCATCATTATCATCAGAAAGCTCTCCAAAAATGTTCAGGATCAAAAGGGTTTCAGTCTCAGCCTTCAACCAATCTCGACCTTCATCACATTTACATTTAAAGCCTTCGAAACCCTTGAATCAAATGCGAAATCTGAATTCTAAACCATCAAGATTGAAATCAACAACCTCTCCATTGAAGAATATCAAAGTGTTGGATTGCTCTAGGATATTAGCTGGTCCATTTGCCGCTCAGATGTTAGGTTAGATATTTTTTCGAAACAAGCTCACTCATCATTGATCCATTCACACATTGGCTAACTGTGATTCTATCTCATAGGTGATATGGGGTAAGTCATGAAGCCCCTAATCAAAACCCCCAAAACGTACCGAGATAATCTAATCAAAGAACTGTCACTGTCTAAAGAGCAGAAGTGATTAAAATCGAAGAACCAAGAAAAGGTGATGATACACGTTGGTTGAAAACTTTAAAAGAATCAAACGAATCCAATTTCAAATCCACTTCTAGTTTATCTAATTATTTTATTTCTTGTAATCGAAATAAAAAATCATTGACTTTGAATTTAAAGGATCAAAAAGGGATTGAGATTTTTAAAAGATTAGTTAAAGATTCAGATGTTTTGTAAGTTGGTTTGGGTTTTTTGGAATTGAACTTTTTTTCACTGATTTTTTTGGTTTTATGATTTGGTTTAAGGATTGAAAATTTTATGGTAGGTAAATTAACTTTTGTCAAATGAATTTCAAAAACCAATCTTCCATCTTCAAACTCAATCGAACCTTTTTTTCTTCAAAAAAAAACAAAAAAAATGATAATTGGGGTTTTCCAGGTAAAATGGAAGAATTAGGTATAGGTTATGAAGTTTTAAAAACGATCAATCCGAATTTAATTTATTCGAATATTTCAGGATTCGGTAGTACAGGACCTTTATCAAGTTTACCAGGTTATGATGTAATAGCAGCAGCTCAATCAGGTTTAATGTCAATCACAGGTGAACCTGATCGATCACCTATGAAGATTGGTGTAGCTTTAAGTGATTTGATTACAGGAATTTATACTTCTTATGGTATTTTAGTATCACTTTATCAACGCGATGTTAATCAAAATCGGATTGGTGGTCAAAAAGTTGAAAGTTCATTGTTTGAATCTAGTTTGAGTGTTTTGGCTAATATTGGATCTAGTTATTTAAATTCCAATGAAAATGGTCAAAGATGGGGTACTCAGCATCCTTCGATAGGTTAAATCTTTTTCTTTATTTCTTTTCTCATCTACGAAACTGACCGTAGTCTTTTGAAAATAGTTCCTTATCAAGCTTTTGAAACTAGTGATGCTTATATGATTGTAGGTACTACTAATGATAGACAGTGAGTCATTCTCTCTTCAACTCATTTGCCAAATATCAAATTCGCCATTCTAATGTTATTTTGATTGGATGTAATCCGAAAAGGTTTCAAAGACTATGTGATGTACTAGACCTACCTTCACTGAAAACCAATCCATTATACTCAACCAATTCATCAAGAGTTACTAATCGTTTAAAATTAATTGAAATCATAAATCAAAAACTTAAAAGCCAATCTACATCGGAATGGTTAAAGAAATTCAAAACTTCAGGTTTACCTCATTCTAAGATCAATTCAATTCAAGAAGGATTTGATGAATCACAAAGTTTTGAAAGAGAAATGATTGTAGAAATCGATTGTGAAATGTCAAAAACTGGTAAAATCAAATTAATTGGTAAGGGTTTTTCTTCTTTTTGTTTTCTCTTTTACAAAAAAATATAGAAATTTATGTCTTTTTTGGTTGGTTTGATATATTATAGGTATACCTATCAAATTATCTGAAACACCTGGTCAAATTCAATTTGCCCCACCTGAATTAGGTCAACATAATCAAGAGATCTTGATGAAATTGGGTTATAATCTTGAAAATATTCATCAATTTAAAAAAGATGGAGTAATTTAATTTTACAATCAAGTAAGTTTTATGAATATTTATATTTAAGCGAGAGAAAGAGAAACAAGGGTTAAATTTTTTCAAATTGATTCATGATTTTCTTTTACTTGATTGTTTTGAATGGAACAAAAGAAATGTTGATTATGTAGAAAATATCTTTGAGGTTTTGTACAGTAAAATATATGATGAATTGATGTGTTTTTTTCTAACCCAACAAAGTCCTTCTTGGCAAGTGAGCCTGCAAGAGAGGGTCTTGTGGGTTCTCCACAAAATTTGGTGTGTGAGCAAGAAACATTTGGCTGAGGCGTTTTTCAACCTGCCATAACTTATTACCCTTCAAATAAACAGTCTTCAGACCAAAGAAGGGTCCTGTGCACCTGCTCAACCTGCATACATTGATGCTCTAACTGTGTATTTGATTCAATAATAGCAGAGAAACCAAAGGCTGAAGTTTGCAACAAAACCAAAATCTCCAAGAAAGCTGTCCAAGCTATTAAAAGCTCACACCAGGCTAGCTGGAATGTTACACATAAACCCATTTTTCAAGTCTTTCTGTAGTGCTTTCCTGAAACCAATAGGGAGATGCAAAAGAACCAGTATATTTAGGTTGAGTGGGTGCACAGGACCTTTCTTTAGTCCAAAGACTGTGTATTTATGGGGTAAGAGGTTATGGTGGGCTGAAAAACTCCCCAGTCACAAGTCTCTTGCTCACACCCAATTTTTTTTGGATAGCCCAAAAGTCACCCTCTTGCAGACTTCTTTGCCAAGAAGGACTCTGTTACGGCAGGTTTTTAAAAAAAATGGATATTTACATGAAATTTAAAGTTTCCTTGTGCAAAAGAAATGTAGAGATTAGACATTTACCAGACAAAACAAAATTGACTAGAGTCTGCAGAGACAACTGAAGCTTGGTGAATTTGGCAACTAACAACCAAAGAAGAAGCATGTATCTTTTTCAGCTTGTGATTACATATAAACTCACCAGAAAAGGGGGAAGCATGGAGCCCAACTCTGCCTTACTGGCTGGAAGGAAATGGGATGTGTTTTAGGCAAGTCAAACCCCTAACAAGGCTTTGGCAAGCCCCCAGTTTACCACCAATGCTGAAGGTGATGTCATGTGGCATATTTGAGAACTCACACCATGTGCAATTTCACTCATGGATCAGCTTATGGACTAGGAGAATTTGAGGCCGTCTGCACTGACATGTACTACTGCTCTTGGTGTGGCTATGGAGAGGGGCAACCTCTTACCTTCCCTATACAGGTAACAGATATGACTACAAAAATGTGTCAGGATGTTGCAAGCATAAAATGTGATGGCATATTTAGGGGATACAAAGTAAAATTAAGGCATGTGCCTGGTGTTGTGCCCAGAATTCTTTTGGCTGTGAATTTGGATTCCATGCCCAGGGTTTTGCCCAGAGAATCCAAATTTACATTCCAAATCCTGGCACAAGGCCAGGGATGTGCCTGGATTCTAATTTGTATCCCGTAATTGCACCGGGTGTCAGTCTGATGCACCTTCTGCATGGAAAGAAAAATACAGTGGCTAAAACCAAGAATGTGTTATAATCCTGCCTGCAAAAATCTTGGGGGTCCAAACCTTTTGAGGTTTTTTTCTAGCAAAAAAACACTTGTTAGCACCAAATATTCAGTGACTTTGGCCTTTTTAGGTCCCTGAAAATAGTACCACCACACTGGTTTTGAGATTTATGTGGCCACAATTGAGCTTTCATGGTGTAACTAGCATCATTCTGAGTCTTGTAAGGTTTTTGTTAGCCTTCACTAGAACTCTAGATTCTTTCCGGAGAGCGGGACTTGAGGAGAGCACTGGAGTAGGACTCGGAGTAAACTTATAACTTTGGTATATAGATTACAAACTAGCTCCAAAGAATCCCATGTATTGCTCTCAAAGAGTCAGTAATCCTCCTAGAGATCTGAAAACAAGATATGAAAGGTAGAGACAATCAAAGAGATAGAAATGCTCACCTAGCTCCAAATAATCCCATGTATTTCTCTCAAAGAGTGGCAATTATTTGAAGCCAGGTTAAGACAATAAACATATGTGTGGTCTAGCAAATCCTGTACTCCTACTTCCATAACATACTTTCATGTTTGTATTCCTTGTCAGTCCCTGGTATGCCCTATGTATCCAGCTAGGCACGTGGTCTAAAAATGTGTTACAGGCTCCATATTTTCTTTTGGATAGACAAATTTGAGCTTGTCCTTCATATTACTGTATCCACCTCAATAAGCACATTTCAGCTGTCTAAGTATCATGCCCCAGCATCAAATCTGGGCATTGCATCATCCAGCCTTCAAGTGAAACTTGATTTTACAGGCATCATTGTAACTGGACACCCAAAAGTGCTATAAGAACCTACCAATAAAAGATGATTTTTAAATACCAGTATATTGTTAAGCCATGGGTTGTGGTACCGGAAATGTGCCAGGCAAAAAAGATGTACCTAGCCAAGGGCTATCAGATGGCACATACATGGGAGCCTTTCCATGCCTGGTTGCTTTGGAGAAGTGTGAAATGTGTTTTTACCCCAAAGCCAAAGAAAAACATTGCAGCTCAGGTTGTGCACTCACAGACAGAGTTATTGGTGATTACTCATGATGCACAAGTAAAGTTATGAAGGGCTCTGGTCAAGGTGGATCCCAGGCAGCCCAAGAATTAATATCATACCTCCTCCCTGCAATGGAAATAGTAGAAGTAGTGGCTTGGGGCCAGTGTGATTCTGTGTTGGTAGGCTCTCTCAGTGCTTTCTGGAGTCCTATTGTTGAGTGCAGTGACAAGATTTGGAACAGGAAACAGGTGGTGAGCTTGATTTCTTCCCATGGACAAGGAAGCCAATTTGGGCAAGTAGTGGTACACTGGCAAACTGAAGCACATGTCAATATTCACAAGAACCATTTCAGAGGAAAAGGGAAAGAAGTAAATTTGCTCTTGATCAAACTCCTGGTAGTCATCTGGCCTAGATCATGACTCCACATTGGCTGATTGAGGTCAGTGGCTTGAACTTAGGGCACTGATTGATCAAAGCTTTTTTAGTCTTTGGAGAGATAAACTCTATTTGAGAAGCATTTTTGAAATCAGTGGTAAGATTAATGTAGAGCGGCGGATAATCCGCAAAGGCATCACAATACTTACTGCAGTTTTCAGGTAGCGTTGGTGTTAGAGATTGGACACAGGAGCCTTGTCTGAGGAGTATATCTTTGGTCCATATATTTATTGATCCTGGAAGAGAAGTAGGAAACTCTAATTTCTGAAATTTGGTAGAAATGATTGATGTGATTAGCAAGCATTCCTTCATGAACAAGTTGTTTCAAAAATGACTTACACTCCATAGCCATGGTCGGCATAGTTGCTATATTGCACAAGAAGTATATAAGTGAAAAGGTTTGAATGCTATTCAAGATTGGCGAGTCATGGTTCAAGTACGTGAGGTATGGTCCATCTTCACCTGGAGGGAAGGCTTTCACCCTACGTTTGCGCTTTTTAGATTGATTCATTCTAGCCTCAAGTGCAGCCATGCAATCCAGTTTTTCAAGTATCTTGTCAAAAACATCGATAGGTAGGTCCATGAGGCGCAGGGGACGAGATTTATGTCTCAATTCCTCGGTTTGAATAATCTCTTCGACTTGATTGAATTAACTTTCGAATCCCTGAAGAGCTCGTGATTCAAGAGTCTTATTGACCGACGAGAAAGGGCCATTTGGACTTTCGGGTAGGCCAAGTTGAAGAAAGATCCCAAGCATCCATTCCTTAGACCGGGTAAAGCCTTGCATTTCAAGTTCTTCGAAGCGCTTCCGAATGAAGTCGACTCGAGATGACGGTTTACTGGCCGAGTCTCACTGTGACGTTTGGAGACAATCTCGTGCCAAAGTCCAAGCTGAGCTGCGCGACCAACGGATGGCATATCGATATACTTTGGTGAGTAGCTGGTTCCTGATGTCCTCAGGCTCAAGTGATTCAGTAGAGAAAGAACTGAGAAGTTTCAATGGACGATGAATTTTCCTTCTTCAAAAGCAAGTCCACTCGAGAGTTTGATTCGGGCTGTTCGGCGTGACAGAAGTGGTCAAGAGAAAGTCAAGAGAAAGACCATGACGTCATCAGTGATGATCACGTTTCATCAAAACTCGCGACCGTGAGTGTATGCGGGCAAACAAACCGAGACCTGCAAGATAACTTGGGACCCTATCCGTCTTGGTGCAATGAGTACAAACAATGTGATTATCATCATAATTGCATAAGTTAACATTGTTCGAGGAGGAATGACGAAAATTTGAATGACAACTAAAGAAAAACAAAACTTAAAGAATTCATGAACTGAAAGACAATTTGTTAAACAGTAACGACTTGAGTATTACAGACTTCACAATAACAACAACAAGCTGATCAAGTGATGTGAGTTTCTTGATCAGAAAAGAGAAATCTCAATTTGAGGACTCAAAGTATATGAAGAAAGATGAAAAGAGATCCCTTTGGATTTACAAAACGCTTCTAATGGTAAAACTCTTTCACTTGATTCTGGATCAAGTGGAAAACGAGTTTCAGGTACAAGTAAAGATAAAAGCTTGAGTTTAGGAAATGGATCACCAAGAATAAAATCGATAAACGTTATATGATCTTCAGGTAGAAGATGATAAACTTTTAACACTTCGATGGTTTTAGAATCTTTAAAACAATGAAAATAATCACAAGATGAATGTCGCCAAATTGTCAAATGTGTTAAAGATGGTAAATCGAATTGATGGTGTCTTGGTTCGAATTCACTTAAATCTTCTTGTAATGGTCTAAAATGCGCATTCCAAGGTTCATCAAATTTAAGTTCCAAATGAGTTAAACCTGGTGCCCAAGTACTAATCAACCAAGGCGTGTTTGATAACCAAAGATTAGCACAATCACGAAGTGATAAATTAATCAATTGAGGTGGACCTTCATGACAACCCCAGGAACCATCTATGACATCAACATCGTGTAAAGCTAATCTTTTGAGATTTACTGAATTTTTAAGACAAGTAGCAAGGCTATCGACCTCGACTGGACGTTCAACTGAAACTTTAGAGCATTCGAGTGATTCTAAAAGTGGTAGGACTTTGATCGGTTCAATAATACAACCAGCCAAGATTGAAGATAACCAAGGACCACTGATTTGAAGATGACGAAGTTGTTTTAAATCAGATAATAAAGAAGTTAAATTATTACGTAAAATCCACATTTCAATCGGATCAGGAGAAGCAAAACCTGCATCAGGAGAACGGATTCTAAGAGTCGAGAGTTGTGAACATTGAGAAATCACTTTGATCACATTTTGAGGTGAAAGACCATGTGACTTTTGACGTTTAAAATCAACATGGTCTAAATCGTGAGGTAGTAGATAAGCTGAAACCGCTAAATTGTCTGAATTGATGATTGGTACATCCCAGAAATCTTTATCTTGTTCAATGAATTTGATTTTACGTTCCCTTAAAGAGTAATGATTTAAATTCCCTTTTCCACTTGAATGTTTAATTGAAATTGGTTTAGGTGGTATCTCAAACCATTGCTCAGTTAATCGTATAGTGATTGATTGAACATGAGGCCCATGTTTGGGTAAGAGTTCGTCATTCCAATATGACATTGGAATCGGCATCAAAGTAGGAAAATTTATAGCCTGAAAGAAAAAGAAATGATTAGTAATTGGGAGATATCAATAGCCAAGTTGAAAGTGGACTCACCTTCCAAAGTAAAGGTCGACAAATAGAATATAACCTATGATTAACAATCGAAAAAGACTGAAAACTAGTCAAGATTGGACTTTGTGGTTTATGTTGGTAAGTCCATAGAGTGGTACGTTTTCCAGAAGTAAGAGTAATTAAGTTCTCATGTTTCTTTGTAGTTTTGTTTGCTAATTCATTCGAATTATCAAGTTTGAGATATTTTATGATTTCTAATAAGATTTCATCTGGTAAGTCGTTTAGATAGTCTTTTGTAAGTTCATCTTGTTTTGAAGCTGTTTTATTTTGTCGAGTTTTGAGTTTTCTTTTAGTTCCCATTTCTGAATTGATGGTGTTGATACTGATAGTGTTGATGATGAAGTTGTTTAATTCACATTTTCATCAAGTTGGGGCTCATATTTAACTACTCGGATGCTAATCGGATCATCAATGGCAATGCCCCGATTAGGACCACTGAGAGCGCAAACGGACCGTCCTGTTTTGCACCCTCAGTCTGTTGTCTTCGGGCTTTGTGACATTTCTACGCAGCCATAATCATTTTGCGACTTTTGAAAACGTCAACAGATGAACCAAAGCCGCACCGTCCTACTACATATATTTTTATTATGCCAGGGTCCATGGTTCTGGGTAAAGCTCGATGTATAGCCTTGGCCCCGGTGATAGGTATGCAGGAATGCCCTTGGGATAGTGAAAAGAGTTTGGTATGTATTTGGATTTTTATCCTCAACCAGTGCTCCAACCCACTAGTGTTTTGTATCATCACACCGCGGGAATTGATAAGTATGAAACTCGATTGAGCGAAGTTGCGGTGTCCAAGTCCGCAACTTCCTTCAATCACGGGTTTCGTTTGCAATACGTTCACATTACGTTTGCAGGTTCCCCTCGGGCTGCCCTGTATGCGCACGTCTAGTCAAATTTCATGTATCATGTTGTATCCTGTTTTGTCACAATTCCGTCTCCCTCAGTTCCTTTCACATGATGATCAGAGGCCTCAAAAGGGACCTTAACCACACCAGTAACTTATCAACACGCTCATTCTTAGCTTGTTCTCAAATCCACATAAGGTTAACTCCAATGGTTCTTGAGTGACATCAACAACTTGTTGTATCGATCCTTTGAGATAGATCTGTTTATCATTCTGATTGAGGTATTTTTCCATACATGATCATCGAAACAAAGTCTAAACACAAATAAATTGATCAAATTCGAGATCGATTTCAAAGAACGATTACAAACAGAATCGAAATCGAACAAAAAAATGCAAATATAAGAATTAGGAAGAGAAAGGACAATCATAATCCTACATGTAGATTTTCTGATTAAGAGAAACAAGAGGGGATAGGTATTTGAATTAATTGAGAAAGATACATGATTCATAGCATGAAAGTGAATCAAACAAAGAAAGAAAAAAACAAAGGAAAACAAAGCTACAAGAGTAATTTACATAGAAATTTTATGATTGAAAAGAAATGTAAATGAGTTGATTTGTCAAAACAAAAGAAAGAATTCTAAAGAGTGAAATCATCATGTGTTTTTATGAAAACCTAAGACAGAAAAAAGGATTTCAAAAGAGTATCAGAGATTTGTTTTGGATTTTGATGCAGTGAAGCAGGAGTTTGTTTGACTTACGTTAAAAGAGGATTGAAAGTATCCACAAAAAGAGAGGACAAAAATGAAAGATGAATTTTTTCTTCTACTTGAGGATCTATGAGGGTCTACATATCTAAACGTGAGGGCAGCTCGAGGGGAACCTGCAAACGTAATGTGAACGTATTGCAAACGAGACCCGTGATTGAAGGAAGTTGCGGACTCGGACACCGCAACTTCGCTCAATCGGGCTTCATACTTATTAATTCCCGCGGTGTCAGATAGCCCTTCTTTGCCTGCCTGCAATCAAGTACTGTATAACCTTACAGGCAGGTAATGTTTGTTTCTTTTTTTCCACCCAAAGTGTGCTTTACGGGTTCTGTATGTGCTCTCCGGCGGGGCCCTCCCTGGTGTGTGTCGCGGGTGCAACAGGGAGTGCAATCACATCCTGTGAGCCCCAAAGATCAAAATAGGTGGCTGCCTAGGGTGCAACACCTCAGACAGGCCCAGACTGTTGATCAGAGCACACCCACTTGATTTGAGGGATAGAAAATGGAACATTGATAAAACTAGAAAGCTTACTTATGAGTCATTCACAATGAAGCAATTACGTTGTTAGTCAAGGAGGTGCTTATGAGTGAATATGAAAAGGCTTGAATGGATGAGTATCAAGCCTTGTGAACTCATAGGTTGCTTATAAGGAAAATGAGTGCACTTCTAAGAGTTAAGAGCACACATTTGAGAATAGAGATGAATGTGTAGCAACATATTAAATGAAAGTCAAGACAGCCTATCTAAATGGAAAACACAACATCATATCAAAATATCACAACTGGTAGGATCATAAGATCACAGTACACAATCATTGTAGAACTTTTAAGTCTATTTGTGCATAACCAAGACAGTGAATATTACTTATTTCTGGGAAATGTACCACATTTTTTGGTGTTGTAGTTGAACTAGAATGAACCATATCAGCAATATGGGAACAATGAACATTACTGATTGCTGGGAAATGTGCCACATTGTTTGATGTGAATTTTTATCCTGACCAAAACTTTACTGCACAGAATTACATAGAGAGCAGCTGGATTTATTTCAAGTTGAACAAGGTTTGGAGATGTTTTAGAGCATGTTTGGTACAAGTTGATATACATATATTGTGATATACTACACCAAACCAATATACAGCATATCAGCATATATATACATATATGAAGTTTTGAAAAGGACCGGGGTGTTCAGTAAATTTATTACAATGGACCCTGTCAACTTCCCAGCAATCCTTATTTTCTTTGATAAACCTGATTTGGTTGACATCAGATGACATAAGTGCAGGCTTAATTCAAAGTTGGTCTTTGGTGGGAGACATTTGAAGCCAGTCCAATCTTAACCCCACATCTACCACTTTGACATAAGATCTGTGTTTTGGCAGAATCTCCTGATCACATGTGGACATTGGACTTCTTTTTTCAGAAGGAAAATTGAGGTACTAGAGCACCAGAGTAGCAAAGGATATCCTACAATTAACAGCACATATTGGGGATATGTCTTGGCAGTTTCAATGTACCAAATCTGAGTGACCCTCCATATGAGGGGTTGACAGATTGAGTACATCCTTCAATTGAGGACTATAAATTATTTAAGACTAGTCATGATCAGAGCTTTGGGTTTGTGTTGATAACTCCACACTGTAGTCCTCTTTCCTGAGCTAAGGGCAATCCTTGGTTAATTTTCTGAATTGTGTAGTATTTCCATTGAGGTAAGTTGTTCCAGTTGAGACTGGGATCATTGATCAGAAGGTATTCTGCAATATGAATAAGGACCTCATGTGATAGGCAAGAAAATGCATTTTTATGAGTGTTCAATGCTATGTTGTTTCCCAGAAGTTGCTCTGTTGCCTGTTCTGGGTTTGTCATTTTGATCAATGGTTTGGTGAATTTGAGAAAGTTAAGATTGAGAACTTGGAGCAATTATGATATCAAAGGTTTTGTCTTCAAAGTCAAAAGGGTGACCAAAGACATAGCATGAGAGACTTCATCAAGTTCAAGCCAATCAACTTTAAGAGCTCAGACTAAATTCAAGTGTCAATCAAGCACCTGCACATCTCTAAAAGTTGATATTTATCAGCTCAGTAGCACTCATGATGCAGCCGGTATATCTGTGCAACCTGTCAATGCAATCCTAAACAAGGAAAGCAGGGTGCAGGTCCTGCAAAATCAACAAAGTTTGATCACTTGTCCTTTTGGATGATTTTTTTGCTTGAGGCTGAAGTTGCAAGCTTCAAGTGAGCCACCGGTCTAATACTTCAATGATCAGCACACTCTTACAACAGCAACATGATGTCACATAAATAGATGCTTTGAAGAAAGCTGCAAGATGTCAAATGTAGGAAAGTAAACCTAATTGTTACATTTTTAATCTCTCCAAGTTTTTTCATCACATCAATTTCTAATTTCATACAATATCAGTGGATAAGATTGTTGCAGAGTTCATGAAGTCTCAAAAAGATATCAACTTTCTAAAAAAAGATCAAAGAAACAATTCATTGTCATTTTGACACTCACTTTTCTAAAAAAAAATTACCAGCAGGAATTGAGTTAGACTGGCAAAATTCTTTAATCTTTGGGATATGTACCTTGATTTCTTGGTTCAATAGATGCTGGGAAAGAACCATCAGATTTGTTATACTGGTAGCAAATCAAAAAAGGTTTCAGTCAAGTGAAAGGATTTTGTGAAGTATAAGAGGTAAGGAAGATGGACTCATGTGCTTAGGTGATTGTACCGGATGGTATAGACCCACATATTGTTCAAAGCATGATTCATTTCTTAACCTTCCACAACACAAGGAGTGCATAACTTTTAGCCATAATGATCAGTTTGAAGGTTATTTGGGTATCAAGACTGATCTGAAGGTCCACACCCAGTGAAAACTCCACATTGGTACCAGATATTACTGAAAGAGATTTGACACATATCACTACAATATGCTGCCAGATCACCACAAGAAGTAGCAGTTGAGATAGGAGTCTTTGTAGATGTGTCCCAAAGATTGTCCGTGTTTGCTTCATTCTGATTTATTTGACATTAAGAATCAGTTCAAAATCACATTAAATTATCTATTATTTCTTCTTGGAGTCTCAATCACTGGTGATTGTGCAATTCTTTCTATTAAACCTGTTCAATCATCCTTGGTACATCTACAGGGGCATTAATGATGACTTGACTTCTCATAAATTGTAAGAGTAGTATTGGTCCACAAAGCAATTAAATTATTTCAACCTCATTAAATCAAAGTAGAGAGTAGCAGTAAGCAAGTAGAGTGGGAAAAGCGTTAAAGAAGGTTTATGCGGTGCACAAGATACTTTAATACAAGGTTATCTTGAATTTGTCTACATTTTCAGCCATGTGAGTACAGTCGATTGCAGAAAGCTTGGAAACTTTTGCCCGCCAAACTTGGGCAAATTGGCGTGGAATTCTTTCCAAGCTTTGTGAAATTGACTGTACTATATTCATCACAATCGACAATCATTTTGATGTTTACTCCAAGCGTGCAAAGAGAAGCACACTGGGTAAAAGCTTGATGTGCACGGAACCAGGAAGAAGACTGAATATAATCCCGTTGAATTTGCAGAACTCTTCCATTATACTCACTGTGGTTGCCTTCGCCCGGTCAAGTGGAATTTCTACAGGTTCTATATGCAATGTGATGCTCTTGAGATTAGGGAACACATTATTGGTGATGAAGTCAGCAAGTTCTGATAGTTGGTTTGAACTATCATCTGAGATATCATCGAGGCAATCGTGTCTTCGAAGGTGATAGAACGTGAGATGACAGAGACTTTTGCAATTGCGGAAGCGGTGAACATAGTGACAAGTGGCATGTGGCCATATGGAAAGATGCGTTAAAGCCGGTAAATGAACTTGAGCTGGGTGAAACTCTGGAACGTCTTCTGTTGGAAAGATGTTGGCCTGTTCATGAAATTTGATATCTAGATGAGTAAGCTGAGGCGCCCAAGCACAGATAAACCCAGGCATATCTGATAAACAGAGTGCGATGCAATCGCGAATGGTAACATCGACTAATTGAGGAGGTGCTTGATGACTGCTCCAAGAGCTGTCCAAGGCATCAACGTCCTTCAGCACAAGTTGCTTGAGATTTTTGAGATTTGAAAGACAGGCAGGAAGGCTGTCAACCTCTGACCCCTCACCTGCCAAAAGGTGCGCAAGCTCGAGCGATTCGATTAATGGGAGTTGAGAGATGGGTTCAATGAAACAGCTTGTGGATATCGAATACCTAGGACCTCGGATCTTGAGATGTTGAATACGTCCAAGATCACAGAATATTGGCAGCGCAACAAAATTTACGAGCCGAATTTCCGAGCCAAGTCGAGTCAAGCCAATTTCACACATCTGCGAAATACAGATACCTTTACGGATGACAGTAGTTTCACACGTCCCAAAGTAGGTGACTTGACAACGGCCTCTTCTGGAAAAGAAAACTATCGAACATATCCCAATCGAGATGTCCCAATCTAGCGAGCATGCGCATGCCTCCAGGCAGTTCTGCATGTCTCCTCCAGCGTTCTCGTTCAAAATAAAACTTTGCCCCATGTCAATTGCACTACTATTGCAGTTTGCAAACGTATTATGTGAGTTTGAAAAGAAAGGCAACACCGTGCCCAAACTATCAATGCCCTGCTGAAAGGATTGACGCAATCCAACGAACCGCATATGTATATACATACATGGAATTGAAAAAGATGACTTCCATTTCCCCAATGAATGTTGTAGCTGAGATTTTAGCCGCTGCCAAAACCATCCGAGCGCTTCTCAGAGGCTTGATTCTGCGTAACTTTAGTATCTTCAACACCTCCTGAACACCTCCTGCTCAATTCCCTCAATAAATCCCTATTATTGTCATACCTTGCGCTCGCCAATATATCACTATGCTAGTCGTAGACCTCGTCAAAAAACTTGCCAAGTCTTACCCCGATACGCTCAGTACCCTCACTGTCAGCCAGCTTACCAAATTTACAGCACTGTCTGCCGAATTTATCAACAGGACCGATGGTGTTTATGGACAATCACCCCACGAAGCGCCCATCGAGTTACTCACCCACAGCCTTGATCCCGGCCAAACCATGGCCACTTGGGCTAGACTTTGGAACGTGTTATACTATCACCTCCCAGACTGTGCATACGACACCAAAATTTTCGAAAAAAACGGCATTCCTTTCATCCATCGGCCCAAAGCTGCACTCATCATTCCTGAGCGAACCATCAATCCACCTACCAAGCATTGCCTCTCCTGCACCACGGAGGCCCGTGGCGACCCAGTCACTCTTGACATTCGAACCCAAGTCTATGGGTACTTGTTTGATATTGATGGCATTGAATCGATCCAGTCCTTTTCCGGTTACTGTCGTCGTAAGTAATCATACTTGATACTACTTGTATGATGGCTGACAATGTATGATGGCGATCACTGGTTTGAACTTTGTAGAATGTAAGGTCACATACAGACCCTGTTACGTCCGTCGGGGTGATGTCCGTGAATACTACACCTTAGAAGAAGGTCATCCCAAAGATTTTTTTCAAGTAACTCGACACTACTTTATGACACATAGACTTGCTGATCACCTCAACCACCTGCAAGCTATTGGTGTGTAAGTCATTTTCGATAATTTCACTCACTCTGATGCAAGACGTTACCCATTCCCCTAAGGCTATATTGACATCCACAATCCATGTTTTCCCAGAGTCAGCATATACAACCTTGTGATAATATATAATCGAGCACATGCGACCTTCAATAAATCTTACTCGAATGATTTTCGGCAAGCTAGATACACACGTCAGATCAGTCACCACGTGATGTCTATAGGACTGGATCTGTCTCGATTGATGCGAACCTTTCACGCTCGCGGTGTGAGATTGGTCGCTGACGCTAAAGGAACCGATGAACATAGATTCTTTTGGGCCATGCAGCAACATTTGATGTGGCTAGAGCTCGAAGGCTCAGCGTTTTCCAATCATGTTTGCTCGATTTGCACTTCGATTGAACCCATTCCTGACTCAGATGATGCGACAAGTATGTTTACCATCCGTATTTTTTAGTAACCATACTATGAAACTAACTTAGACCTCATCCATTCAATCAGTCATGCGTGCAGCAGTTACCGATGGCGTCACTATAGGCCACTATGCTTGCAGCGCGTCAGAGGTGCAACTTAAATCCCTTGATCCTAATGGACCCAACTATTGCGATGCCCCTCTTGAGAGGCACAACGATCGGTTTTGCCCCTTACACTCATCTCTCCACCAAATATGTTACGCCCAGCCCTGCTTACGCCGTGTCAAACCTGGCCACAAAACCTGCGAATTGGACGACCACGTTAACGCCTTCAAAGAATTCAAAGGCCGCAACAAGTCACTGTTTGGTCTACCCAAGCGATTGAAGCGTCCCAACACTCATATTCAACTTGATCCCAGTACTATTCTGTCACCGGCGACTGGTGAGGTTACACTTACAGAAGATGATCTCATGTATGGTGAAGTTGAAGAACGCGAGCATGAATCTGCTCGAGACGGTGGTGAATCAAAAAAACATAAGAAAGCTTTATTCAGTCGCCTTCGAACGCACAATGAGCAGTTAATGGTTGCCCCTTGCGGGGTCATTCTGGCTCGTAAGACATTCTACAAATCCGAATCCCTACCTAAAGTTAAGGTAAGTTATTTGGCAAATACATGTGCCAACATGACTTACTATACTAAAAACATGTCTATCTTGTCAATAGGAATTTATTTACGAAACGTTCCCCCACCAAATGCCGCAAGTCATATTCTATGACAATGCATGTGGTTTGTATTCACACATACAAAACAGTGAGAAGGATCGCAAGAAGTTTGAACGCACACTGTTGCCAGTCGATGCGTTTCACATCAAATCACACAAACTCACTCATACCACCTGCCGAGAGAACAATGATCCAAACCTTTTTCCAGAGCTCAAGGTCATCATCTCCCCTGATGGCAAGTGGTAATGGAAGTTTAATTCTTCTGCTGCCGAGATCGTCAACGCTTGGTTTGGCCGTTTTGACCCCATGTGTCGTGGAATGCATCCAATCAAGTATGCCTTTGTATTAGAAGAGTTCATACGGGTTCACAACGAACGCCTAGTGGAAAGATTAGGTAAACGTCCTGATGTTCAATTTTGTCTGAACATTGAATATACATCAGTCCCTATGTAATATGGGGCTTCGACCTCTTTACTATTGTTAATCACAAAATCCAAAACTTTAACCAATAATTGTCGTATAATTTTGCTATTATACACTCATTATAATTGTGGTTATACTACACCCTATATGATAGATCAAATAGTATCTTTGAAAACAGACTATTTATATCAATTGAGTAAACTCATCAACAAAACTGATTTTTCAAATCTTTCCTATGTACTAATTAGTGATTCTACCTATGTGTCGCCATAACTGGCTATGGCGATCACGATCAAATATTACAGATGTTAATTCTTAATGATCTTTATTCTCTACAACTTTGTTGTCAATTACATGGACAAATAAAAAACTAAAGTTTCAATCCTCGAACTCATACTCAAACAACATTGCTCGATCTGATACTACAAAATAAGAATGATTAAGATGCGTCAAAAAATTAACAACTAAAAGATGATCTTGTTGCGCGATGGAGATGTCTCATTCATCTCGCAGAACTGAGGCATCTGAGGCATTGAGTAGGTTACATATGCTGTTACATTCATGGTCCCATCCGAAGTGGAAAAACAACATTCCAATATCGTGGTCAACTGCCTTGTCACTGTCATTGTTAGGAACGGATACAAGCTATCAGATTATTGAATAGAACCTCAATTAACAAAAGATATTCAACTTTTGTTACAGCAAGATACGTTGGAGATCGTACCGTCGATGTCGCAATCAATTTGGCTGATAAGCGTTTTGCCGAGACTCGCATCGTATGCGTAATGAATAAACGCATGAATGAAATCTTTCCATAGATCAGAAGCCGGCGCTCGCATGAGGAATTTGTAATCAATAACATAGCGCTCATTGCGAGGGTCGGTAGTGCTTCCGCAGAAGTACCACCCTGGTTTGCCTTTGCCCACCGCTCCAACGCTTTGCAAAAGCATAGCCTCTTGAACCTGAGGACAAAGATGTCGTCAGACTGGGTTGGAAAGAAACAAAAGAGGAAAATAGGTAAATGGGAAATCACGTTTAGGCCTCTAGATTTCCTATACAAATCTCCTAATCTTTTGGTGTCATCACTCTCAGATTCAAGATGAAATAGCCACACATCACAAAGCTCATCTTTGAATAACTGCAACGCGTGAGCTACAAATACATTGGCTTGACTCATGCTGAGTACTTCCGAGCGGCCGGAAGTCTTACTCCTGTACCAGTTGACATGATTTTTGGCCGTGAGGGACTTTGGTACGTTACCAATTTCCAAATTGACCAACCTCGCCACCCATTCATGATCCCTTTGAACCACGGTCACTGCTGCTCCAAACTTATATACAACAAGCTGACTATCGTAACCCGTAAAATCCTCTGGATCATAAAGGGCTGGCTTGACACCACGCAATACCTTTGGCAGGGGGTACATGAAGGCTGCCTTTGTCTTTGATAGGTCTCCCCTCAAGAAGTTTTTGTCACGATCTGGCGAACAAGCAATCGAAAGATGTTAGTCCCTTGGAATACGTAACCAAACAAAACCAAACTCAACTTTGTTCGGCGTGATCGGTGTGATCGGTGTGATCGGTGTGATCGGTGTGATCGGCGCGAACGGCGCGAACGGCGCTTTTACCTTTTTTGTTGTTTTCTCGAAGATTGGTGTGATCTATACATGGCATCAAAGGTTTATAAACGTGGATCCAAGTGAATTTTTGGCAGTACAGAGAGATAGGAGATAGAGACCGAGTATTAGACAATCCGAAATAACTCAACTTGCTGGATCTAACAGGTGACACATGGACATCTTTTCTTTGATTGAGCTAATTGGTGCGGGACTCCAAGCATGAGCAGATGACTCGACTTCGTTGCATTCGGATGGGGAAGCTGTGACCGATGACAACTCGTCTTCGCTCATCAAATGCCCACCTACCGTACCTGCCACGAAATCATCACCTTGAATGGTTTCTGATACGTGGGTAATGTCACTGATTCTTGTAAGAGAAGTTGGTGGAGTTGATGGTTCAGTTTTCTTGGATGATCGAGTGCGAGAGGGCATTGAAGCGCAATGATCTAATTAAAATAGTAATTTAAGATTGACTCCAGAATCAAAGTAGAAAAGCAAACAATGAAATGGAATTATAGTAGCCTCACTGCTCACACAACGTAATTGATCTATATATTAGGAAATATTGTGGGCGGATGAACCGAATAGTTCTGGAACAATTCCTCTATATATAGAAAATATAAACATATTTTTAAACTAGAGTCATTGTTTGACAATAGTTTGGAAATATAAATTGGCCAGTGTAGTGATCACATTATGCAAATCTTCATTGTGATAGACTAGTTTGTGTATTTCACTATTGTCAAATGACCGTAGGGAATTCTTTGCTTGTAGTTCTGAAAGATGGGATAAATTGATTGTATTATATATGGAGTTGATAGAATATCATGTGAAAGATCGCGCTCCGTATTCACTAGGAGAGCTTCCGCGCTTCACGGTCACTGGATTGAGTATCATCAATAATTGTGGAAACCAGTGTAGTAATGTGCATAGATTAGTAATTTGCAACTTTGGTCTGCGTTACCTGTAGTTTGTATATATATCATAAGGAATCGCTCAAGTGGATATGATCAAGAATCATATCAAAGGAAGCGGATATCAAACGTGTTCGATATATTGTTCACGTTTGTTTGACTAGGTGTTCTTCAAAGGAAAATCTGGTGCTCATCGAATCAAACGTTTCAATTTATTGTCCAATTTACAGGAAATCCAATACCTATCCTTGTTCAAAGGAGAGACATTGTGATATCATTTTCAAAAGGGGAAGAAAGGAATAAACTTGACGTTTGGTTGACTCGATGAACTTCAAAGGAACATCTGAATCCATTCGAACGTTTCGAATTCCTCAAGATTTACCTTTGATACAATTCTCTTCAAAGGTTAATCTTGAGGAATTCGATTATATCCTTGTTCAAAGGAGAGAATATATTTTTCGAAAGGGGAAGATAGGAATTGACAACTCTTGATGCGGAAAGATCATGAATTTCGAAAGTAACATGTTCTTTTCGAAATTTCCTCCACATAAAAACGTGGCTGTCCTGTTGTCTGGACCCTCCTCTCAAACCTTTTCCCATATTTATTCACCATCCCCTAGAACTCGTCTATCCTAAAGATTGCAGTATGGCTCCACAAAGTGATAAATTTATAAAAGGACATGATCAACCCCTGGAAAAAAAACAGGGTAATTAATAATAGTTTTCAACTGCTCTATTTATTAATTGAGTATTTTTGGCTAATTCCTTTTTCACCGCATCCAGCCAGCCCAAATTCGGAGGAACAGGAAGCTTATCAGGAGTATCTAGCTTCCAAAGAGGACAATACACCTGGTAGGATTTCTTTTTCAATTGCTTTCATTATCTAATCATTGCTAATTCTCTGCTTTTCAACATATCCAGCAAGTCCAGATCCTGAGGAAATGGAAGCCTATCAGGCTTACTTAGATTCCCAAGTGGAAAATATACCTGGTACATTTTATTTTCCTTCTCAGTTGCGGTTTGGAAATTAATCATGACCTGAATGTCCGTCCGTTGTATTAAAACAGATATACGGTTCTCTAGTGCTGAACCTGAGGAGGTGGAGGCGGTTATGGATTACCTCAAGTCCGAGATGGGGCCTTCAATGGCTGAATTTGATCAGGACGCACCATCAGAATGCGGTAGCTATGACTCTGTTACAAACCGACGTCGTCCTTTCTGCTATGCCTTCCATGGCCTTTGGGAATCTGGTTACTGCAAATACTGCCAAGACACTCCCGAGAACAGATCGGTTGAGGAGGAAAAGGATGAGGCTGATGCTCCTGAGGGTACTCAAGAAGCATAATTATTTGTTGATCTATTTGCTTATTTGGATGATATTGGATGCCTTTTGAAGGTGATCGGATGTCTTTTGAGTATGATCGGATGAGATCAGATGCCTTTTGAAGGTGATCGGATGTCTTTTGAGTTTGATCGGATGAGATCGGATGTCTTTTGAGTTTGATTGGATGAGATCGGATGCCTTTTGAAGGTGATCGGATGTCTTTTGAGTATGATCGGATGAGATCGGATGCCTTTTGAAGGTGATCGGATGTCTTTTGAGTTTGATCGGATGAGATCAAATGCCTTTTGAAGGTGATCGGATGTCTTTTGAAGGTGATCGGATGTCTTTTGAGTTTGATCGGATGAGATCGGATGCCTTTTGAAGGTGATAACCAGATCTTTCAATGTCCCCTTCCTTTTAAGTCCTTACACTACGCCAGATCACTAATTTACCGCTGAGTTTATAAAATTGAAACTGTAGAAAAATATCACCAATACAAGGGAGGTCGGAAAAATTTGAAAAAATAATGATTCAATTCATGGGTGCTGTCCCCTCATTTTGCATATATTTGCATATTTTTGCCATGATGTTTGAAGTCTCCCCAAACCAAAATGCTCACAGGGGATATTATGTCAGAAACTCAAATTTGGTCCAAAACTAGCAATATTTGGGCAAAAACCTTCAAGCACAAAAATATGAGTATTTTTGTTCAATCATCTGAACACTTGCAATTTATGGAAGTCGCATGATGGCTCTACAAGGTTTATTAACGTGCTGAAGCCATTGTAGTAATGACTTCTATGCTTATATATGGTTCCTGCTGTGTACGTCTCTTGATATATCTCACCCATTCTTGGAGACACACAACTTTTTTGTGCACAAAAACTGTAGAGCCAGAATGTGGCATTCAGAATGTCAAGACACTACAAGTGTTGGAGCAAAATTGATGATTTGGTTGGTGTTGCAAGGTCACTGTCTCTCTACCTGCCAGTTTTGGACCAAATCTGGGTTTCTGACATTATTTGCATTGTGGTTGTAAAAATATGAAAAAATATGCCAGATGATTGGAATGCACCAAAGGGCCCAACCAATATTTGTTCATATTTTTCTGACCCCTCCCAGCTTTTCCACAATTGTCTATGTCTGCTCAATTTTCTAAACTCAGCGGTAAATTTTCAATTTGGCGTAGTGTTACTTCCTACGTTTGAAATGTGATACACAAACCTTGGCCTTGTTACTTTGATGAATATCAAAGTACAGGCCTGATATGTCAAGAATCAATCCTACAATCTTTGCCAACATCAAATGGGCAACATCCATCTGTGACCCGCTTGGGATATCTAATGGCAAGTTCTGACCGTATCATTAATCAATGTGAAATGGAATTTTTTTTAGTTGCATAGGTTCTGCGCGCACAAACAAGGTCTATTGATTAGGGAGTATGATGACTAAAAGAACATGAAGTGGAAAAACAAAGATTGTGATATGTACATTAAACGAGTAAAGGAAAATTGAAGTGAAAGGTCCAGAAATAGAAACATAAACAGAAATAGAGAGAAGAGAAGAGAATTTATCACTTGTGCTTGTGTAACTTGACACGCTTTGTAGGACGAGAGTGGTTAGAGTTAGAGTTAGATGTACCTTCTGTACCTTCTGTATCTTCTGTATCTGCCTTCTTGGATTTGTTGTTATCCCATTCCAATTTAAAGTGATGTTTGCCTTCTTTGACTGTATGATCGGGGTTATCAATTGTGTAAGGGGTCAATCTGGCTTCAGTGATTGCATCAAGCCATCGCCCGTAGGTAGACACCGTTGAACGTGCATATTTGTACGGTTTGCCAAATACCCTGTTCCAAGCGTCTGGATAAGAGTATTTCTTTTTCTCATCCATGAATCTCTTCATGTCCGACATCAATACACCATGAGGCCATTTCTCATTTTCGGAAGTGTTGGAAGTCAAAGGCTGGGGAGGAGTTGAAGGCTGGGGAGGTTTTGTGGAGGCGGAAGGGCGAGGAGCCGGAGTAGGACTAGCAGAGCTCAGTCTTTGAGTATCGGTAAGGTCACGAGCTACTGTTTTATTGGACTCGTCTTCACTTGATTCGTCACTGCTGATTACATGGAGGTTTTTGAGGTTGACTTGTTCAGATACATCAGGTCGAGTCTCCTGTTGGCGTGGTGAAAGGAATCTTCGTATGTCCATTACACCCTTGGACACTTTTTTGACTGGTAGTAAGTGAGTGTCCATATCTTTGCATTCAAACTCGTCGAGTCCAGGAAACATAACAAGGAGTCTGTTAGAGTCAAGCGATGGAGATCCAACTGAGTAGGATTCGACCATGGACATCCGCATGTCAACCTACACATAAATAAAAATGTAAGTGTTGGTTAAGTTGCGATCAGATATATACATCACAGGATCGAGTGACTGACCCAAACCTGTATGTCAACGTGCCAAACTCGTAAGTTGCCATTCCAGTCCTCACCAAACTTCTCATGAACCAGAGTCTTGAGGTCTTCGGATTCGTGAAGGGCAAACGTTGGCCATTCAGGTACATATATTCGAAACACACGACATACCTGTTTGTTCAAGTGGAAATATGTAAGCTCAACGATACATGCATATTCATCTAGGACGAAGTGGAACATACATCGGCTTCAGGCCAAACCACCATTGTTATGTTGTTGCTAGCTGCCTTTAGACGTTCCTCTTTTTTTCGTTCGGTTGCCTGTTTCTGGATTGAGGTGGTGCGAAAGTTTCTGAAATCGGAAGCAGGGAGACGTTCGATGAATGTGCGACTACCCTGTGTTTGGCCACTTGGTGTGGCGTGTTCATTGTCGTCGCCGGCCTGCGGTGCTTGGTGAGTTTGGGAGTTGATCGTGGTGATGCTCGCTTCCTTGGGTTTTGTCTTACGCTGGTTTGTGTGTACAGAACACCCTGCAGACTTATGGTTGAGGTGGTAGCAGCACTGAAAGGATACATACAAATTCATATCAAGAGTCAGATAGATTTGGTTGCAGGCTAAATTAATAACGGGACTGACCTCTGAGCAGGCATTTACGCTGCATTGATTGTTCCGTTGCACCTTATGTCCTTCTGCAGTTTGCCCGTTGACTCCTTCGCACGGGTGATACTTCTTGCCGCGTGATGGTTTCACAGACTGAGTAGCTTGTTGGGTCGCTGGTGGCGACGGCAGTTGCGCATCATTCATGATCCTGCTAAAGTCCATAGGCAGATAGGCGGATAAGGATAGAGCGGAGTTGATTTCGATGATTTCGGAGTGAAATTTATCGCGATGATAAGTTCGAACGTAGCCTTTGTCGTAGTGGCACTGTGTGGTCATGATTAGTTAGTTGCACAGTTCAGTGTTATTAAGTTTAAGCAAACTTTTGTCTGTCCTTACCTTAATTCCAACTTTGGGATTTCGATGTGGCTGAGGAATATAATAAATAGTAGAATGAGGACGTCTTTGCTGACAATTCTTGTTGAGGCAAACAAGTCCTGTCTTGTGGTCTTTGATTGGGGGGAAAGGTAAAGGTTGAAGGGGTTGAAGAGGTACAAGTTGATATTTTTTGGCCGCTTTCTTTGTAGGGCGAGTATTGGCAGGCATTTCGGTCAACTCAAGGCTCAAAATAAGGGTGAAGGTAAGTTGATGACCTTGCATCGTCCCGTGCAATGTCTCCGTTGTTGATAAATGGAATGTTGGGTGGGATTTCTACAGCGAATGATCTGATCGATTGGGCGGGGGGATGATTGTCGTTGAGGATCAAGTGTTTGACATTCCGAAAGTGTCAAATCTTAATAATGAAATGTACCTGCGTCTCATGGGATACTCGCTCGATTCCGGCTCGGTTTGGCCTGGCCCGACTTGGCTCGGAAATTTCACCGTCCTTCTTATGTTCTCCAAGATCAGAAAACAGTGAGATAAGATTGTCCTTGAGGTTATGTAAGTCTTTCGCTGTACGATGTACCCGAAACCGATCCAGACAATTGAGACAGAGCGTTGAAAGCCTTTGACACTGAGAAAGGACTTTGATGAGGGTGCTGGGACAGAGGCCAAATACGTCGCGGACTGCACTTGAGTGTTCACCATTAGGACCAGACATTTCTCGACCCTCGGAGATGTTTAGATTGTCAGAATGCACACTTTCAACTTCCCAATACTCCAAATCCTCTTCAATGAAATTGATTTTATGGACAGAAGAAGATCGGAGTGGATACTGATGTCGATGTTTTTCTCTGACCGGGGGGGTCTGAAACCATTCTGGTCTCAACCCAACGTCTACTACTTCAACATGGAATCCATGTTTGGGAAGGATTTCTTGATGCCAAACGGACATGGGACTTGATATAGCGGAAGGAAACTTGAGATACTAGAGTACCGGCGTAGACGACACACGACAGAATGATCAGTACATATCAGTGATTTGCCTTAGTAGCTTCAATGTACCAGATTCAACTCACCCGCCATATGATGGGTCGACAGATCGAGTACGTCCTACGATTGACGATGGAAAATGATTGAAAACTAGTCATGATGGGCGATTCGGGATTGTGTTGATAAACTGAACATTCAGTATCCGTTCCAGGATAATGAGCAATTTCCTGATCAATCTTCTTGCGGTAATTCTCTGTGGATTCATTGAGGTCATTGAGAAGGTATTCTGCAATGTCGATCAGGATCTCATATGGCAGGCGAGAAAGCAAATCTTTAGTGGCCAACGCTGCTTCGGTTCTTGGGTATTGTTTTTGGATCCCGGTATCCTCACCACCCCCCCCTAGTAACTCCACCACCCCCTCCCGTTCACAGCTAGTGAAAGGCTTAGTCGCTGCTGACACAAGTCGTGACAGTGCTAGCTTGAACCGCGCTCTCAGCACTCACTGAGAATTTTCTTTGATTGTTTCCCTAACAAAACATCATATAGGTACAATAATTGAAGGATCCTTCAAGTGTTGCGCGAAACAAACAAACAATATGAATCGAGATCGCTCCGACCGATCGAATTTGAATCGATCGGAGCGATTGGAAAACAATTCTGAGAAACAATCAATCAGACCGATTGAATTGATCGTGTCGAGTGCCTTATATGTTTCCCTTTTTTTGGGTTAGTGTGGTTAAGCATTTGAAAGACCAGATAAAAAAACACATGATGTCAGGAGAACCGATTGAATTGATCACATTGTGTTCTTGTGCTCAATCCACTCGGTTCTCAACCCTTTTGAGCAAGTGTGATTGCTCGGGTAAATTCCGTAGCTTATTGTGTAGCTGGACAAAGTTTGATATCTTTGATGACTCGATTACAAGATTCATTACCAAAGACAAAGGAGTGTGGTGTCAAAATGAATGACGAGAGCCAACAAGGCGATGATCTTGTAGAGCTACAGAGACAGACAAGGAGAGAGAGAAGGACAATTCAGATCCATGTATGTATTTGGTGGATCTTATAGTGTTTGTCCTAGGATGTGTTGAGCATTGTACGACTAGACCACTCCATGCTCGACTGTGGCCGGATCTGCTGATTCTACTGGGATAGGACAAGTTCTTTTGTTGTGACCTGTCTTGTGGCATTGGCTACATCGAGGACCGTTTTGTTCAGCTTCCTGATGCTCATGACGACAAAGATCGCGCTTGGTCTTGTTCGAAGATCCTGTAGGCCGACCACGAGATCGAATCGGAGCTGGATCACCAATGGTGGGAGTTGGACTGACAAGAATCCGGCTTAACTGACTCCACAACACGCTCTGTTGATGGGCGGGGAGAGTGTTATGTTGTGCTCGTACGAGGTTGAGTAGCGAGTCAAAGTTAGGTGGTTGGTTGTGTATAACTGGGTCAACTAAAGGCGGTTCTAGATGCCAATGAGGGTCGAAGTGGTTCACAGCCAATTTCCTCGAAGATAACATGAGATGCTTCAGGAAGTGGGCACAGGGCAATCCTTTTGATCCAGAAAGTACGTAGGTGCAGTTGTTGGTGTCATCTAAAGAAAGGGCTTTTTGATACTGCTTGTAGGTCTATTTGTGATTTGGGTTTAGAATGTTTCATAATGAATCAGGAAAGGAATTGTTGGGAGGAAACTAGACAAGAACTTACCTCTAGTAGTGCGTAGTGCGAGATTTTTCTGTTGACATCAGTCCAGATTTGAGGACGAAGTCGAGATAAAGTATGAGTTCGATCAAAGGCTATACGGTGTTCTATCCTATCTCTTTGCTGTTGACAAACAAATTCCAGCTTGGTGTATACAGTTGCAAGATCACCAGTTGATGTCCAGATCCAGCCTTTGATACCAGCATGACCACCTTCAATCCGAGAGGTGACGGTGTGACCAAAATGTTTTATATCCTTTGTCCAAGCAGTTACAAACTTTTCCTTGTGAATCACCCACGTACTCTTGATGTAATTGAAAGAAGTCTCGCCAATATCAGTTCGAAGAGCCTCAAAGCGTGCTTCGAAGTCTTCGGGAGAGATCGAGTTGCAAATTTCCTGCCAGCTGCTTTGAAACGCTTTCCATTGCTCGTCTGTTAATTTCATCTTGATGTTAGCTTGAATATTTTTCTCGATATGCCATTTGCAGAGTAGATTCTTGGTGTGTGGTAGAGTTTCCTTCAGAGCGTTCATCAAGGCGAGCTCTCTATCAGTCACAACAGCCTGCAGATTTGAAAGCTTGGACCCAAAGCACAGCTTCATCTGCTCCAAAACCCATCGATAGTCGGCTTCAGTTTCTTGTCGCATTAGACCAAAGCATAGAGAGATAGACTGATGTGTTGGTGAAACTCCCATCACGTGGAGGAGTGGCATTTGAAACCTAAGACAACCAAACCACAAAAATCAGTCAGTCTCAACTCTGATTAAACTTGATTGCTGTGAAAGATCTCACCGATTGGTTTTGTAAGTTGAATCCATCAGTAGCACATCAGATGTCCAGAAGTCCGAAGCCGACTTCACACTAGCTTTGGGGGCAACAAACAGACGTAGGAGTCGGTGATTAGAATCCAGTTCATAGGTATGGAACACATCATTTGCCTTGAGGTTGTCTATCAAAGCTTCAAGTGGAGTGCGTCCATTGAGATCCAAAAGTTTTTGTTTCTTGATCATGTTGTAGATGTCCTGGCTGGTTGACAAGTTAGTGGGATCGGATGCCTTCAAGGTGCGTAGAATGAGTCATGGAGGAACACCTGCATTTGCAAGGTTAATAACAAAGTTGTGCTGTTCTGGTGCAAGTTTACGTGAAGCTGGTATCTCAGCAAGGTTTGTAGAAGGTTCATGATTGTTGTGCTGATCATTTTTAAATTCAATCTTCCACTGATGAGTGATTTCCACACGTCGAATTGTAGCAGACCAATTGCATCCCAGAAGTTGAGTTGAGGTGGATCGAACTGCACTGACGACTTGCTGAGGTGTTCCACCATGAGAACAGGCAAAGACTCGTTTCTTTTGTCTCTTATGTTTATCAGAACAGGTGCGGGTGATTTTCAACCAGTAGCCTGATCCTTTGGCATAGTTCCGCAGTGCATCTTCAGCTTCTTGTAAGGATGGGTATATAACTTCGCCAAAATCCATTTTTGAGGTGTGGTGTGTTGTTAGATGATGACAAGAGTTTTTGAGTTGTGAGCTGTGGAGTTGGATGATATGGAGCTGGGAAAAAGTTGGATAGAGCTGAAGCTTTTTGGGTGAACTTCAAAAATTACAAAGATGGGAGCGTGGTTCAATCTGGCACTGTCACGACATGTGTCACCAGGCACTAAGCCTTTCACTAGCTGTGAATGGGAGGGGGGTGGTGGGGTTACAAGGGGGGGGGGGTGGGGATACCGGGATCCTTGTTTTTTTGCCTTTCTTGGGTTCTGCAATTTGTTCGGTGGCATTGCGAGTCCGAAAGGTAGGATAGAGAAGCGATGGAAGTTTTGAGAGCAAGATGATGAAGATTTTGTCATAGAAATCAAAACAGTCACACAGTCAAAACAAAAGTCGGGTCGTGAGGAATTTCAAGCTCAAGTCTCAGACAGCCTTAGACACTGCGACTGGACAGGCTCAGACCTGCTCAGAGTCCAGACACACTTCTAAAAAATCACGACCTTGATACAGCCTCCTATGTACGCCACCACTGATCTGAAGAAGGAAACCTGCCTCAAAGGACACATTAGATATGTAGCTCATTCATCATCACAAAATACAATCACAGTCCAGAGGAGACTCACTGTGGAATAAATCCCAATGTTTTCAGAAGCGTGTTTCCTGAAAGACATTCTACCTTTGATTTCTTGTACTTTTTCAAACACAATCTTTGACTGGGACTTAATCCAACACCAGTTTTCAAGGCCCCGGGATTTCTCATTGGGTTGCTAGCCACTGCTGACATGAAAGGGATCCGGGATTAAATAGGTTCCTTGGGGGAACATGATTGAGAGTAGAACGGGTCATCAAATTATCATCTTGCACTGCTAAGCTTAACTACGTCCTTCTTCCAACATGGCCGCATCTACTCTTGAAGAGGCACTGAGGACTTATACCCCAACTGTGGTCTGAGAGCAGCAAGATTTTCAAGCGTGTTTGCTTGTCCCTTTTTCAGGGCTGTAAATGTGGTGAAACCTTGAAATGAATTCAGCAGAGCTTCTTCAAGCACTTCTGCTTCTCCTCATACTGTTTTGAGCCTGTCACCACTCTTATATCGTGAGGAAACTTGATTCCAATATGACACCAAATATCAAGTGATTTTGAAGGGTTCAGTGTGCAAGTCTATCTCATATTTACATGAACTCAACAACTCAACTGTGCAACTTTACTCAAGTAACATGGTGTAAAAAGTGGCACACATGTGTGTACAAGGCTTGCAAGGAGCTCTGCTCAACTCTTTGTGAGGTTGCACAACATTGTGAGCCCTCAAAAAGGGATCACAAGCAAAAGTGCTTGAGATTTCTGCTGTTTTCACTGTCACTTCAGGCCAAAGTCAGGGTAAAAGCTCTAAACCCCTCTTTGAGAGCAGGCGTGGCCGTGTTGGAAACTGTGTAAATGTAAGCTTATTGCACTGCACACCTGAGCCATAAATCTCATGCTATGTATGTACAAGCATCTGAGTCAATCCTTAGCTATCAGAAACATACAGGTCTGCTTAGTCATCTGCTCATCTGGATAATGAAATCACAGGTGATACAACCTGTAACTTTGTTCAGATTGAAACAAGTGTGAGACGTATGGTCATCACATTTACATATCCCTTATAATAATCAATTATTTTATGTTAGTGTGAAAAAATTGCCATGCTCGTGTTGCTAGGATATGTGGATGATTATGTATTCAAGGCCATGTCCCTCTCCTCTTCCTTGGCAAACCACATCAATTGTGTGACCAATGCTCAGCTTAACAAAGTCCTATTTAAGCTAAGTTCAATCCCATTACACTTCTCATGGCCCCAATGCTTCCATAATGTTAATCTATCCCTGGGCTAATATCTCTATCTTCATCACCACAACCACTATCCT